TAATATTTTCAACACCAATTTGGAAGCGAGACTTCTTTTTATCACATATATAAGCTGTTTAAGTAACTCGCACATTTATCATTATCTAATAATCTACGCTTGTCTATTATCTTTACTGATTTATGCATTCACTAACGGAGAATTACCTTATACTGTAAAAATTTGATCGAGTTACCATGTTTAAACTGGGAGTTTTGTAAATTCTGGTTTACCGTTAGCTTAAAATAACGAAATGTCAGTGATTAAACAACTTTGTTTTCCTTTTTCACTCATTGCAAAATACAAATATTTACCATTAACAAATATCATTTACCCTATATCGGAATTATTTCAACCTGATTAATCTAAACTTCGTTTAGAAATCTATACAACATTAAATTAAAAATTATTGTTTAGATAAACCATTCAATTTACATGAATAGTCAAACATTCCTTTTCTAATATGGGCGAAAAGATTTATCATTAAATAAAACTCATCAGCTACTCGTATTTCTCCAGAGTCGATTTTTTTTATTATCGATTTCGTAGTTATTAAAATTATCATGTACAACTGTTGAAGATTTGTTAAGTAGATTTTTCAGCGAGACTATCATTTATGAACGAGCCAGTTAGAAGCGTTTGAGGGATTTCTGGGGGTACAGCGCCAATTTCAGTACCTAATGCTCACGTACGATCGGTTCATAGCGAATTTTAGAGACGTTATAATTGAGTGGCTACAACAAATGGAACTACCAAAAAGGTCCTTTATTTGATTGTAGTAATTAAATGACATGTGGACCTTGTACAGACTACCGTAATGATGTCTTTCGATGTAATATATGTTGAAGATAGGAGTCTTCTAGAATAGGAACATTTTCGCTCTATCCGAATTGAGACTAAGGCAAATTATAATAACTGTTGCTAATTGGATAATAAAAGCGCCAGTAACATTGGCTGCAAGATTTGCAGATGTTACTGAAGCTCCTGCTGTTCAGTGGTATGAGTATAGTAGAAATACATGTTGAGTAAAAATGACAAGCTTACATGAGTTGTTTGGGAGAGTCGGGAGAATCGTTGAAATAGACGGAAAAGTTGTCAGAAAATGAAAATTCAACAGAAGACATAGTGCTAAAGAAGACTGGTTAAGTAACACTTCCTTAAATACACCTCACATGTCCTTGGAATATACGAAAGATCATCTTATAAGGGACACTTCCAACGGGTAAGAAACTGACATGCTACAGCGATAATATTAATTATACGAGAATATGTGCAACCGAGTACTACAATATATACGGATGAATGGAGAGTGTACCGATGCCTACATAGACTTGGTTATATGCATAGTGTCGTTGTCCACAAGCTGCATTTTGTGAACCCAGAAATCGGAGTGCACAATATTGAAGCTATGTAGTCGAGGCTGAAAGAGTTTTTGCGATCTTATCATGGCTCCAGAGGTCAACTATTATGGAGTCATATGGACGTGTACGAACCTCTTTCTAACCTTGAAAAGTCTTTAGACCATGTAAAAGATGTGTACTCACTTTAATTCTTTGGTTTTGTATAATATATTATTACACTTTACTAATAGTTTTCTGATTGACTAATATTGTTCATGTTCACTTAAGATTCGTTCAAAGGTCATCTATGAATCATAGTTTCTCCGACTTTTCAGTTCGAAAGTGTTATTAAAAGATCTTTTTGTGTATCAGTTAGATTTAGCCACAAAAAATGCTCAGTTTATTAGAAGCATCATAAAAACCAGTTTACACTTTATAAACTATTTAATTAAAACAATATAATGACATACGTTTTTTGGTAAAAGAGGGTAAATATGATCGGATAAATGATTTACGTTAGACAAATGTTTAGGGTTAGAATATTTTAATAAAAAGAAAACCATTTGAATATTTTATCTGTTGACAAATTCTCCTGTTTCACTACCCCTTTGTGTCTACTTTTGTTGTTGTTGGTTTAACATCATCAACAGACTAGGATGATTCGTAATATTTAAGGAAAAAACGATCAGTTATCAGAATAATGAAAGAGAACATAGTTATTTATAGTAACCTGTATTCATAGTTATATTCTACTGTTAATCAGTGTCTAACTTTTGTTTTGCCATAAAAAAATTATCACTTTGAATGAGATAATATGTAGACACCATTGACGTCATAATATCTGATTGGAATTTGTTTGAACAAACAAAAAAAACATAACAAAAATGATTTATTCAAGCATTGTTATGATTATTTCACAAGTGAAATATTGCAAAAATATTTCTTTTTAGACATTTACAGCATTGGATACCGGCCGGCTCAGTAGTCAAGAGGTTAAGCATTCACAAGCGAAACCGATAGGTCCCGGGTTTGAATTGAGACAGAAGCGGGATGCACACTGCTGAGGAGTCTCACAATAGGACGAAACGGTCGTCCAGTGCTCCCGGGTTTTTCATGGTAATCTAGCTTCAATTGACTCATGATCTCAACTGCTATAATATCTAAAAACCCTTCTGATACCAATAAATTTTACATACACGATCTGTTCAAACAATACATAAAGTAAACTGTATTAAACTTTAGTGAAACTAGAAAATAATTTTCAAAAGATTTATTCAATGTTTAGCTCCATTTATAACGACAATACATTGTGAAAAACAGCTTGTTTCAAGTCAATATGGTGATTTATAAAAAGCTGTGCGAAAACTTCATGATGACTAAAGACTAACATAACGTTTGATAAAATCGTCTTCATCTCCTCTACTTCTTATCATCTACTGTTTACTGTTTATATAATTGTTGACGAATTGTATTCGAGAAACTAAACTATGTACATCATTCTATTAAAAGGTTAAATGACAAAGAAGTTAAAGATTATATGTTCTGGGATCTATAGAGAGTAGTTTTCATTTATGGTTATACTAGAGATGTAGTAAAAATCTTTTAATGTAATGAGACCATTGAGTCATCTTTGATTCTAGCTTAAAATATTCTGTATTACATAATTGTTATTTATTTATTTATTTGAACACATAGATATTGGTACAGGAGGGCACAAAATACATATGCGCCACACAAAACAAATGACATTTGTGTGGGGGCTGTGATACTGTCTGAGTGCCCAAACCGAAGCAGGTGGTTTTCGTAAGGGGCCAAACCCGGATGCTTCAACCTAAAGCTCGTATCCACAAGGTAGTGGTGCATCGTAAGGAGATGCACTCTCTTGTTAGCCGGTGACCAATAATCGGTTCATACGCCATTTGTTCTCTCATGATACTGGAGCCCATGTGCATCATTAGTTTGGAATCTGGATTTTCTAACTTCCCTAGGTGGACTCTCCATGTCCACCAACCCGGTTCAAGCGTCAGACATTCGCTTTTCGTCCTCTCAATTTCGTAAAGAACACTCCGACTGCGAGAAGTCAGTGAGTAGGACTTCCATAGTAGAGGCTATATACGCGTGGCCATGTGAGAGCATTTCGAGAGGGAGAGTGGAATCTCCCTACTGTCGGCCGTACCAGGGCGTTTGAGGGCATTACATAATTGACTGAATAACAAATTTCTTTACAAATAATGAATTGACACAAATTATTTGTTGGTGAACTATGAGAACTAAGTTACAAAAAATACTAATATTTAGTTTATCAACTAGCTAAAAGAGAATATATTGATGTCAGTTTTATTTTAACCAATGTTCTAACTTTAGCATGGCAAAAGATTATAAGATGTTCTCATTATAGAATTAATTCAATCTGTTTACTTAAGACCATTTAGTTAATTAAAAGTTTATAGATTTAATTAAATGTTAACCTATGATTTAACTTGATGACATTATTTGTTTGTTTTAAAGACAACATAATTGTATTTTTACTTTATATATGTTAGAAAAGAATTGATGGATAGTATTTTTTATTTAAAAATTATTTATCCTTATTTAAATGAACTTCCTTTAAATTAATATTGCTTTTATAATGACTTTAATTCACATACAAGTCATCTTATTGTATTAGAGATCAGTTAGAATTTTTGTTTTAAAAAAACACCATAGTAACAAGTAATAACTCAATGTTAAAAAAAAAGAATTAAATTCTATGTAAATGATGTTTTAATTCGAAATTGATTAAATTGTATAGTTGGAGACAGTTGGGCATAAGTTCTTTCAGGTACAGCTTGCTGACGAGTGCCAAATAGCACGAAACCTAAATCCAGTATTTCCTGTTGACTACCTACAATCACCATCTTATCTCAATATAGTGTATGCAATGTTGAATTACCAAGACTGGTGGCTAGATTGCAATATGATCAATAGGATTCTATCTACACTAAGAAGGAACTGACATATATGCCATTGATCACCACCCAGTGATCAATCAATTGTACAGTTGGACATTTTCTGTTACAGACAATAAAGTATATCTGTAAGTTCATTAATTCATATTCATTTTATTGTCTGTTTGAAGTATAAATGCTTATAATGAACAATATAATCTGTAATTCTAATAGTACATAATGCAGTTTAAGACCGTTAGTGTCTTTAATTTTATAAACATTTTGTATTGGAAGGTATTACGAAACAAGGAAACTAATCTTTTTTTCTTTTTTAAATTACTAACTAATTTATTCTCAAAAAGACTTCTTATGTTAAAGTTTGCAAGATGCTATTTATATGATTCATAGAATTGATCATTAACAAAAGTTAATATAATATTTATACAAGTCGGAATTTACTTGATTCAATTTAATCTGTTTCAATGAAATTTTATGTTTATCAATACAGGGCTGTGAAGACTGTTGAGTGTTTTTTTGATTGACATTAATGTCAGACTAAGATTGAAAACCTATAAGCATTGGATGGCCTTTTCGTCCTAGTATGAGATTCCTTAGAAGTAAGCATCCATGATTCCACAAGTGAGATTCAAATCTACTCGAACTATTAACATCTGAACCAGCATCCAATGGTATTAATGTCTAATTTCAACCAATCCACAATAATGTACGAACATCTTCCGTTGTTTTCGGTGAATAATTATCTCACAACCTATATGGATTAACTTCACTGGTCACGGTTTCTCACTAGAGAGCACATGATCAGTATAGAGTTGTGAGGAATGTTGAGTTTTTCCTTAAAATTGAGATCATAAATCGATCAATGCTAATAATGTTTACTAACAAAAAGACATTAGAAATATTAAAGGAGTTTCTAAAATTATTTTTATATCTATATTGATATTGCAATGAACAAAAGAAAATAAGTTTACACAAAAGCATTGAATTAATTGTTATTTTTAAATGACAATATAAGTAATCGAACAAGTATATCATTATTAAATATTCGAATTAAAGATTTCAATTAACAAAGATAAGAAAGATTTAGTTTAAATTGAAATTTCATAAGAATTTATAAATTACACAATGTAATACATTTCATGACTGCATGATTACATAATAAGGAGAAAAAACAAAAAACAAATTATAAAGCGAAATGAAACAAAAACGAACAAACAAACAAAATAATAATAATAAATTCACAACACTTTAACAAATATTATCTTTAAGATAAAAGGTAAACATTGATATTCACATGGGTTACATAATCATTTCATAATACAAATTAAATTGTAAAATACATGTTTACTTTATAATTTCCAATAAAATAATTCAAATTATAGACAGTGAACTTTTTTTCATAAAACAAAAACTTTTTTTCTTATTTAAAATTGATTAAATGTTTATACGACGAAGAAATGCAGATTTGTTTTGTTTTTGTGTATGTGTGTGTGCGCACGCGGGGGTGGGGGCGGAGGGCGTGGGGATGTGGTTTTTATGGGAGATAAATATGATTGGAATTAAATCACATTTCAATGAAAAATAATTCAAAATACATTATTATTGATTGAAAATAGATGAAATGAAACAATACGAAAAGACAAGAATAAACATGGGGGACAATTGAAAAAATATAATGACTTCTTTGCCATGCTATTTACTGATAGTTTATTAACCACATAAATGAATAAATAATTAAATATATAGAATGTAGTTTATTGGAGGGGGGGAGAAAAAACACTTTTGATGAAATCTGTAATGTAAATTAAAGTGTTAGACTATGGTTAAAATTACATTAATAATTATGTAAGATATCATTTTTTTTGTAAAAATAAAAAAATAATCGCTCACCAGAACCATTGATGTTAAGATATTTAACATATTATATTGATAACTAAAATATTTTCCTGTTTCGTTAAAGTATCATAGTAACTAATATTTGAATATGATCATCAATCTTGATCATTTGAAATTAATATTAGAGTTTCGTAATACCTAGAGAATATATATGATGAAATATCGTTCTAGGTCTATACGCAGTGCGAAATATTCAAATATAGTTTGTTATATAAATAGAAAGGTTTATTTTCTCATAAACTTACAATACAAGTATAATGATATTGAAATAACCTATAATTTCATTGAATACAAGTAAATTTTCATTTCAACAAAATCATTTACTTAAGCTGTACATTCATATTTATAGTGATATCTATATATAAAAAACTGACCTGGATTAGGTAGTACACAAATTTTTATAGGTGGACCCCATTGATTAAAAACTGGAACTTAATTACTCTTCATCTTCAAGGATCAGGTCAATATGTTCTGCTGACACAAAAGATGAAGAACTACTTTAACCTTAACAGACACTTGTCAGAAATGGTTATCCATCTAGATTCGTCGATAGGAACTTAGCACTTGAATATCATCCGGAAATAGCATCAACAGTACAAAAGAAAACTTTTTATGAATATGGAATTTAAAGGAGATATGGCTGCTGAAATCTTGAATAAACGGATTTCAAAATTACTGAATAAAACGTTTTACTCATCTAAGCTTCGAACTGTTTTCTCAAACCGATCTACCATTCATGGATGTGTTAGAGATAAACTCCTATTTTGGGACACACCAGTATGCATCTATAAATTTACTTGCCTATTTGAAGCAGGTTACATTGACCACACAAAATAATCACTTCCAAATTCATCTCAAAACACTACCCCACATGACTTTTACAAGGAGAATGCAAAACAATTACTAGTTCAATACTGGAACATTTAATCAACTGTGAACACAAAGCTCCATAGGAGTTTTCTTTTAAAATAATGTACACAGTCAAAGGAATTAGATCGAAGAGAGGTCGAATTAAAATCTTATGCCCTTCTGAAGCATTGGCAATGTACCAACTCAAGCCCGAACTTTGTGTGCAAAAACGATACGTCCAACCTCTCATCTTTGTTTAGCGCTAATTCCCTTTTGTATTTAATTTAATTCATTATTATTGTTGATTTTTTTAGTGCTTTGTAATCAGTTGTTATTATTACCCTTAAACAAGTTTTCTTGATTATTATTATTTTGACCTTTATGTTTGTCGTTTTTCTTCACATCTGTCAATTGGATAATAATCTTTCATAATTCTGACCCGCGAATTATTTTCATTCTTATATTTTCCTCATATCCATTGATTATTGCGTAAACTCATTTAATAATAAGAGTCTCAAATCAATTTATGATGCAATCTTTTCTATCCTTCTATAAATATATATTTTATACATAACTATAAATACGGATATACAGCTTAAGCAAGATAATTATATTGATTATGGCTCGAGCTATGAGGATACAATATATCCTTGAATAAAACCATATCGTTCGTTCTCTACGAGAAAACGAAGACGTTCCGCTTAAAAAAATAAAAATATTATCAGAAGGGGTTTTGTAGAGATTTTAGTAATTTCAGTGGTTGAAATCATGAATCAATCGAAGCTAGGTCACCATGGAAAACCTGGAAGCGCTGGACGGCCGTTTCGTCCTAGTATAGGGCGCCTCAGCAGTGCGAATCCACGATCCCGCTCCTCGCGAGATTCGAACCCAGAACCTACCAGTCTCGCGCCAGGCGCTTAACTAACTAAACCACTGAGCCGGCATCCAACGGTGTTAATGTCTAACTTCAGCTAATCCACGAAATTGAGCAACACATCCACCATTGTCTTCAGTGAGTTACTATCTCACAACTGACTTGGTTGAACTCCACTGGTCACTGCTTCTCGCTAGAACTCCAGAATATACATCTTAAAGCCAGTCAATAGTGAGCATATGTTGATTAGTATCAGAAGGGGTTTTTGTGGATATTATAGTGGATGTGCACCGCTGAGGAGTCCCATAATAGGATGAAACGGCCGTCCAGTACGTCCAGGTTTTCCGTGGTGGTCTAGCTTCAACTAACTCATGATCTCAACCATTGAAATTTTAATAATTATTTAAAATGTATTAATTACCTGAAGATTTGTGAAATGGCTTTATTCAACCATTTCAGAGTATTCATAAGAAGTCAAAAATAAAATAGATGTATCGTAACTTGTTCAATTAATTAATTAAATAGCGAAAGTTTGTATTGTTTAAATTTTTTGTTTTCTTAATGGCTTTTCTCTAAATATCTCATCAGTTTTATTAATCAAGTATATTTGTTAGTGTGTAAGTGTGTGTATTTATATATATGACAATGATTGTGTGTCTTTTTATTTACTATAATGTTCCAATTTATCTAATTTCCTTGTTCTTCTTTTTCTTCCTAAACGAGAACTGTGAAAATAAAATAAAAATTCAGAAATGCATACTTCAATTGTCATTGAGTTATTTTATGAATTATTCATTAATCATTATGAATGATCATAGAACAAATCTTGTATAGAATTAAATCAACTGAATAACGACATATTATATATATATATATATATATATATATATATATATATATATATATATATATATATATATATATATATTGTGATCAAAATAAAAGTAACTGTAAAAGAAAAAAACAAAACAAATTTCATTTGGATGAATCGTTTCATTGGTTATCTGATTTATGTAAGTAATGATGAGAGGTTTACAGTTTCTTAGAATATTTATGCATTTAATTTCCTGAGGATTATACTATTCACTGTGATTTTAAATTACCATATTAAAATCAATTTTTTATAAAGAAACATTGATGTGTACACTTCTTCATTAAAATAGATTAAAATAGTACAGAACAAAAAGAAACATTGATTACACATATGAGTAGTGTATAGTAATGTAGATCTGTAAGTTGTAGATGCTCACAGTGTAACGTGAAATCAATGCTTAATTATTACAAAACATTGACACATTATGTATTAGAAATGTAAGTTTTTAAAAAATCTAATAAATTTAATGTCCACTGGATTTCTTGATAGTTATCTATATTTAGTAGTAGTGCAGTGAACAGAATACGAGTGGGGGACAATCGATTGTATTTGACACGAAATTACAGGGCATGTTAATAAAATCTAACAATCATATAGTAAATGCTTAATTTACAAAATGTCCATCAATTGTCTCAAAATGACTCAAACTTCATTGTTTTTGTATTTCATACAAATGGCATTCTGGTTCCATTCTTTACTGTTCAATCTTGTTGTCTCTCTGCTGCCAGACATTCTGTTCACGACTAACGTCATATACTACTTATGTCAATATAGGTAGCACACACCAAAGTAGTAGCTTAGATTATTACATTTTGCGGTTTGATGTGATAAGTACTTAGTTCTAATCTTTGAGTTAACATCAACAGTTGTGATATAGGTGTAACTGATAAGTCTCATATAAGGTTAAATGTGATATCAAAGTTTTATTATTAACTGATATTGAAAACTGTTATAAATGAGTTACGTTAATCCATCTACCCAAACAATATATCTCTCAATAGACTGATCACCACCAGTCCAGGAAATATATATTACAAAATATTCGAATTCTTAGAAAATATTAGCTTAGGTTTTTGAATGGTTTAACATAATAAAAAAACATTTAAAGGGTGTGGATAAGTATTTGTTTTTGACTTGCTTTCGTTAAACAGTAATAGCCAAATTTCAGTACAATTTATTACAATACATTAGATCATTAAATCACTATGTGAAGCATAAGTCTTCAATGATTTCGTTAATCTTCTCTTCAAGTATTAATTATAAAACTATTTATCTAATTAGCAATACATTTTACACGGAATACATATATATTATAGTTAACAGTGAAATCTAGGACGAATGTTTAATCCTTATTAAGAAACAATTAACATGCATGTACCTTCATCCTAGTATTTAAATTCTCACTGGGACTCTAACTCAATACTAGTCACTATATATATATATATATATATATAAATGCAAAACTACTTATTTATTGGAGAAGGTCATTACTATTGATATAATTAATAAATAGTTTCAATAGTTGAAATCATGAGTCAATTGGAGCTACACCACATTTGAAAACCGGAAAGCACTGAATGGCCGTTTCGTACTAGTATGGGACTTCTCAGCAGTGCGCATCGACGATCCCGCCCCCCGAGAGTGGCGCAATTTCGTGGATTAGTTGAAGTTGGACATTAGTACCGTTGGACGCCGGCCGGCTCAGTGGTTTAATGGTTAGGCACTCGCGTGCGAGACTGATAGATCTCGGGTTCAAATCTCGCGAGGGGGGCGGGATCGTGGATGCGCACTGCTGAGGAGTCTCACAATAGGATGAAACGGCCGTTCAGTACTTCCAGGTTTCCTGGGGTGTTCTAGCTTCAATTGACTCATGATCTCAACCACTGAAATTACTATAATATCCACAAAACCCTTCTAATATTTTTTAAAAAAAAAGGGTTTATCATTTTTATTCTTACCGAATTTCACCTGCTTTCAAAGGATTAAGTGCATATAGCCAATCATGAATATCTGAACCATCTTCTGTTATTGTTTGTATTAATAATGTTCGCGTGTTCGTTATCAACGTGAACATATTCACTTTACTTGGAAATAATGATGTTGGCGACATAACTGATTCATTTTTAGAAATTAAATGAACAGAATTTGTTTTTGTATCATCTAATAAATCGTCTTTTGTAATATACGCCATATTCATACTTGAAATACAAAAGGCATTATAAATTAGATAAACAAATAAAAAGATATTCAATCATAGGAAATTACTAGGTCAAAGTATAAGTAAATCATTAAATGATGTGTAAATGGTGCCATTGTTTAGATACACAGTAATAATTATTTAATTCGGACTGTAAAAATGTTTATGAATCGTATTATTGAATGAAAGCTTCTATATAGATTATATTTTTAATAGTTGATTTTATGAGTCATTTGAAACTAGACAACTATAGAAAACCTGGAAGCGCTAGAAGGTTGTTTCGTCATAGTATAGGACTCCTCAGCACTGAGCATCCGCGATCCCGCATCGCAAGATTCGAACCCAGCACTTATCGTTCTCGCTCTCAAGCGCTTAACCTTTAGACCATTTAACTGGCATCCAATGGTGTTAATGTCTAACTTCAATTTACGAAGTTGCGCCACCGTCCACTATCGTCGTCAGTGAGTTTGCATTTTATTCATCTGGAACATATTTTAGAGTATATTAATAATCTGAATATGTTGTATCAGTTATTTTAAGAATAAATTATTGAATCAATTAATTAATTTATATGGTATCACATCATTCGTTATACATCTCTTACATAATTGAATGAAGAGAAAAAAATAGAACATTCCAAGAATATATTATTAAGTAATTGAAAAAGCATTAGGAATGCAATACAAAACGTTTTGGAACTTCAAGCAATGTTGATTAAGATTTGAAACCAAATGTAACCTTACATATGCATAAATATAAAAAAAATGTGTCTACTATTATTTTGATTATACATTCCTGAAGTCTTATGTAACAGTTATGCTATCGTATTTAAATATTTTGCATTACATTTAACATTTATTTCTTTGGTTGTTGATACTTAATCGACGTAATAATCATTTATGAAGGGAATCTTCATATGCAAAATATATTTTAGATAAGAAAAATGTTGAGAAATAAAAACAGTTTGTGTCCTTACAAGCATAGATGGTTAGCAGTAAAATCCAGGATGCACATATCATCCTATTTGTGGCTCGTCAGATGGATGTACCTATATCTCAGGGTTGATGTTCACTCCGGGACTCGAACCCAGTACCGTTCTCTTCAAACTTCATTTAAGTATTCAATGCTTCAGTGTTTTAAAACTAGGATATAAAATAATAATACTAAGTTTAAATAATCACTGGCGATGGCGTTCAAAGCGAATAGTACTGCGTTCAAGTTTTGGCATGAACATCAACTCTGGGATGAACATACATCCAGCTGATGAGTTTCAAATACGACGAAATACGCGTCCTGGATTCTACTGCCAGCCATCATCTATCTTTTCTTATGATGCTTGTGACCTAAGGCAATATGTACATATTTCAATAAGTGACTGATAAATCACAGTACTAAAAATCAATGGGAAGATTCAAATAACCAATATAAAAATGAGTTTTTTGTCCTTGTTTTATTCTATGATGTTTACTAGATTTATTGATTAGCTTAAATTCACTGAAATACATTAAATTACCATTTTCTAGTCCATTAGTTCATCACAGAAACTTACATCATGTTATAAATTCCTCATTAAATTCAATACCCACATTTTTTTCCCCAAAAACTGCTACTAGATATGCTTACATCTGATTTAGATGTGACCTTACAAATCATTAATTAATCATTACGATCTTTGAAATACTTCTGTTTCTGAACACATACTTTTTGTTTAAGTAAATGAATAACGTGAAAGGATAGTTTTGTAACTAGTATCATTATTATTGTGTCCTATATGTTGAATTCATAATACATTGTCTATTGTCTGGTTAAATTTCCATTATGGTTAAAATCATTCATTTGAAGTCTTAAAATAAATAAATAGGGAGGTATATGCTTTGAAAAGAAAAAGAGATTACGCTTTTCCTAGACGGTAAAAACATATGAACTCTTACACAAAGTCATATGGTGATTAACGTTTGTCTGTATATACATATATCATAAATTTATTTAAAAGCTAAAGAATATGAGACCTGGAATAAATGTACGTCTAGTAATGAATAATGAATATACCTTAAACTATTTCATTATATTAACACTACTAATATTATGATTAGTGAAATATTGAATAACTCTCCATCTGAACTTTTATCAAGTCTATTTTAAAGCAATTCAAACAAGTTACTGCTTCCTATATTATATTAGTTATTGAACTGATATTTCCAGTAAACAATGAACATTTATTTCAAACAAAAGCTATTTTATTTTGAAGATAGATTGAATTTTTATCTTTTTCTTAAAAAAGGCTCTGAATGACTACGTAATACACAAGAAGTTATATTAAATTTGTCCAGTTTACGCAGTGAAGTGACAAAGTATTTAACTAGAAACTATTCAATAGTTCTCATTCACGATCCCACCCCTCCGCAAAATTGAAACCCGGGATCTATCAGTCTCGCGCGCGAACGCTAAACCATTAGACCACTGAGCCGGCCGATATCCAACGTTGTTAATGTCTAACTTCAATCAACCCACGAAATTACGCCACCGTCCACCGTTGTCTCCAGTGAGCTGATATCTCACAACGGACGACTTTGAACTTCACTGGTCACTGCTTCTCACTAGAACTTTAGGAAATGCATCTTAAAGTCAGTCACTAGTGAGCAGATGATTATTATTAGAAGGGATTTCGCGGAGATTTTAGTAATTTCAATAGCTGAAATCATGAGTCAATTGAAGCTAGACCACCATGGGACGGGATCGTGGATGCGCAATGCTAAGGAGTCCCACGATAGGACAAAACGTCCGTCCTCTGCTTCCAGGTTTTCCATGGTGATCTAGCTTCAATTGACTCATGATTTCAACTATTAGAATTACTAAAATCTCCACAAGACGCCCTGTGATAGAAACTATTCATTTTAAATGGTAATATTTTAATTAGATTTTCAAATGGTTGGTAAGTATACAGCTATTAAATTTATGTTGGCTTTCACTGTTCAAGTATGTGATTCAATTAGACAAATTATGAAGCTGAAGTAATTAGATGTTTGTCGTACTTTTCCGATCATTCTACGGCATGAATTAGAAAAGATCGGTTGGTTTCCAGGTACCTTTGAGAATCCCTCAACCTTTAATTTCTGTCGATTAGAGTAACTGTTACACAAACGTTATTTTATAATATGTGACTTACTCATATTCTATCTGTGAGGTAGTTAAATTTATAAGGCCCCTTTCAATAAAGTCCCTTTCATGATTATATAGATACAGGAAAGGTCTACGGACAACAGCCCATCTACGTAACCAGCCAGCTGTTCTTTCCTCTAGCACTAATAGATATCCTTTGCGACTAATCACTGGGCTAACACGAACCTAAAACAAATATGGAAAACATTTATGTACAAACTTGTACGATATTGTATATTCAGTTAAAAATCGAATAGGTCTTGACTTAAAAAAACAGTGTTATACATATATAATTGATTAATATTTGTTACACTGATTTTACCCTATGATTTCCCAAAACAATCTATCTTTACTCTTTTTAAACCCATTAAACCTTCTTTGTGGCTTTAAATTTTCATCTCTTCATATTATAACAAAAGCTTCTCCCTGAGCTTTAGTTCAAAATCTGTTAAACTGAGTTAAGTAAAAGTATTTCGGGAACACGAAATACGATGAGTAAATATAAGATTTAGAATAGTCAAATGAACTGACATCTATATAGATAATATAAACTCAGTTTATATATTTTTTAATGTGTACGACTACTGAATCTCAATCGGCTCAGTTATCGTGAGTGACATGAAACATAAGTATCATTTAACTATCAAATTCTCGTCATGATCTCAATATCTGATCTTTATTTCTGATATTAAATTTCTACCACCAAATACAATCTGTTATAACTATCTTATTCACCACGTGAATCCATTCCCCGTTGAGTAGCTCCAAGCTAGAATTTCAGAAAATCCACTTTCAAGGTAATAACTAATGACCGTATCTCACAATGAACCATTATAATAAAAGAGTGAGAGTTATTAAAGCATTTTTGTAAAGGGAAGAATATGTAAAGATGCGAAACTATAGAAGCCAAATTTTAATCTGTAACATAATAATTTCTATAATCTACAAGTGTCTACATAGTTGAAAAGCATTTGTTTAATTCATAAATTATTGTCATGTCTACTTCTGTTCCCTAATTATTACCATTTAATCATCAGCCTAGTAACTTGATTTTGTACCTTAATTGCATATTTTAGCATTCGTTGTAATTTCTTACTTATTATTAATTGTGGATTAATTTTTCATGTATTTATTCATATACCAGCATGTTAAATCATAAAATTTAAAGGTTTCCCCTACTATCTTATCGTGTTTCTTCATTGGTTCACAGAAAAGGAGGCATCTGTAGCAGTCAGCTAGCATCTGTATGGAGCATTAATTAATCAAGCTATTAGATAACCTATTCACAAAGTCAAGTCACTAAAAGTTGAACATACAAACGCTATCACAAGGTTATTTTAGATGACCTAATGTATCAAAGACGATATTTTCGAATGTCCAACTTCAGGACCAGTGGCTATCCAAGGTGATCAGTTCATTGAAAGATGAATCGTTATTAATTTTATCACGAAGGTAGTCTTAAAATTGAATACATTTGTCTTTTATATTTAAAAGACATAAGTGATGAACATTAATACAAATATGATAAAATATTAACAATTCATCTTGTAAACGAACAGTAAACAAATAAGTATGATGAATATTTCGGAAAATGTAGAAAAAATCTCCAATTTATAAAGTATATTTAAATAAATTATACCTAAACATCTGACTAACCTCATCACATTCACCAACTAAATAACTTGATGAGAAGTAACTTTCTCCGGTAAGTATATTTTGAATTGAATCAGTTGTGGCTGATCTAGGTATACCAGAACCTGATATAATCAACAAAGAAAACATATGTAAAGTTTAATTTTTATTGTATATTTGGTCACATATAATTAAATTTAGATATGTATAATATCTTCTGAATATAAATAATTGAAATAAGCAGTTTGTATCTAATCTGTTTCAGATAGTTGATTTTGTATAGATTATTTTGAATTTAAGGATAACATATTTTCTTGTTTAAATGTCAGTCAAGCGATAAGTTTAATGATAAAATCTCAATTTCATAAATGATGAATGACCTACAATGACCAAATCTTATGATAACTTACATTTTTAGGGGTTTATAATTATTTTCACTTTTTTAAAACTAGATATTATATTATTTTTATGGAGAAAACTATACTTTCTGATATGACCGATTCGTTCATTGATTTTGTATCGGATTACAGGAGTTTTTGAGTCAGTCACTCGATTTTAGTGAGTGATAGTCATTCTAACTTACTGTTTACACTAGTTCAGGCCAATAATGTAAATTTTAGTATATACAGTTTCTAAAGACTATTCAGATTAATTCACTTGGTATTGTTCTACTTGAGTCTTCCCATTGATGATTAGGACTGAAACTGATCAGTCTCTTAAAGGCATATGTGCATACTGTGCGTATTGCCTAGATATTGCCTTAATTTACAAGCTTTATAAGCAAAGATTAAACTAAGGCAATACGCACAGTATGTACATATGCCATTAAGAGATTGATCAGTTTCAGTCCTAAACATCAATGGGAAGACTCAAGTAAAACAATACCAAGTGAATTAAACTTCATCCCATTGCACAAGCAAGTGACTATCAGGACTCAGTAGCTGAGTGAATAACGCGATGGTATTTGGAGCGAATGTTACTGGGTTCGAGTCATGGGGAGAACATCAACTCTGAGATGCATGCATATCCAGCTGGCGAGTCCCAAATAGGACGAAACACGCGTCCTGTATTCCACTGCTAGACACTATCCATCTTTGCTTATATCCAGATTAATTTTTACATTAGCAATAGTAAATGTATCTAGTTTGATGTTTGGGAATACTCTTTCAAAACATACTGGTTTGTTTGTTCAGTGGAAACAGTTTATGCTTTCACAGTTGACTAGTCACTGAGTAATAGCTACCTTTATGCTGTAAATTCAATTATATTGATGATGGCCGTATTTTGGTCGTAAGACTACGATTTAATGTTGAGGTTCATTGTATCTGATGTTAGATTATTGCAAGAATATAAGAAGTGACTGTCTCATCGTTAAACTTTTCATATGGTCCCGTTGCGAGATGTTCAAGAGCATTATTAATATAATCTGTTTTATTCATGACTACTGTTGTGTTGCCTTTGTCGACTTCCGTAATGATAATCGTTTTGTCTTTTTGAAGCGAATGCAGAGCCTCAATTCTTCTTTTGAAATGTTTGGTGTAATGAAAAGATCAGTCCGAAAAATTCTCTAACGATTAAAGATAAAGTCAAATCAGAAACAAGTCAACTTTTGAAAGAGCTAAAACCAGTCATTGGTTTATCGCTTTGGTTTGCTCTGCATCCCAAATCATGTAATGTTTCACGGTTTTATGGTTTACCGAAAATTAATAAACCAGATATCCATCTAAGACCGATAGTAGATTTACCAACACATCAACATATGCGTTATCGAAATATCTAAGCAATATATTAAAAGCACTACAGCTTAACCTACATAATATGATTAAAGATACATATGACTTTAAATCAAAATTATTGGAATTAATTATGGAGGAGAATGAGGTCATGGTAAGCTTTGATGTCGTTTCTTTATACACCAGTATTCCCATTGATAAATGCTCAGAATTCATTAGTGGTTTACTAGAGAACGACAATACTCTCTGACAGATGTCCTATGAGATCCTTGAAACTCTTCTTAAATTCGACTCTATTCACTTTTAACGGGATGTTATACAAACAAACTAATGGTGTAGCAATGGGATCCCCCGTGTCCCCGATTGTAGCCAACCTTTTTATGGCACACATAGAATCAAATATCTTCGCCCACGACATTATACCACGAATTCGGCTTAAATATGTAGATGATACATTTGTTGTGATAAAAAAGACTCATCTAAGATCTTTTTCAAAACGGATAAATACACTTTCATCTCACATCAAATTCACGAATGAAAATGAACATGGTGAGCTACCATTCTAAGTTTGCTTAGTGAAAAGAAATCCAAATGGAATTCTAAATCTATCCATCTACCGAAAGCATACACACTCTAATCGCTATACTGACTTCCATTAAAGAACATCCTTTCAGTGCTAAGATCTCGCTAGCCTTAAATCTTTCTAGAAGAGCTAACAAGATCATCACATCAGAAGACAAACAAAAAGAACAAAAGAATGTAATTAGTACCTTACAATTCAATAATTTTCCGATGAAGATTATCAGAAGTATATGAAAAAAAGACGGTTTAGTACGTTATTAATAATAATTCAAATGAAATGCCATGGATTGGTACTGCAGTTTTACCATATCGTCATGGCACAACAGAAGAACTCCAAAGAATCTTAAAACAAAACAGAATTAAAGTATGTTACACAACAACGAACACACTTCAAACTACTTTAGTTCGCTTAAAAGAAAAAAAACCTTTTCATGTCCACACAGAACTGTGTCTACAAATTAGGTTGTATCGATTGTGATGCCCTCTATATTGGAGAGTCATCTCGAGAAATCTTGATTAGAGCCAAAGAACATATTAGGTACACAAAGAAACCTCCTAACAATCTCGTAGAATTGGATAAACTTCAAACTAAATTGGAAATATCAATTCATGCCATTTTCAACGACCACCAAAATGACTTCAAAAATATCAAAATATGGCAAAAAGGCTTTTCCAATTACAAAAAAAGGAGAGTAGCCGAAGCGTTCCATGTAATGCTTAATCCTACTTCTCTCAATAGAAAAGAAGGCCTTACAATACATCCTACTTGGACTATCTATCCTAGCCACTTAGTCTGATCTTATTTACAATTCACACTATCATCTTACAAATTAAACTCTATCCTTTCTCACCATAAATGTCACACAATTTTTCATCGCTAAGCAGTTCACACATAAATACACACAAATTTACATACATATCACTTATGAATCACCTTGACCGAAATGACATGACATTAACTTGTTCAGACCTGTTTTTGATTGATCATATATTATTCTTATTGTTCCGTTGTACTATTTGAATTTGGATTATTTTTAAGTTGGTTGTTTACTCTCTGAAGAAGTAGCTTACACTAAGTCACGAAACGTCAGAAAATTTAATTTTTCTACTCATTGGGATATTACAAATATATTATTTATTTATAACAATCAACCCAATGCTCAATTTATTCGAAATTATCAATTCAAACCTTGCTAATGATACGTACAATGGCACACATATTTTATTGACATAAACAATTAAAGTAACACTGCTGTGATAAACATTAGCATGTCTCATAGACTACGTCATACATAAATACTTATTGAATATAATGTATTTATTCTATAGCGGCAACTGTTAAGTTTATATATTAAAATGAGTCAGTATTGTTTTCATTTAGCAAATTTTTTGCATTAAAAATACATTGTATTATCTAATCAAATAAGTCTAATACATTTCCGTTACTTTTGACCATACAGAATAAAAATCCAAAAACCAGTGAGTCTTATGTAATTTTTTATGAATTTAGTTAACACTATTACAATGTGATTTTTGTTTTTTTTAAATACTTCCAAGCATACTTTTATTAAATATAAATACTATTAAACCAACTATTTTAATACACCAGTATGGAGCTGAGAAGATTGCTAAGTTTTTGATTGAGATCATGAATCGATGAATGTTAGGCCGCCATTGAAAACCTGAAAGAACTGGACGGTCGTTTCGTCCTGATATGGAACTCCACAACAGTGCGCATCTACGACCTTGCACGCGGGATTTGAATTTAAGACCTTCGGTGTGGGTGAGAATGATAATGATTGCTTGTCTGCTTAGTCAGATATGTAGATAGTCTGACAGGTGTCAGATGAGTTATATATTCCCCTATCCTTATTAATTTTGTGACTCACTTATTATTGATCGTTCATTGTTGTTGGATTATGTAGGGTTTTTGGTGTGGAAATATACTTACTTTATGGTCTGGCTAATCACGTGATATTGATCTGAGTTGTGTTAACGTCTTGTAGAATAGACACTGTGAGGGTATCTAGTGTAGATATTCATCTAAGGTAACTTAACGTCCCACACGTGTAAACGTGGAAGCCCAACCGTCATAACCGAAGACTAAGTTAAAATTAAATTAACGTAGTCCTTTTATGGTAAAATCACTGTTAATCTGAACTGATTGTTTAAACGGAATTCAAACACGTTTGTGTAAATTTTTAACGTTAATCCCCAAAATTGTTAATGTTTCTTTTTGAAAATGGGTGATCTGTCTATTGTAAATAAATAATATATTTGTAATATCCCAATGAGTAGAAAATTAGATTTTCTGACGTTTTTTTTATTTATTCTCTGAAGAAGTGACTTACACTAAGTCACAAAACGTCATAAAATCTAATTTTTCTACTCATTGGGATATTACAAGTATATTATTTATTTATGACAATCAATCCAATGCTCAATTTATTCGAAATTATCAAATCAAACCTTGGTAATGATACCTACAGATCTGTCTATTGGTTTAAATGACTTGAGTAACTACAACACTAGTAATTTTCTCTGTTTTACGCATACTTTTATAAGGTTCTTATGAATGATAAATAAAGCATTTATTCAATAATTTCTGGTTCAAAGTTATTCTCCATCTCACTTTATTTATATTAAATAAAACTTCACAAGCCCTATACCATAAAAATAACACTCAATTATCTACTAATCACAGACTAAGAAACAGGTTCTTGACATTTGAGTCAAATATCTCGACTGCTTAAATACAACTATCTCAACCGCTATACATTTACCTATTGATGGACTACATTATACATAACTATATATAGCAAAGTTGGAAATGTTAACTTTTAAGTTTTTATTCAGTGATCTAGAGGAAATGAGCTTATCACCTGAGCTGAAGTTCCCTAATTACGATCCAAGATATTCTAAACATCATCAATATAGCAGTCTACAGTTTCTAGTGGATTTCTAATTATTACCATTATGTAGTAAAACTATCCTCAAACCAAAACAAATCAACCAATAACGTTAATTCCGATTTATTCTTGATCAAACAGTTTACATTCTTGCTCTACTTCATACCATTTCTACTCACAACAACAACAAAGAACTAAGAAAATATCTACTATTACAGAGTATACATACGTATATATATGAAGTATACTAAAGTAATAATAAGTAACCATAAATGTAACATTTTAAATTTTCATCGGGTAAAACATTGTTAGAAACTGTCATCAATGTAGCTAAATCATCTTTTTATGTATATCAATAAAGTAATGTATTATATTTAAATATTCCTCATTAATTTTTAGTAAATACATTAAAAGTAATTAACAAATATAAAGCTATACATAGATCATATATGATATTTTAATAGGTATATCTAACAATAATGACATAAAACATTCTGTTCTGTAATATGAATAAATAAGCTGATGGTATAACGTATATAAATTAAGCCGATATTAATTGATTATTAATATAAATGAATTAAAGGTAGATGTGAATAATGTAGAAAGAATACTGCCTCCAAATGCCCTGGTATAGCCGAGAGTGGGGTGGACCCATCCTCTCTCTCGAAACACTCTCACAGGGCCACGCGTATACAGCCTCTACTCAGTGCCTTCTCGTGGCGGGGGCTATGTTTACGAAAATGAGAGGACGAAAAACGAATGTCTGGAGCATCAACCGGATCCCAAACCAATGGTGCACATGGGCTAGCTCCAGTATCCTGATGGAAAAATGGCGTATGAACCAATCGTTGGTCACCGGCTACCATAGGACTGCATCTCCTCACGATGCTCCACCGCCTTGTGGGCTAGACCTTTAGGTCAAAGGCTCTGGGTGTGGCCCCCTAAGAAAACCATCTGCTTCGGTCTGGGCGCCCGGGCAGTATCACAGCCCACACACAAAAATAAAATGAAAAGAAAGAATACTAGAGTAATAATGAAATAGTAAGTTAGGGAAATAACTAAGTTTGATCAAGAAGAGAAAAAAAATATATTCTGTATAAATTTTTGATGGAATTTATAGAATTAAAAAGCTAAATGATTGAGAACAGTTTGAAAATTAGTTCAATATGGAGATTATTTTCATCAGGGATTGAAGTCAGCTTCAGAACTATTGAAAGTAACTATATACTGGATATCTTTTTTTTGTAGTTTCTAGACATATTTGTAGCAAGTACTTACGATCTTGTCAATGATCATGTAAAGAACATTTATACTTCGAGGTGAGATCACTAGTTTTTTATCCTTAAGCTGCTATTTATTGAACAACGATTCCAGCTTGAGTTAGTTAACAAATAATATGCAACTTTTATTAAATATCTCACTTCCAATGGGGTTAAACTATACCAGTCATAATATTTCCTTATATCTTCAGTCATCTATAGCCAAATTAGTTTATTTTGGTTAAATAATTATTATGTAATCAAGTAGGATATAGAGATAACCTTGATATGAACAGAGTTTTCATCAAAAATTGAAGATAACTTTAGTTATTATTAATATATAATAAGCAAATCATTACAACACATTAAATATATGGTAAACATTGAATACTTACTGAATGATCTAAAATTCATTTCAGCAGCTTGATCAGAATACACACTGCCTATCATATCCATTTGTGTATTAATTTTATTATCATCCGAATGAAAATCACTATCTGATTTTGATATACTCAATGTTGAAATGTTACTAGTAATAGAGTCAATTAGATATGGTTTCTTAGTCTAAATATAACACAAGAATCAATAAATTGTTAACAGTTACAAAGGGGAGAAAAAAAAACATTTCACTGTAAACTAGAAAAATTATTAATCGAAATTCATCTTCATAATAGAATTTAATTTAACTAATTGTTATACATATTAATTATATAAAGCCTAAATCACCTTTAAAACATCATTTATTGTACAGATTTAGGTAAATGTTATATTTCTTGCTATATATATGAAGTTAGACATTAACACCGTTGGATACCGACCGGCTCAGCGGTCTCAAGGTTAAGCGTTCACATGCGAGACCGATAGGTCCTGGGTTCGAATCTCGCGAGGCGGGATCGTAGATTTGCACTGTTGAGGAGTCCCATACTACGACGAAACGGCCGTCTAATACTTTCAACTTTACCATGGTGATCTAGCTTTAATGGACTCATGAATTCAACTATTAAATTACTATAATATCCACAAAACCTCTTTTTGAATATATATTTATGTTATTTAAGCTTACCCATAAGAAAGAAAGAAATGAGAAGGATTTGTTTAATAGTCTTAATAGTCAACCTTTAATCAATTATCATTGAAATCAATTAAACTGATTATAGCAGCCAGAAATTCATTAAATAATTAAACAATTTAGATTTCATTTAAGACTAACCGAGTAAAATTCCTAAATCAACCTTTTATTTTTCAGTAGTTGAGATCATGAGTTAATTGAAGCCAGGCCACCATGGAAAACCTGGAAGCACCGTTGGATGCCGGCTTAGTGGTCTAGTGGTTAAGCGCTCGCACACGGGACTGATAGGTTCTTGGTTCGAATCCCACGAGACCGGGCCGTGGGTGTGCATTGTGGAGGAATCTTATACTTAGACGAAACAGCCGTCCAGTGTTTCCAGGTTTTCCATGATGGTTCAGCTTCAATTGACTCATGATCTCAACTATTGAAATTACTAAAATCTCCACAAAACCCCTACTGACACTTTTATTTTTCATAGATTTTCTTCCTAACTAGATTTAGTAGATTGAATCTAAGTCATCTCAAGTACAAAACGATGTAGTTTTTTAAGTTTTTACTTTTTTTAATCTAAAAAGTTCAGCTTTAGCCTATCTTAGGATTTATCATTAACATGTCTAAATACAGTTTATTGTAGATTATACAAGATTAGAATGAATGAATGAATGAATAGAAGTAGTTCTCAAGATCTTTCTCTTTTGTTCAATATATATTTTTTAAATACCTACTTATTTAATAAAGCGGTATACAGATCATTGTAAGTTTTCACAGTTTAAAATAGATCTGCCTAAAGTTGTGTCTTTTCTGTGTGTGTGTGTATCTGTTTGATCAGTTAACTTGGAATAAAATCTAATTTTTCTATGAATATTCATACAAAACATTTTAAAAACACGCTGTATTTTTTCTTTAGGTTTCATTTTCAGAGTTCTGTATCATTCATGTTTCAAATGAAAAATTTCACTTATAGTATCGATATCATAGGAAATTGCATCCTTTTACTCATTGTGATTTTTGGTCAAGATTATTTCTGTTTTTAATTCAATGTGTTGCAGTGACTCAGTATAGTATTTATCAGTAATAGGGTTTTAGAGGTTAAGTTTTTGATTGAGATCATGAACCGATTAATGTTAGATTATCATTGAAAACCTGGAAGTAATGGATGGCCGTTTGGTCCTATTGTGGAGCTCCTCAACAGTTCACTTCCAAGATTCCGCTCGTGGGATTTGAACTCAGAGCCCTCGACTTCTCTCGCGAACGCTTAATCTCCAGACCATTGAGCCGGCATCAATGGTGTTAATGTCTAACCTTTACGAATCCACGACATTGAGCAACCATCTTCCATTGTACTGAGGTGGATGTGTACTTCTGAGGAGTTCCACAACAGGACGAAACGACCGTTCAGTGCGTCCATGTTTTTAATAGTGATCTAACATCAGTCGGTTCATGATCTCAATAAAAAAATATGGTATTTGTTTGTTTTCGATATATGTGATTTTACCTTAATAATTAATCAAAATGGATGTATAAATCAAAATATAAGTGAGTTATTTTCGACCAGGGTGATCGTCATCGTGTATTGAGGTTAATAAATCTGTATTTGTACCAGTCTTGAAGCTTTAACTTTCGCATCGTTGGAGTTGCAATGGTTGCTCGGTTTACAAATATAAACTATAAGTTAATTAAAGCTAGACCATCATGGAAAACCTGCAAGCACTGGGTTTGAATCCCGCTGGCGGGATCGTGAATGCACACTACTGAAGAGTCCCATACTAGGACGAAAAGGCTATTCAGTGCTTCCAGGTTTTCAATAGTTATCTAGCTTAGATTGACTCATAAATTCAACTCTTAAAAAAATGCATTAATCATTCAAAATTATAAAACTTACTGTAACTCCAAAATGTCGGATTAAACATTTGCTAATTGGCATATAATTAGTTAGTGCGGTTAAACATTTCGTTATGAGTAAATGATTCTTAGACATTTCAGTTTGATGACTTGTTAAGCTATTTTCATTAACTTGCTTTATAATCTCTTCAGTATTTGATGTACTTATCAAATCTTTGTTATTTGTATTATTTTCTCTTTTATTTGTTAGATCAAGTGATGTTGGTCTTTTTGGAGAAGGGCTATTTTTAATTTCAAATAAAAAAAAGGTAAATAAAAGTTATTGAATATCTCATTAAGTTTATATTCAATTTAATTCTTATTATGGTAGTGCTTATAATGTTTTAATTTAAGGTTACATAATGATAGAATGAAGTCATGTATAAGATTGTCTCGTCTAAACAATGGAACATTTGTTTAATTTTTGTATTGTTATTTTCAATTTCTTGCTATTCAGCTACTACAAGCTTATTTTGCTGAATTCTCATCTCCCAATGCAAAAAAAGAGAAAATGGTAAGAATCATTATTCATTGTCTAAGTAGCTCCGGTCTCATAATGATATTTTTTATGCATATGTTGTATTTAAAGTTTATTAGGTCAGTAAAGCATCTCACTGGATTCGATAGTGTAATAAAAAGACGAAGATTATTAGAACTATGTGGTGACATATTAGCGCAACACATTTCGAACAATCTGATCACACATATACTTGTTAAGAACATTTATGCATAGAAATAAAAAGGTCAACTAGACTAGAAATGGAGAGTAAGAAGAGACAACGATAATAAAAAATTAATGTGAAAAGGTGCCTGTAAGAAAGGTTTGATCGTATTTGTACAAATGATGCCATTGATGATGATGTCAGGTTACTAAATAAAACATTAATGGAAAATGGCCATCCTCTTAAATTCATAAATAAATGGAAAGTTCATTGTACATTGAGACCTACTATAGCTTTGGTAGAGAAAACGTCTGTCTACATCACCCTACCATTTCGAGGTGATTCAAATAGCCTTTTATTGAAACAAAGGCTTAAATCAGTCATTAACAAGATATAGTGTGCAGCGAAGGTCATTATCAAGGAAACAACAAGGTTCATGCTTCATCGAAAACCTAAAAGACAAGAAAACGATTGTGTCACATCCCACTATGTTTACCAATTTAAATATGTGTGGTCACGCATACATAGGGAGGATTTAGAGCTTGTGAACATGTACCTAAGTGGTTGAAGAAACAAATAGAATGAAATGACCCAATAAGAGTAGATGATGAACATCCATCGCCTTCTATTACCAAAACACATAAGTGAAACAGGTCATAAGATTGATCTTAACACTGCTTTTGTGGTGTTGTACAAAAGTGTAAAATGGCTTATACTAAGGTTTATTGAAGCCTTAGCCAAACGAAAATTCAAACCCCCTTCGTGTATTTAAAAACAGTTTGTTCTCACCTTAAACCTAACCTCGTAACATTAGCTTGTTATGCAGAGTGATGAGGTTTAAAATTGTTTGCACATTATTTTCTTTATCATCGTTGTCTCCTCTTACTTTCAAATTCTAGTCTAGTTGACCTTTTTATTTCTATGCATAAATGTTCTTAACAAGTATATGTGTGATCAGATTGTTCGAAATGTATTGCGCTAATATGTCACCACATAGTTCTAATAATCTTCATCTTCTTATGACAATATCGAAATTTAAAAATATTACCAAATAAGAATTATCAATTAAATTATTAAAATCCCCACTTATAATTTTTAGATAAGTTTACAATTTCTAAACTGAATGATATTACAACCAATCCAGGAAATTGCGCCACCGTACACCATCGTTTCCTGTGAGCTGATATCTCACAACAGACCAGGTTGAACTTCACTGGTAACGGATTCTCACTAGAACTTCAGGAAGTCACTCTTGAAGTCAGTCACTAGTGAGCAGATGATTATTATCAGAAGGGGTGGAGCAATTTTGTGGATTGGTTGAAGTTAGACATTAAAACCGTTGAATACTGGCCGGCTCAGTGGTCTAATGGTTAAACGCTCGCGTGCGAGACTAACAGACCCTGGGTTCGAACCCCGTTGGGGGGTTCGTGGATGCGCACTGCTGAGGAGTCCCGCAACAGGACGAAACGGCCGTCCAGTGCTTCGAGGTTTTCGATGGTGGTCTAGCTTCAATTGACTAATGATTTCAACTAGTGAAATTTCTAAAATCTCCACAAAACCCCTTCTGAATGATATTTGTTTTATCATAAATTATTAGAACAGATATACACAACTAACTGTTTAGTGTTTTAAACTAAATCCTCATCTGATTGTATAAACAATTAGTCTAAATTATAGTATATTTTCTTTTTTTCTTTTGAATTGTTCTACATTAACTACTTCTATGAATTTGATATTCATCTTGTTGTGCTATTGAAATATAGCAACTTGAACCGATACATATATGTACCTGGTCCTATGTTGTAGTTGACTGACTGACTGACTGTTCTGCATTAATCAATATTCCATTTGTATAAAATACTGTTGGTTCTTTGTTTGTTTGTTCTTTTTTTCATGTTGAATTACTAAGTTACTAAATTAAAATATTATTAGAAACTTTTTGACATGTTTCTAACTTCACTTCATGGTGGTTATTTTTCTTCATTTTTATAACGAAAGAAACAAATTAAACTTAACATCTAATAATTATTATCTATAATGTTCTTTACATGTAAATCACTCGTAACATTAAAATCATTTTTGACAGATTTATACTATAAAGTACCTTTATAAAAGTTGTTTTGTTCAATATTCTGTCAATATAAAAGTTGTTTTTTCTTACTGTATTATAGTAAACAATGAGTAAACGAATTAATACCGTGTTTCTGACATTCATAGACATTTATTTTTTTGAATGAGTGAAATATTTTGATGCGAAAACTTTGGCCATTCTTAACGAACACTGATACTACGTAAGTGAATTTAAATAATCAGAAGGGTTTTGTGGAGATTTTAGTAAATTCAATAGTTGAAATCACTAGTCAGTTGAAGTTAGGTTACCATGGAAAACCTGGAGATAATGGACGACCGTTTCGTCCTGTTGTGGGACTCTTCAGGAGTGCAGACCCATGATCCCACCTCGTGAGATTCGAACACAGAACTCATCAATCTCGCGCGCGAGTGCTTAACAATTAGACCACTGAACCAACCGGTTCACAACATTGAGCGACACATCCGCAATTGTATTCAATGAGTTACGACCTCACAACAGACTAGGTCGAACTCCACTGATCACGGCTTCTCACTAGAACTACAGGAAACACCTCTTGGAGTCAGTCACTAGTGAGCATATGTTGATTAATATCAGAATGGTTTATGTGGATATTATAGTAATTTCACTGGTTGAGATCGTCAGTTAATTGAAGCTAGACCACTATGGAAAACCTGGAAGCACTGGATGGCTTTTTCATCCTATTGTGGGACTCCTCAGTAGAGTGCATCTACGATCCCGCTTCACGAAGTTTGAATCCCAACTATTTATTAACTTATTTAGTTACTAAAAATGTTAAAAGAAGTTATTTTTCTCAATTTCGCGGTTAACATCGCAGAATGAACTCAGATAGATCATCACTGAAAACCAGAGAATACTACATAGCTGTTTCGTTCCACTGAAAAACTCCACAACAATGTGCATCTGTGATCGCACCATCAGAAATTGAACACAATAATTTTCTCGTTGTGTACAAGTACTTAACCATTAAATACTGGCTCGATAGTCTACAGGTTATCTCTTCATCTTGAAAGTGAAATTCCTTATCTCAATAATCTGTGACGGGATTGTGGATTCTTACTATTTAGAAGTCTTATACTAGAATGAAAGAGCTGTTCAGTGCTTCTGGGTTTTCACTAGTGGTTTAGATAGGATCATTAATTAGGCTAACTGTGAAATCGATTTCATGTTTAAACAGGCACTCAAATGTCCCATACATTTTTCCCATGCTATATTGATTTATTCTGTAAGTTTTAAACTTCAATGTATACTTCAGTTTCAAAAGATTTTAGTTAGTTTTAATATCCTATTTTAAGTAATATTCTGTTCAAAAATTATTTATTCTGATATTCATTCAGTTACTTATGCGGATACTTTTAACAGCCACAACAGTAAAGAAGTATTGAGTAAAATGAAACCAAATAACATCTCTAGTACTTTCTAGTTCTCAGTTGTTGTTGTTGTTGTTGTTGTTGTTGTTTAACTGAGGTTAGTCAGTAATATAAACTACAAACATTGATAATCTTTTCTTAATTCTTTTCAATGTAATAAAATATTTTTATGCAAATGAAAAATTTAAAATGGTTTAATTATAACGACAAAAAATAACACACAACAACTTACGACTTATTAGTAGGGGATAATGAAGAATTTTCTAAAGAATTCAAGTTATCTGGTAATTTTGCTTTAATTGTATCAGAACGATTATAACAATTTGAAATTAATTTCTGTGTAGTTCCTAAAATTTCACGAAGTTTCAACAATTGTCTAGTTTTCTCCACCTAATAATAAAACACAAACATAATTACTCTACTACTATGATTATTGAAAACTAATAATCCATTGAAACTATTTATTAATTTACTATAATCATTGTATAAGCAGTTTTATTGTGGTGTGCGCTACTTGTACCCACATAAGTAGTATATAATGATGGTCAGACATAGAATGTATTTCAGTGGAAAATTGAGAGGGAAGGAACAGGAACGGAGAACAATTAGTATAAAAATGTATGAACAATGAAATCTGAGACGATAGACTGAGATTCGCAAAAGGAACAGTCAAGTTTGAGACAATGGATTGATATTTCTCAAATTAATTATTCACTGTATGGTTCTCAGATTTTAGTAAGATGTTCTGTAATTTTTTTGCTCAAATACATTCGGCTATCCCCACTCGTGTACTTGTTCACCACAATATCATTACAGAATAATGGAACACTGAATACACTAAGCAGAATTTACAAATAACAAGTGACAATTATAGATTTTTGGGTAGCTACATTATCCCAAAAATTTCATTTTGTTTCATTTCATTTACTGAATAAATAGACATATTTTAGCTGAAAAAATAGAAACGTCTGAATGAGAAAAACAGTCTGAAATTGTTTTCATACTGTTCTAATGTCAACAAACCAAAGCTCTTCATGAATCGTCTCTTCCTAATTCTTATTCTATTATGTCTTCAAATTACGGTTAATATGTATGTGTGTATGTCTGACAGAACACTTTAACAGCTAGCCGCCAACATAGGAAAATGACAGTTTCAGAAAACTTAATATTCAAGCAGAATAAATTGTACAACTCAGTATATCTAGTAGTAAGAATAAAATCATTAAGCGAATAGAAAATAAAAAACAGCAACCGATAGGAAACAAAATGTAAAGGTTATGCAAAAGATTGAATAGGAAAGTATTTGCGGTTATCGTGACTAGTTAAACTTCAATATTATTAACAACAATTGAGTAATTCCTTAATCGTCTTAACAAATTCATTGCCTAATTAGGTTAGCTTCTGTTGTGACATTAGATTGTTTAACAGGTCTATTAATTTTTTCCTTTTTTTTTCTTGCTTCATTAAATTATAATTATCATTTGAATTTCCTAATGGTTGAGCAAGTTGATGTTTATCCTGACTCAGTAGTCTCTTAGATTACTCAACTTCCAGGTGGAAATCATTTATCTAAGTAGTATAATAGAATGAAACATTGCATCCATTATCCAAAATATAAGTATCAGCTATCAATGTGTTCTATATCTTCTGTTGTATTTTTACAGAGAGATGTGCATAGAATTTCCAACTTACCAATGAAATACGATGAAAACGTTCCAATTCCCATTGATGTTCAATAATTAAAGAATCTCCTCTTGGTCTCCAGCCTTTTATATTTTCCTCACCTCTAACATATGTAAGACTAGTGTCCATGACTGATTTATTATAAATATTTTGATCTAATAAATAAAATTTGAAAAAATTGTAATTCGACATACAAATGTGCAAACGAAATGGTATACAATAAAAACAATGCAGCAATGTAGCAATTTGGAAGACTCTCCCTGTCTCCCACATTATACGAGCATTCCATGTACCTAAATAAATTGTTGCTCTGATTGTCAGTAGGGGCATCAGCCTCGTGGCTTCCGAAGGAACTCAGCTTTCATCATGAGGCGACATAACTCTTCTAAATGAAGACCTTCTGACTTCCAGGGCACAATTTAAGTCGTTTGAATAGTTTTTTCTGGTTAGCGTTTTTTAGTGAGTTAGTTTTCTACGGGATTATATATAAATCATTTATCCAATAAATAACTAAATACATTATACTTCATTTGTCATTAATTGAGTTCACAATGTAGTTATTAATGTAAAAAGTGTAGAAACGTTTGGATAGAATGTGTACTTTGAGTATATCCAGTCTGAATTTTCATAATTGATGATGGTTATTTTGATTAAACATAATCAAAACATTTCAAAATGAAAACATTAATAGGACTATACATAAAAACAGCTTTCAATAATTATCAAATATTTTGTGCATTATTTTAGAATACAACTATGATAAGTGTGTTTGTAAATAGTAATAGAACCCAGAGTATGAGTTTCTCCCCTTTCAAGATTCGTCAACTGAATTTATGTTTATCTCAGTTTAGATGTTCACAAAAAGACTAGAACCGAATGCGTTTTGCTTCAGATGATCAATACGTTATTCACAAAGCAAATGAGCTCACAAATCCATCTGTTCTTTAAAACAAAAATAGAGGGAAAGTAGTTAATCACATAGGATGTACATAAGATAGGACAGATTGACCACTTTTTAGTCAACGTTAACAACAACGGGACAATTCATAGTCCTTTTTGATTGTGATACGGTTATAAATGGCAGAAATTTTAACTAATACGCAAAGCCTTATTTAACAAAATGTGGAAGAATATGTGAGTATTTCACTAAAAAATCTATGAAAATTATACAAAGATTTGAAATGTAGTTGTGAAGCTCTATTCACATAACGTTTTCACTCTGTTTCTTTAACAATAAAATTCTAGCCTTACTTTTATTAAATATAACTTTTTAAGCAAAGATGGAAATTAGGTAGCATTGGAGTCCAGGACGCACGTTTCGTCCTATTTGAGACTCCTCAGCTGAATGTACCTGCATCTCAGAGTTGATATTCACTCCGGGACTCGAACTCGGTACCAACCGTTTCAAACGCCACCTCATTATCCATTTAGCTATGAGTCCTGACAACCATCTGCTTGTGCAATGAGGTGAAGTTTAAATTCACTTGGTGTTGTTTTACTTGTATTTTTCCATTGTTCCAATGGGTTTAAGTCCCAGAGTGAAGATCAGCTTTAGAATGCAGGTACATCCAGCTGATAAATCCCGAATGGGACGAAACGCGCGTCCTGAATTTCACTGCTAGTCACTTTCCATCTTTACTTAAGAAACTTATGACTTAAGGCTACATCGAGGCAATCCGTACAGGACTCATAAATGCCAACAACAGACTGATCAATTGTAGTCCAAAATAACAATGGGAAGGTACAAATAAAACAACACCAAATGAATTTAATATAACTTTTGTTTTGAGAAATAACTAGGAGATTTTTTTGAAATTATAAATACACTAAAAGATATAATTATATAATCTATTGTAATATAAATAGGAATTTACAATGATTGAAATATTATTACTTAAATGAACCTAGTGTCCATACTTTTGTCAATGAACAAAATAGTAGTGAATAAATGTATACAGAGTGAGACTATAATTTATGGACGATCTTTGAATGACATTAAAGTAACCATGAGAATATACACCTACTTGGTAGGGTTAAATAAGAGTTATAAACTTATGTGAAGAATAAGGATTATGATTTACAATTGATGGTTATGAAGGTTATGAATTAAATTTAAATTTTTCATCACCAAACTAACATTAACTAAAATTTCAAAACGCTCTTTAATCAAATAAACGAATGAATTACGCGCCAAAATCTAAGACTTGTTATCTTATTGGTTCGTTCATAAATTATAGTTCCAATATGTACAGTTCTTTAGTTTCTGTCAATTAGTTTAACATGATATTCTAAACAATTTTCAGACTAAGAATGTCAATGTAGATATAAATCAGTAAACTGATCAATTGTTTACATTAAATTTTACATGAGAAATGTAATTTACTAAGTTACTATAGGAAATTTACAAACTATTACTTTACCTATATAAAGATAAAAAAATTTAAAAAAAAACGTTATATTTTAGCTACCTATAATATTTAATACAAGATGTTATGGTTGATTAAACCTATGGAAGAAAAAAAAAATATTTTTTTATTATTTTTGGCTTCCTTCTATTGTATCAAGTTTTTTATAGACTGAATAATGTTATGGTTTAATTTGAGCTATTTAATAAGTAGTTAGTGAGATACTAGAAAAAAATGTCTATATTAGCCATGTCTAAGGGTTAAGTACAATTAACTATAGAATATTATTCATAATAATGATATGGATTCTTAGAAATGTATCAAGTCATTTTATTTCTTTTTTTAAAAACTAAAGTAAATTCAAATACTACTTTCAATATACAAGAAGTACTTCATCTTATTTCATCTTAAAAATACATTATATAATATAAGATTTTACTTAAACATTTATTAATTAAGGTATATGATTACTTATATTTGACTTAAATAGGTTTCAAAATCATTTTCATTCGTACATATTATACTAGTAACTCTATGAAATGAATACTTCTAAGATCATTGCTGTTGAACTTGATTTTTCAATAAAGATGCATTACAATAGTTGAAATCATGAGTTCATTAAAGCTACACCACCATAGAAAACCTAGAAGTACTGGATGGCCGTTTCGTCCTACTATAGGACTCCTAAGCAATGCACAACCACGATCTCAGTTTCGCGCGCGAGTACTTAACCATTAGACCACTGAGCCGGCCAGTATTCAACGGTGTTAATGTCTAACTTCAACCAATCCACGAAATTTTGCCACCGTATACCATTGTCTTCAGTGAGCTGATATCTCACTACAAACCTGATACATTAACTTATCTTTTAATTGAATTAATTGTTTAACATTAAGGATAACACTTATTAACATTCATTTTAGCATAATGTAAGTGTAAGTATTGTGAAATTTGTCAATAATTCAAGAATATAATTAATTTATCACATAAACAAGTTCTTTAATTTCCCTCTTAACCGATAATGATCATTAATATTTGATCAAATTGTAGTTGTGTTTTCATGTTTATAGACTTTCTAATAATGATCTATTGAAAGAAAACAAATGTACAATTCAGTGTAGAAGATTTATAGCTCAGGTAGATGATTTTGATAGAGTTTTGTTCTTTGAGATGGATGGTTTGATTGTGAAGCTTTCATTGTTCTTTTGAATGATATCATCAGCACAAACCTGAAGTACAATTTAGTCTTTATCATAATATGTTGTATTGAATAGATATATGTTTGCATTTGTTGTTAGATATAAGTGTACGATAGACATTAAATAAATATTATATAATCTATTTCATGTTGGAATACTCCTTGAAAATATGGTTAATTTGTATTTTTAAACCAGATGTTTATATATTGTTCTGGAATTGTCTATGCCTGGATTACACATGTTAAATATTTTACCTATCGATGCTTTAACAATTATGTTTTTTATATGACTGACAGATGGAATTTAAAGTGTTTGATTATGTGAAATGCTTTAATTAAGCTTCGTCTAGGTGTATTATCATAGAATATGAGTTTCTTAAGAATTATATCAGTTTATTAATAATATATAAATTACTTATTTTGATCTAGATTCATCAACCTTATTGTTCCTAGTTTTACCAAATAAAGCCTAATATTGAACAGATGTGTATATGTATATGTATAGGATCAAATTCACACTAAAATTGTATGATAAGGTCATTAAATCAGTTGAGTTTGTTATGTTTGATAAAACTTAAGATGAATATGATGATTAAAACAGATTCCTAATGAAAGCCTCTTCAATTGACGTGTGGTAGTTTTTATAATATTAATTTTACTTGTGCATGATAGAGAAAACTTTTAGACTAATTTATTAGATTGTAATTAGTATAATGACAACTCGATTCCCAGGTTTTCAATGTTTTCAATGGTGATCTAGCTTAGATCGATTCGTGATTTTAATTGTGAAGATGCTACAATCTCCAAAAATCCCTCATAATGACTAGCTTCAAAATGTAACTCCTAAAGCTCTAGTGAGGAGCCGTGATTAATGGGTTCCAATCTGTATCGGGTATAAAACAGCTATCCGCAGCAGGCAATCAATGAAGGGCCACGCAAGAACATGGGTTGACTGAATTTACACATCAGAACTGTCTGATGACGACTCATTGATTTAGGGGTTAGGCGTTCGCACGCGAGACATATGGTCTTCGATTGGAGTCTTGAATATATGGCCATGGATAACATTGCTGAGGACTCTCACACTAGAACGAAATAATCATCCAGTTGTTCTAGGTTTACAATAGTTATGTACCTTAAATTGACTCGTGATTTCAAGTGTGAAAATTAATTTCTCTTCCTAATTTCAATTGTTGTAGTAAGCAAGATATCGCAACACAGATCAAAACTAGTTATCACGACTTTAATTCGTAATTAAAACTGGAGACTTGTAATCCGAAACTCATGTTGAAACGATTTACTTCAACTATAATCTTCTGTATTGAACATTTTTGAGATGACCTCAGTAATTTAAGTCAGATAATGCGTATTAACTTGAAATGATCGTCTTATGACGCTACTTGATCGAATGTAAAATAAATGATTCACCGTATTCAAAATGAAGAATCAAATATTAGTGTGTTTGCCACGATAAACTTTACTTCATTTTGGATTATTCGTAAGTGCATCATGAAACGATTAATTAGCTCTCCGACATTCCTCAGTTAGACTCTATCGGAAGTGAAGGAGAATTTTAGCTCAAGTAGATTATTTTGATGGAGTTTCCTCCCCCAAGTTGGAGTGATTAATCGACGAGCTTTCATTATTCTTCTGAAGAACGTCATCATCACAAACATCAGGCAAAAGTGAGGTATTCCAATTTCTCCACATATGTTTAACAGCTTGTCCTATCGACCTTGATCCTGAGTGATTATTATTGGCCTTCAACCTGTCATAGTTTCGCCCTTTGACCTAATTCTTGATCCATGATTTTTCTGATCTATCTCGACATATTTATTGATTGCTGATTCACCTGAAGGCCAAGCCAAAATGTTTCTGGTGTTCTTAGTGTTAATAAGCCCTGCGAATAAGACTCCACAAAAACTTTACTGGTAATGAAAATCGCTCTCAGTAACTGACGATTAATGTTCTTAAAATTATTATTTTTTTCCATATTCACAGTCAACTAGGAAACTTCTAATTTGAAATAAATTGGCAGCAGGTGATACCAAAAATATTAAATAGTAGATGTCGCTTATGCGTAACAAGAAACGTTGAAGAAGAAATCACCTCCGTATACGTAGGTCATTATAATGGCAATGGTCATCAAAATTTATATACCTTTAATTTGAACAATATAAGTTAATTAAATATTTAAATCATCACCCAAATTCCTAATAGGTTCGAATTAATCATGACTAAACATAACTGGCAGATCAAACATGCATCAATCTATTGGCTAGTAGTAAACTGAATATGTACTTATCATCTCCAGTGTGTTTGAGTGTCTTCTATTATCATTTATTAGAAGGACAAAATGTTTTCACAAATTACGTAACTACATATACACTTCTTGGAACTTTTCGTTGAATGACTAAGGTTAATTTATTTTGAAATAAGGGGAATGTTTGAATACATGTGAGATATTAATTAAATATACAGAATAGTAGTGACGCACTTAACACAATACGTAGAAAGTATGATCATCATTGAATTCTTCAGATTCACTTACTTTTTGATGAAGTGTGTCCAAGCTGTAAATCATATACAGACGTGACATGATTTGCTTCCAAGCTTTTGGAAAATGCACTCCAAATCGACCATAAAGACCTAAGTATAGCACGAGTAGGATTTGGTATAAGACGTGGACTGAAGTATAGCATAAAGAATGTTCAGATCGAAAAAAATAAATATACCCAGTAAAAAATAGTAAATAATGTATAATATAATTATATACATCGATTTACTGAAGAAAATTAGAATCCAATACTAATTTAAGTGTCTTTTTCGTACCAATCTTTTACTATTAGTCCAAGCGAAATAAATAGACATAAATATTGTCCAACAGCCATCTATCATGTGAGAGATCAATAGATTTTAAACCTGTACATATTTTCTTAACTATCTAATACAATCCATAAGTATAGAAATACATTTACAATCATATGCAGACAATATATCTACATTATTGTAAAACATTTATAGTAAATAAATTTCGTTAGATAGTACAGATGATAGTACTATGTAAGCTATTTTTAACATTACAAAACATTTTGGATCAAAATGTTATTTTGAAAAGAGCAAAAACATGTTTCAAAATGTCTCAGAACAAGGGAAAGAAAGACTCTAAACAGTGCAATCACCAAACATCTCCTTGATACAGAACATCAGGTAGATATCTTGAAATCCTTTAAGGTGATTAGTAAGCAGCCAAACTCCAGCCTTATGAAGTTTGCTAAAACCGCTGCCATCAGACGTCGAAAACCTGACCTATATGTTCAAAAGGAGACGGTTATTAATCTTTTCTTGCCTTGGTGACAAATATTCTTTTGCGGCATCTTAAAAAAAATATTTTTTTCTTTTTCTTTAAACTCTTTCTTGCATTTATTACATCAATGAGTTCTATTTCACCTATCTTCCAAACTAATAATCTTTCAACTGAGCTCTACTCACTATATTCCTATCATTATTTATTTATTACGTAGTCACTTGTTTCTAGCCATTTGAACTGTTGTCACAATCAATGTTGTAGAATGTTCTTTCACATAAGGTATATGTACTTACAATATTCAGTCTATTAAGTTTATTTACACCCTTGCTATACTATACGAATATGTCTTCAATAGAACTTCCAACCAAACTCTTTCATGTAAGTAATTTAAACGCATTATTGTAATTATGATTTTAAATATCACAGGTTGTAAGTAGCTACGAAACAAAACAAATTCATGCTATTCTGCTAGAATCTTTGTTCTTGCTCTTTTGAAAATGATAAAGGGAACTATGTATACAAAATGTTATTAGGAAAATAAACAATGTTCAAAATTTACTAATCTCCTTCATTCATTCACTTATCTTTATTCTGATGAAGTGGTTCACACTAAGTCACGAAACGTCAGAAATACAAGTTTTCTACTCATTACGATATAACAAAAAATATAATTTTTTATAAACATAAATGTGCTTCAGTTGAAGAAAGTCATTTTAGAATTCGATTATTAACTTTTCCAAACTTTGATACTAATAACTAATTCATGTTAGCATTGGTGAATTAAACTATTCAAATTATATACAAGTATAACTATTAGGAATTGATTTGATAATATCTAGCTAATCAAAGATTCGACGGATATATAACTTTATTTGTTGAATACATGAATCGATCTAAGCTAGACCAACATTGAAAACCTGGAAGCAATGGATGACTGGTTCATCCTATTATGGGACCCCGCAGTGGTGCGCATCGGTGATCCCGCCTAACGAAACCCCAACTCAGGAACTTCGCTCACCTCTAGACCACTTAACCGGCATCCAACGATGTTAATGTCTAACTTCAATCGATCCATGCCATTGCGCGACCCTTCGTGTATTGCCTGTCTCTATCCGACACGGATTGGACTACATAAGTCACGACTTCTCACTAGAACTCCAAGAAAGCCATCTTAGAGCCAGTCCCATACTAGGATGAAACAGCTATCCAGTGCTTCCAGGTTTTCCATGTTAGTCTATTTTCAATTGACTCATGACTTCAACTATTAACATTACCACAATCTCCACAAACCCCTATTCAATTATGTAGCTAACAATACCAATGAATAGAAATTCTAAATTATTCTTAACCAATGTGTAATATTCGAACAAAATATATGAACTGAAACAGTACACTTACCTTGGCGTCATAAATTTAGATTCTCTAGGCAATACAATCATTGCGATATCTTTTGTCATACAAACCGGTCGACGGCAACCATCTACTTTCAAATAGGATGACACTGTCATGTAGACACGTTGTCCGTATGGTGTAACGTGATTTAATAAATTTGAAGCATGAAGTGATGAGTCCCATGCGGCTTCAAATCGAAACGATATACTGTAAAGAAGAGTAAAAAAAGATTTATTCAGGGTTCTACTCATAGAAAAGCATCTTCAGTTTTCAAATAGATTATACAAGTTAGTTATATTAACAGCTTTATGAAGTGAATGCTTTTAACTATCTTGCTATCACAATCTGAGCTACGCAGATCAACCCTACTTAAGTTCAGTCTTGATAAAATCCAGAAAGAAATCACAGTTAAAATCGTCGATAATTTAATTACTCAACTTAAACGCGTATGACTTAATTAATTAACTATTTAAGCAAAAATTCATTCAGTGACCTGAATTTCTATTTTAGGCAAAACGTAAATGTCGTAACAACAAATATAAAAGTAGCATATTTCTTTTCATTTACCGATCACTGCTTGTTTCATGTATTTGCTGAGCGGGCAATAACGAAAGTGATAAGATATGTGTATGTTCATCTGAATCTAACCATTCAGGATTTTCACGTACTCGACCAACGACTACTTCATGTATTCCTTGAAAAAGACATGTTTGTGAACAATTCAGTTGATTGTCTATTCTATGAGATTTTATTGGATCAAGAAATTCATGTACCAAAGTTATTGCTAGACGTCTTTGAATTCCCTGATGAATAAGAAACACTCCTTGACATGGTGTTTCGTCTAGTCGATCAACTGGGACAGGTGCGTATCTGAAGACAAAACAAGAAAACAAAAGTATAATAGGTTTACAAATATCTTAACACCTTACTAGCTGAATAACTTGTGTATTAATCATATAATTTATAATAAGTGTTACAGAAGAACTGTTGGTCAGGCTATTCTAGGTATTTTGAAATATTAATTTATGGACCAAATCATTTTTGATAACTTCTGATTAACTACTTATACTGATCAGTAATATCGGTTGCAAATATTTGGAAATAATTTAACTGAACTCATGAAGTATGAACTATGAATAACCGTTGTGAACCATTTCATCTTTGTGATCATCATAATTTAGTAGGAATGTAGTTCGATCAAATCCAACTAAAGCAAACTTCGTGTAAAATTCCATGACCCTGTTGTAATCACATTGCAAATACCAGATTAACAATAAATTCAATAAAGAGGATTTTAATAAAAAATAAAGATCTTTGGATCTGTTCCATTGTTCTTATGAATGTTTTGAAACATTTGTTTTTTAAAGGTATGTTCAAAGGTAAATGAATGCTACAATTGATTGACCACTGGGTGGTGATCAATGTCATGTATGTCAGGTCTTTCTTAGTGCAGATCGAATCCTATCGACCAAGTTGCAACAGGACTACCCCCAACCACCATCTTATTTCAACATAGTGCACCCAATATCGAATCACATAGACTAGTAGCCACATTGCAATTTGGTCGATAGCATTTGATCTGCAGTAAGTAGGACTTAACATACATGACATTGGTCACATCCCGGTGATCAATCAATTGTAAATATATCTCAATCCTACAGGAGGTCAGTAGCGGACCGGATAGTTTAGTGGTAACGTCTCTGATTGTGAAGCTGGCTGACAAGAGATCCAATCCGTCAGAGAGTATCTGTTCCCTCAAGATTTCAGGTACACCTTGCTGATGAGTATCAAGTAGCACAAAACCTAGATTCAGGTTTTCCTGTTGACTACCTCCAACCACCATCGTAAATGAATACTATCTATCTTTGTTATTTAATACTTCTAAAATGGATTAATAATCGTAAAAGATAAAATTTAAATATTCTTTCAGCTTATTTCCACTATGTTATGATATAAAAATTTTTGAAACAATTCATTTTCATAACATTTCTCTACAATTCTTTATGAAAAATAGAAATAGAATTCCTTTAAACACAGATATCATTCATATCAGATATTAATCTCTTGTCAAGTACATTGATATGATACTTTATTTGTGATTAATTGACTGAAATTGGAAGAAAAATGATATCTTGAATGGTATTTTTTATTTGACTGTAAAATTCAAATTCAAAAATAAAATGATGTTTAGGGATTAAACTGATTACTAACAATTTGATCCTAATGAAAAGGTACTGATTTTAAAAGCTTCTTCTTGGATAAAATACATTATTTTTAATTACATTTATTTATTCATTAATTCTATAGCTGTTGTAAAAGTCGTGACTTATGGAGTTTATGAATGGAATATTTATGGCAATCGATGTTATTCATGAAACATTGAGATAATCACAAATAACAAATCAGTTATCGGCTTTCAACTCAATGGATTGAAAAAATAAACTCATGTGAAGATGGACTCGTGAATGTATTCTGCTGAGAGCACTTGTACTAGGATAGAAATGGTATCCACCTCTGTCTCATTTTTAAGCTGACATTAGTCAGCTATGCAATTTATCTAAAAGTTATTTTTCACTATTCGATTTCATAGAAAAAGAATGATTTAGAGAATGATCACCAATTTTTCAAATAATCTTAACAGAAAAGTTCAAGTACTGCAGATATTCAAGTTTTAGTTAGAATTTTATAGTTGAGATCATGAGTAAATTGAAGCTAGGCCACCACAGTAAACCTCGAAGCACTGGACGGCCGTTTTATCCTATTGTAGAACTCCTCAACAGTGCACATCCACGATCCCGTCCCGCAGTATCTCGCGCAAGACCTAAAGGTCCTGGGTTCGAATCCCACGTGCGTGATCATGGATGCGCACTGCTGAGGAGTCCTTTAATAAAACGAAACGGCCGTCCAGTGCTTCAAAGGTTTCCCATAGTGATCTAGCTTCAATTGACTCATGAATTCAACTATAGAATTACTATAATATTTCACAAAAACCCCTTTCTGATTTTAATTATAATTTGAAAACTATGAAAATGCAACTTAATTTCAAAAAAATGGTTGGATGGAATGTTATTATAAAACTCTTATAGTTGTTTGAATAATAAAATATTTAATTGATACTTCACATACAGACAATACAATTTAATCTAATTGTTACAAGCTATAATGTACTATAATACATTTCATAGTAAACATAAACAATTTATCAGAATATAAATCACTTTATCAATTGAATTAAGTTATCAATTTGGTATGATTAGAGAGAATAACAATATTGAGTTAATATAATATTATTCTGTAATGAACTCTTTCAATCCAATTGAGTTCAAACAAGAAAATTTAAACTTACTCTCCATTACGATTTAATTCTAATATTTCAAACCATACAAGTATATCATAACGTTGTACTATTTCAGAACTATAAATTAAAAACGAAAAAGAAAAGATTCATAGAAAGTATTCTGTTTTTTGAATGATCAATTTTAGTTTACAAAAATAAATCAATAATTTGAACTTGAATGAAACATTAACTTGAAAAGATATATCATCAAATTTTATATTCTATTGAAAATTTCCACTAAATTTGTTGCCATCTTAACTTTAGTTTCCATGTAAATATGCAAATGTAAATTTAACCCTTAAAAATCAATCAACAATTCTGAAAAAATAATTTTCATTATTACAAAAGAAGGAAATCTGTTCAGAATAAATAACATTGTCAATAAGATAATGATTACATAGAAACTATAGAAAATAATATTGTTCATGTGTATTACGATATAAGTAAACGGAATACACGCATTAGGACATTATATAAGAAAGATTAGTTCAGTGAAGAGTCCCCTTTTCCGCGAATTCATTTTCAAAACTGTACTATCGCAAATATATATACTTATTTTACAGGATGATAATAATTATAATAATACTGATCATAAACTTCTGTTATGCATGGTGACAGTGAGGTACGCATAAGTTTATTTCTGTTTCTACGATCATCCTGATTACATTTAATCTCAATTCCAACATTTTATGTTATCATACTGAAGCATCCTTTCCCAATGATAATTTCCCTATCTATCTTTTGATGAATACTTAAGCCATTAACAATCAAACGATTATTAAACTTTCCTTGTTTTCTAAAAAAATTTTTTTAATACATTGACGAGGAAGAATGTATTTAATGTCTCACATTAACTCGACGCCGAAACTATTCAATTATCCAGCTGACGAGTCCCAAATAGGACGAAACGCGCGTCCTGGATTCCATTGTTAGCCACTATTCATCTTTGCTTAAAGAGCTTGTGACGTAAGGCTATATCGAGACAGTCTGTACAGGATGAATATATGCCAACATGAGACTGATCAATTTCAGTCCTAAATAACAATGGGAAGATACAAATAAAACAACACCAAGTGAATTTATTCGATCAAATTTATACGAAAGTTCTTAGTTTTTTAATATTTTTGTTTATTTAACCTCACTGTCACCATGCATAACAGGAGTTTATGATCAGTATTATTATAATTATTATCATCCTGTAAAATAAGTATATATATTTGCGATAGTATAGTTTTGAAAATGAATTCGCGGAAAAGGGGACTCTTCACTGAACTAATCTTTCTTATATAATGTCATTACGATATAATATAACCATGAAAATTATTGGTATATTTTCTTTCAACCCCTTAATGATAACTTTGGAATTATCATTTCTGTTTCATAGGAAATAAATGTAATCATCATTGGAAAATAAGTTTTTTCATATTTTGTTAGTACTCTTACATTAACTAATTTGTTTGAATATGTTTTAATTCAAAAAAAGTTTAGTCATATTTTCTATTGTAGATATTTGCTTACAAGTATTTATGCTGTTTTCAGTTGAAACTATACATTAAATAAAAAATATTCATGATGTGTTCCAATTATCGGCTCATTTATGTATTATAATAAATATCGGGAATGTTTCATTATTTAACTAAACACATAAACATTGGTACAAAGTGGCACCAAATAAATCATTCGGTTTGTATGAGGGCTGGGATTTTGCCTGGGTAATCAAACAGAAGCGAATGGTTTTCTTAGGTGGCCATCTTCCGAGCTTTTGACCTAAAGGTTTAATCCACAAAGCAGTGGAGTAACGTTAGAAGATTCAGTCCCAAATATAGGTTCATAGGCCTTTTGGTTCCATAGGATCTTGGAGACCATGTACACCATTGGTTTGGAATCAGGGTTTTCCAACTCCCCTAGGTGGATAATCCGTACCCACCAACCCGGTTAAAGCTCCAGACATTCGCTTTTCGTCCTCTCAATTTCATAAACAACACTCCAAGAAGGCAGTCAGTAGGACTTCCCTGGCAGTGATTGTATGAACGTGGCTATAAGAGAGCATTAGCAGATGAAGAGCTGACTCTCCCCACTCTCGGCCGTACCAGAGCATTTGGGTGCTTTTTGAAATGAGTTCAGTTAAAATCAATGTGAATTAAATCAACCATGTATTTAATAACTTTATTCAAAAATCTATGATTAAACGTTAAAGTTAATAGAATTTTAGTAAGAAAATTATATTTAATCATCATAATAGAACCAAACAATCCTTTTTAGAAAATACAGTGTAACTAAGATTAATTTCAAGGGACAACTGAGCTAGGAGTTGTCTTTTGACGATCCGAAGCCGTAATAACAAAAAAGGTTATGGTGAAGCTTTCATCCCCTATCCTATAAAAAATCCCCCTGCAGAATAACTAGGCAAAGAAAACTCAATAAAATCTGCTCTAAGAAGAGAAATATTCCATGTTGGGCAGTTGCAATGCCGTATGATTATAGTCAAAAGTCTCTAGAAGCCACGAAGCAGACGCCTCTATAGATAGTGAGGGAAATAGCAGGATAGGGACGTTCAATGTCATAGAAATATGGAAGACACGGGGCATCTTTCAAACAGCCACAGAAGTGAGAGAACATAATCTGCCTCTCCATGGAATAAGTGATACTCATTAGACATAACCAAGACAAACAAGACTAGAAAATTGAGAAACGTTATTGTGTTCTGGTCATGAATAAGGAAATTCCCTAAATGCAGAAGGAATTGCACTGGTGCTATCCCGAGAAGAACAAAAAGTAACTATAAGACGGAAACTCTTGGCTTCATTATCATCACAACATCATTTAAAATCAATTACTGAGGACAGGGATCATTGGAACAGCCAGGTAGAGCACTTTGAAGAGCTCATAAAGAGACTAGTAACATTCAACTCAACTTATGTTGAGGTAACAAAGAAGATCTTTTTCATAAATGACAGAAATCAATGAGGTCATCAGACAAATAAAGAGATGAAAAGCAGAAAAACCATACAGGCTGCCATTTGAACCACAAAAGTAAAATAGAAAGTAATTAGGAAGATGTTCCACGTTCTCTTTAAAAAGATGTGGGAGGAATAAAAAGTATCAGCAGAAAAGAGAGACACCCCATTAAAATGTCAAGGAAAGGAAATCCTAGTAAGTTCGAGGACTACAGGACTTCACACAATTGTTAGTGTCAAACAGAACTTTCAGCGAAATGTTACTGAACAGAAAGGAATATCCAGTTGAGGCCAAACTTCGAGGTCAACGATCTGGATTTCGTAAGGATAGATCAAACGGAATTCATCACTCTACATCTATGTTCATGATTATAAGAAAGCGCTGAATAATATGGTTGGGAAAACTTTGTAGAAGTTCTTCGAGAATGTGAACGAAATCGGAGTTATGGCACTACTGTCTGACAGCCAATCTGATCGTGAACCGACCTCCTAGTTGTCAATAGCAGATGAAATCCCATAATATATCCATATAAAAAGCATTGCAAGTATGCTCAGAAAATACTTAGGAAATAGCACACTGAAACACAAAGGATGAGGTCCCAAATATAAAACATCAGCTACTCCAGAAAACAATAAAGAAGAATGATCATTCATGTAAGGACTTTTTATAAGGAAGCGGAACGTTTTATGTTCATGTCTTTAACAGTAACTTAATACAAATAAACATTGAGCTCACCTTTTAAATGTCTCTGAATTGGATAAACGTAAAGGAGGTACAGGAGCTGAACTCGGAAGGGTTGGAGGCACACAATGTCGATAACACCTTTCATGAAATATAGTTAGCAATTACATTACGTTTAAGTATTAACAGTTACTGATTTTATGAACAAATTAGCCAAACAATTTAGTTTACAAAGCAAGTAAATAGAGATATACACAGAGTTCTTATCTTAATGACCATAAATATATTTGTGCATATTTCTAAAATAATCATCACCTGTTTCAGTTCTTGCTAGCATTAAAAGAATTAAATTAGGAGGTTGTAATCGCCCAATAATAGAAGGGTGAACTGCATCAACCCGACGAGTAAAGGATTTTAAAAAATACTATGAATTAAACAAAGAACTTTCTAAAGCTTATAATACTTCTTAAGTTTGCTTATTAATTACCTTGATGTTTGTTGCAACCTTTGAATCATGGATAGGTTAAGCGGTGAATGAAAATAAGGGCATAACAGTACGTTAAACATATAAACTGCACACATAATCTATAAAGAAATTTTCAAGATAAATGCATTTCTTTATTGACAAATACGGAAAGTCTAAACAGTGACGCTTTTCGGAACTGTTGCCGCACAAATATCCTGGAGTCCATAGCTTGTTACATGATAAATATATTGAAATGAAGCTTTTATTTATCCATGTAGGTATTTATGAGCAAATACATTAACTTAACAGTGTAATTAATTATTTTATTAGAATCAAAGAAATTTATTATTTCTTAAAACAACAGTTCACTACACGAACACCAATCTGAAATTTATACAGATGTGGAAATACAAATGGATGAAGAGTTGCGCAAGATCATGGGTCGGTTGAAGTTATATGTTAACACTGTTGGATGCCGGTTCAGTGGTCTAGAGGCTAGACATACACGAGCGAAACTGGAGGTCCTTTGTTGGAGTCTTGCGTGCGGGATCGTAAATGAGAACTGCTGAGTAGCCCCATACTACATCATCCAATGCTTCCAGGTTTTCATTGTTGGTCTAGCTTAGATCGTCTTGTGATACCAAATATGGAAATACAAATTTAATTAAAGTATGGAGCTAAAAAATAACTGTAGAAACCAAAAATTCCAAAGTATTGTTGCAGAAACGTTTTTGTAAATATAAATAATCCATTTCAGGTCACAAAAACATTTATGTATTCGGCGGTTGTTCAGTCATGTTCTGATGTTGAAATTTTTTGTGTGAACACCAGTCGTTTCACGTGAAAGATGTTCAAAGTGTGGTGTATAATGCATGTGTCTGCCACTGTTACGTACAGATCAGGTGATTAAGTTATGGCCATTTCAATAAACGTTCAGAATGAAAAGTAACTAAAGATTTGTGTTGTTGTGTTAATCAAACAATGGGTCAGAGATATTCAGACATAATAATTAACTAAACGATTGAATGTATGTTGTTATCAACAACAATTCACTAGTAGCGGACTACTTTCTTACTGCATTGCGTTATCCGCTAGTAACTTCTATTATGGTATATTATCAATTATGCTTTAGTAGCCTGAACATAATAGAAATATTCTTCTATTGTATCCTTTGAAGAGATGACAACCTGGATGTTTGAAGTCACTTCTTCTTTTTCTAGAGTTTTTGTACAGAAGATATTAAATTCAGAGTCGATTTTAGAAAAATATTAACACATTGTCAACTAATTTTAATTATCGGTATAGGGTTGTGGAGATTGTTGAGTTTAAATTGATATAATGAATGGACCAATTTTATACCACTATTGAAAGCCTAGAAGCACTTGACGATTATTTAATCCTAGTATGGGACACCTCAGCATTGTGCATCTACGATACCGCATGCGCGACTCAAACCCAGAACCTTCGGTGTCACGCGCGAACGCTTTCAGATTTTCAGTGGTGGTTTTACATTCATCGACTCATAATATCAATCTAAACTGATTTTAAATTACATGAGTTACCAAAGTTAAATGTTTGATTTTATTAAGTCAACTAACTCACATCAATATATCCATCATGTGAAATACTTACTTCAAAACGTTTTGAGTACTTGGTATTTGAGGATCTTCTGCGGTTTTTTCAACAAAATGTCCATAAACATCAAATTCCAGTGGATAGTTAAGAATATAATCGAGAAATCCAACGGTATTTATCACCTTGAACTGATAAATTTAAAGAATAAAATGAAACATTAACATAATATAGTTAACAATTGTTATACATTTGAAACAATACAAATGTTTTCTTTATTAAAATAAGATATCAGAAAGGGTTTTGTGGATATTATAGTAATTTCAATGGTTGCAATCATGAGTCAATTGAAACAAAACCACCGTGGAAAACTTAGAAGTGATGGACGACCGTTTCTTCCTATTGTGTGACTCCTCAGCAGTGCGCAACCACGATCCCATCTTGAGAGATTCGAACACAGAACCTATCAGTCTTTGCGCGCGAGCGCTTAACCACTAGACCACTTAGCCGGCCGGTATCCAACGGTGATAATGTCCAGCTTCAACCTATCCACGAAATTGAGCGCTCGCGCGTGGGACTGATAGGTCCGGGGATCGAGTCTCGTGAGGCGGGATCATGGATACGCTCTGCTGAAGAGTCCCACAATAGGACGAAACGGCCGTCAATTACCTCTAGGTCTTCCACGGTGGTTTAGCTCCAATTGACTCATGATCTCAACCATTAAAATAATAAAACCATGTTTTCATATAATACTTCAATAAAGATGTAGAATATACCCCAGTCAAATAAAACATATCCTAAGTCAATAGAAATTCATAAATCTACATTCTATAGTTTGTTATTACATTATTAGTTACCGAAAGTTGACAAGTTCGTAAAAAAAACCCTTTTTGAGCTATGAAGTTAACTAAATAGTGAAAAGTGGGCTTATGATAATTATCATTTTACTAAATAATGTGTGATTTCAGTATAGAATTCTGAAAGTAAATTACTCAAGAGTATAATAAATTTCTTCTTAGTACACATTTAAATTGTGATTGTTTAAAAAAAGGTTAAAAGAAGGTTTGTGAAACAGTGCATATCAGCAATTCATGTCCAACAACAACAACAACAACAGTTTTTTAGCAGTTATGAATGACGTAATATGTGTTTAATTTATGAATTCCGAGATAATTGTCTCTGGGTTATCATAGGAAACTTTTTAGGGTAATGTACATTTTGCTTAAATTCTTAAACATTTCGATTATCTGTAAGCTGTCAGCCCACAAGTTCTAAATGAGGATATTGGAAATATATATAATTGGCTGGAACAATTATGAAATTTAAAGCAATTAGTCCCTTTTATAAATTTCGATAGGACAAGGAAAAGACAGATTTGATCTAAAAAATGTGATGTATTTGCACTATACATTTCGAACAATCTGGTCATACATATACTTGTCAGGTCAATCAAATAAAAGTATCAAAAGGGGAGAGAAACAATTTTACATCGTATAAAACGAATAAGAAATTGTCGCGTTATCCTAGGCCATAGAATGACTTAAAGATTACCAGGATAGATGCAAGGTTACGACAAATTGTTTTTGTACACATAAGGGGGGGGTAAATTTACGAATACCCATGGCTTCAATAAACTTGAGAATTCGTCCTTGACAATTTCTATACAACGTTCTGAAAGTTGCATTAATGTCAATTTTGTGCCCTGTTTCAATTATATGTTTGGCTATCTATGAACATGGTTTTCTACCTCCCACGTTGATCGGATCATTTGACACACATTGATTTTGAAGCCATCTAGGCACATATTCAATGACCCTTGATTGCATTGTTTGATTACTCCTCCCTATGTATGTATCCACACAAACATGTGAATTGGACTTTCATTGAATTGACCTTTATTAATTTTCATATGAAATGCCCTGACAAGTATATGCATGATCAGATTGTTCGAAATGTATCGTGCAAATACATCACATTTTTTTAGATCAACTCCGTCTTCTCATTGTTCTACCGAAATTATGGAATTAAAAAAAAATTTTTTTTAAACTTAAAAAGTCGATCAAGAAGGCAGTGCTATAGTCATGTACTAATGAAACTGGATGAAAACTGTACTGTTATACACAGTTTAAGAGTATAACCAAACTGTCTTCGTTTAAACTGCACTTTTCCGACAAATTTTAAATTGTTAGTTATACATATAGACCTAGTGGTGAATTAAATTCTACAGAACTTGAAAATGTGGTTGTTAGGCAAACGGAATGAAGTAACCAGTCAGTAAGTTGAATTTTACAAAGATACTTCCGTACAAATAAAGAAGCAATAAGAGGGAAGGATCTTACTGAAATTGCGTTTTTGTTCATAATTAATGTTAATAATTGAAACGCTAAGTACTGCGATTATTCGTTTATTTATTTTAACACATAGATATTGGTACAAGGAGGCACCAAATACATATGTGCCACATAGATCTCATTTGATATGTATGAGGGCTGTGATACTGCCCGGGTGCCCAAACCGAAACAGGTGGTTTTCTTAGGGGGCCACACCTGGAGCCTTCGACCTGAAGATCTGACCGACAAGGCAGTGAAGCATCGTAAGGAGATGCAGTCCCATGGAAGCCGGTGACCAATGATTGGTTCATACGCCATTTGTTCCCGCAGGATACTGGAGCTAGCCCATGTGCACCATTGGTTTGAGATCCGGTTAAAGCGCCGGACATTCGCTTTTCGTCCTCTCATTTTCGTAAACAACACCCCACCACTTGAAGGCAGTGAGTAGGACTTCCCTGGTAGAGGCTGTATACGCGTGGCCGTGTGAGAGCGTTTCGAGAGGGAGGATGGGTCCACCCCACTCTCGGCCATACCAGGGCATTTGGGGGCTAATGCTCAAGTAGTATATGATTAACAATGTATTTTACTAAAATCATGACATAATATTATATAATCAGTTCCCTTATTATGAAAATACTGAATTAAAGTTATTTTCTTATTGTTGTAAAAAATGAGTACTTTACTGTTACATTTTGTGATTGCATAATATTAACACCATCTATTTCCATATTATATTGTACAGTATCCGTTGAAAAAACTTCATTATGTTGATGTTGAAATCTGATGACGAGAAAAAAAGGACAAAAATAAGAAAGTGTCTTGTATAAAATTTCATAAATAAAATCTGTAATATTTATAATGAAATATAAAAGAAATTGAAGACATTATTAGAAAGGATAGAATATTTGGGGAAACTGGAACTTTTAATACGTAATTATAAAACAGTTAACTCATTTTTGTATTAGTTGTTTGAATCGTCCCATTGATGTTTAGGACTGCAATTGATGATCAGTCTATTATTAATATATGTGAATTTTGTGTGAATTGCCTTGATGTTGCCTTATATCACAAGCATTATAAGTAGAGATGGATATTCTGACTCAGTAGCTAAGTGAATAACACGATAGCGTTTGAAGATGACAGTACTGAGTTTGAGTCTCAGAGTGAACACCAACTCTGGGATACACGTTCACTTAAAGTAGGACGAAACGTACGTCTTTGGTTTCACTGCTAGCCACCATCTATCCCTGCTTATTAAACAACTAGTTTATGGTATTTTCATGTTATCATATTTATAAACTTTTATTTAATGTATTAGTTGTCGATATGTCTTACTACCTCTAGATTATCATCAATTAGTTATGAACCGATTGCTTAGCTTGTGTATTTCTGGCTATAATTACTTATTTCTGATTCTATGAGGTCATACATTTTATGTATTTAATCTTGAGTATCTGAACTGTATGTATTTCGATTTTATCGACTGCGGGCTAGCTATAGAATAAAGGAAAGTTCTGTTCCGAACCGTTAGGAATACAGATTTTTGTGATCATTGTCCAGGATTAGTTTTGCTAGTTAGATCGTATCAATAGTAAAAGTAAGTTCCGTTAGTTTAATAGGCATGGATTGGGTTAGTTGATGGATATAGAATATTAATAGTCACAACTTACATTCTAATATTTAGATTTCCAGACAAATGATCGAAATCTCTAACATCGTTTGATTTATTTATGATACTCGCAATAGAAAAATAGGTTTCAGGAAAGTTATGCAATTTCTATTTACTAGCTGTATAGGACGTTATGTAAATTGTTATTGTCTGGTTTCTAGATTGTCTAATTCACTTCCGGGATTCATCCATCGTTATTACTTTTTTTTATAAGTGAGGATAATTATATCAGTTGGACTCCACTGTTTAGACGTAAATTAATATTTTTATACATATTAGCTAAATATATATTTAGTTAGATGGTCAAGTTCTATAGATTTCCAAGTAGCAGGCTAAAAATCGCATTTATAAAAGTACAATACGATCACATATACATGAACTCAAGGATAACATTTAAGAAGGTCATTAACTCAGCTTTACAAATGAAGTAGGTTAAATTTAATGACAGAAATCGTCTTACAATCTAAATGCAGTAAGTACTGGTCCAGTTTGATGAAACAGTGGCATAAAGAATCTCTAAGCACAGACAGACAAGTATAGGCAGACAATTTTCCGTTGATTTTGAGGTGGGCGTCCAAAATCATTTCATGATCTCAGTTCTCTTTTGAGAACTATATGATAGACCAATTATCTCTCAAAACTATAAAATAAAACCATGATAGTTCTCTTTTCTGAAAAGCAACCATGTTGCCTGTATTGTTATAAATATTTACTCCCACTAGATTTAGTAAAATGTGTCAATTACACAATTCACATGTACTTATATATATACACTTGGTAAACACTGTAATATGGTGTAGCAACATACCAACTAGTATCACACTTATCTATTGTACAGGTTTCATCAATATATTACATCTTTTGTCATTTGAGTTATCATTGCATTCTGTTGGTGTATAATCGTACATTCGTAAAGTGTTGAACTCGTTAAATTCATGAGTTAGTGCTGATGGTTATATGTGCATTTGATACATTTTTTCATAAGACAAGTAAGTGATAATTGAGTCTCTGTCTAAGCTTGATCTGATGTCGATATAGATAATCGACGATTAGATTATAGAAAAAACTAAGATTCACTGTTATGATATACCTAAAAAAACCTGAAAGAGAAGTATGATGATAAGCTTAATTTACACAAGACAATGACATCATTATAGTGCCACAAGTGACAATATTACTAACCTATACTGACAAAAAACATCAGTAAAAGATGAATCGAATTTCTTTGCATTTAATATATTAATACGAAATTTGAATATTTCACCAAGCTTTAAAAAATTAGGTAAATCATTTTCTGAGAATTGTAAGGAATCCATTAGCCATTCTTCACTAGATTTTTGATGGTCGGCTTCGCATATTAAAAGAAAAATATATATATATTAGCAAGGGGGTAGACAACATATATAATACTCCTAGTTATTAAAATGATATGAAAAGTCCTCATTTTAAAGGCTATATGGGTGTATTTATGCAGGAAAACTAAATGGTTACAAATTAGTATGGGGATGGATTCAAATAATACATGATCAAATACACTAATTATATATTTATTATGATTTCACTTATGGTTGCCTTATATCATGGATTGAATAAATTTTGAAATCTCGATCGTTGGATACCAGCTCAGGGAATGTACTCACAAACAGACTTGAACATCCTAGGTATAAACTTGTTATGACACTTATCTAACTTTACAAATCACACCTTAATGAAGTAATGAATGGAACTCAATACTTCAACTAAATTTTTACTGTCCCCTCACTGACTCTTGATGTAGCCACTAAACTACTAAAGAAGAAAATAAAAGAAACGAAGGTTCATTCCCCTTTTGAACTAATAAAAAAAGGCGGAGAAATATATGGATATTTATAAATTTTTTATAGCGTACTTGAGAGTCAGGCATTCAAAGCAACCTCAGTAGAAAATTTGGCTTTATTACCATTATTACTATTCAGTTATTTACCGTTGATCATACAAACTATAATAAAATATACTATGAACATTTAATACGTTCATATCTTTTGAAGTCATTAGTTGAGATCAGGAATGAAAATTAAAAAAAACAACTTGAAAATCTCATTTAAATATACTTATATACAATTCAGCACATTGGTTGGTTCATATCAACTGGAGTAAATTCATCATAGCACAGTTAACGATTTGAATGAAATCTAATTGGTATATATATATATATATATATATATATATATATATACATATACGAACTAATGTTATGTTTCAAGTAACTTAGTTCACTTCCTCTTTGGGACTATGATATCTTAAGTAAAATTATATCAGTTTTATTTTATCCTGATATATGCCATGAACTACTGAGTAACGTGAAAACTTTGGCAGGAGATTTGTAGATATTTCACATTTGAAGATGATTTATGTGAACAGATTTTAGTTTGACAATTGATGAAAACCATCGAAATATTAATTGTTTTCTCACTCTTCATTAGCTTCTAGAATAATTTCCGAAATATTACAAATTGATAGAGTTAAAAAATTTGAATCATTGGTAGGGATTCAACTATCTGTGTATAAAACTATAACAACGACTCTTAAAGTAATTTAGTTACATATTTGACAGTGTCATCGTTACACATTCCTGACGAATCTCATGTTATCTCATGTCAATTATTCAGTGGATCCTCCTATTCAGTAGTTATCTAGATGAGACCAGTTCATCATATAAATTTTTTCTCAACGTCAAATAATTTCAATAGTCGAGATCATGAATCAATGGAAGCTAGAACACCGTGGAAAACCTGGAAGCAGTGGACAGTCGTTTCGTCCTATTGTGGGACTCCTCAGTAGTTAAATAATCTGTTTATCATTTGATGTGACCTAGTTACAATTTTAATAATGTTCGTTTAATCGATTACAAATGTCAGCTAAATGATTTCCTAAATAAATTGTACACATATTTATTAACAAGTAATTCATTCAACTTACTCAATGTTGATACATGAGAAAACTGACAATGGCGTCTACATTTCAGTTCATTATCTTTATCATAAACACTGAATTGTTTATTCAAAAAACCTTCCTTCTGATCAAATAAACAATTATCTTTTGATTTACCAACAATTTTTCCATTAATATCATAATTATTTGTTTTAAAACTATTTTCAGTTGACATTGAAGATCGCTGTTAAAAGAAAATCATTCAATAAAAACACTATGGTTAACTAATCAAATCTACTACTCTATTGATTATTGGAAAGACATCTAAAAATGAGTATTCAGTAACGTTATGTTTGCCTGAGTGAAATATGTTTCAAAGAGATATTCATATCATATCATCTATAAAATCATTTTCATCAGTGTGTTGTTACCGAGGTAACTTCAATGGATTTAATGAAACAAAGAAATTAAAATAAAAATAAACAAGAAGACACTAAATTGACAAAATTAGTAAAAATTTAGTAGGTAATACAGTCCATTTCATCAGGCTTACATGATATATTTGTTCTTCTGTAGCCATTTTAAATGACCTACTACAATTAAAAAGCTTATGTAATAAAACTTCAATCAGTCAGTCAGTAACAACGTGGAACTTCGTACGTAATAAAACTTACTAGTGTTTATACCTAATATAGTAAGGTTTCATGGAAGGCGGTAAAAATTACTAAACAGCTGATGAGTCTGAGTTCTAAGAACTATTAAAGATGTTTCAAACAGTGAAAATGGAGATAGAACACAACTATAACCTCAAATCAAAAGTATTTTAAAGGAATACAAATTAAAAAACAACCTTTATATTTTGTAAAACACTGTTTTAATGACTTCAATGTATGTAGATATTAAAAGAATAGAATAGATATTTTAATATATACTTGCCCATTTAATATATTGTAAGTTATCAAATACAATTTCCAATTCATTACATTCATTTGTTTTTACATTGACTTCAGATTGACAATTAGCTTGATCATTTGTCATTTTATTTTCTGATCGATTTAAATTGAGAATAGGTTGAACCTCAATATTTAAAATACCAGTTATTGAACTATGTTCATTTAACAAAGTGACTTGACTAGTCATTGGAATGCCATAGTATAGATTCTTTAAGTATAACAGACCTCTAGAAAAGAAAAAAAAAGGAATTACAAAGGAAAAGCAAACATTACCACAGAAGGGTATTCATTAAACAATTTACTTGTAGTTGAAATCTATTAATCATGTACATTTTCTACAGTTGTTATTGATATTAAAGCCAAAACAAATATTGATGTAGAATAATATGAATTCATTATATTTCATGGTTTCTCGTCAGCTGCTTACAACCAAATAGTATGAAACAATTGACATAAGTGAATGTAAAAAATTCGAATGACAAAGGTTATTTTTAGGGGTAATAAAGGATTCATGCAATTAAAAACTGATAAGATGGGTTATGTAATAATTGAATAAAATTCCAAGAGTTCACATAATTTAAAAGAATCAAGTGAGCGGAAATGTGTGAATGAAAGGGTAGGTTAGTTTGATAATTTTCATTTAAGTGTATCACGTAAAAATAGTAAGTTTTTCTATGGGATAGATAGTAATATGGAAATAATTAAGCCCGTTGATCTATGCTCATATTCACTAACTGGTTTATATTCTATGAACAGTTGTCTTGATAAGGCTAATCACTTAAATGATTTCAACTCACGATATCTCACATAGTTTTTTACTAAGCATGTAAGTAGGCGACTCCACAGCAGTGCGCATCCACGATTCTGCCTCACGAGATTCGAACCCAGGATCTATCGGTCTCGTGCATGAACTCTTAACCTCTAAACTACTGAGCCGGCATCCAACGGTGTTAATGTCTAGCTTCGACCAATCCACGAGGTTGAGTTACTGTTCACCATTATTAAGAACAAAATTAAGTAAGCAAAGATGGATAGTGGCTAGCGGATCAATTGCAGTCCTAAACCTCAATGGAAAGATTCAAGCAAAACAATACCAAGTGAATAAAATTAAATAGTTGGGCATAATACACTCCTATCTTCTTAATGTATACTTTTTTCCTTTTTTAGCTCCATCATTTATGAATATCAAATTAAATCGATACAAAAAGTTTTAACTATTTCAAATCAATCTTCAAAATAACAAATACATCGTATCTTCACCATCTTATGATTCTATGAGGTTTAAATTCAAACTTCATTAATGACCTGCATAACATTTTTAACTTATACGTCCTTGGCCGTGAAATAGGCTAAGTAACTACCGAGATCCATAACTGTGATGACCAAATTTGATATATGAAGTAAGATTTCATTTAGAAGTTAAAGGATGTGGGTTGTATTTTGTCGGATAATGTTTAGTATACTGTTATACTACTAAAAAGTAGGATAAATTGGCATACAAAAAATAATACACTTCTTCAGAGAATAAATAACCAACTTAAAAATAATCCAAGTTCAAATAGTACAACGGAACAATAAGAATAATATATGATCAATCAAAAACAGGTCTGAACAAGTTAATGTCATGTCATTTCGGTCAAGGTGATTCATAAGTGATATGTATGTAAATTTGTATGTATTTATGTGTGAACAGCTTAGCGATGAAAAACTGTGTGACATTTATGGTGAGAAAGGATAGAGTTTAATTTGTAAGATGATAGTGTGAATTGTAAATAAGATCAGACAAAGTGGCTAGGATAGATAGTCCAAGTAGGATGTATTGTAAGGCCTTCTTTTCTATTGAGAGAAGTAGGATTAAGCATTATATGGAACGCTTCAGCTACTCTCCTTTTTTTGTAATTGGAAAAGCCTTTTTGCCATATTTTGATATTTTTGAAGTCATTTTGGTGGTCGTTGAAAATGGCATGAATTGATATTTCCAATTTAGTTTGAAGTTTATCCAATTCTACGGGATTGTTAGGAGGTTTCTTTGTGTACCTAATATGTTCTTTGGCTCTAATCAAGATTTCTCGAGATGACTCTCCAATATAGAAGGTATCGCAATCGATACAATCTAATTTGTAGACACAGTTCTGTGTGGACATGAAAAGGATTTTTTCTTTTAGGCGAACAAACTACCCAATGCTCAATTTATTCGAAAATAATATACACCATTATTTCTCCAAGAAGGTGAAAAAATAAACCCAGTTTTGTTTAACTCATATAAAAAAACAATCTGAGTGATAAGTAGAAGCCCGAATAAGAGAAAGTTTAAAAAGTCCAAAAAAACAGAAATACAACTGCATTAGCTTATACATAAAAAATTAAACATTATATCTTAATAGTTAAGTTCATGAGTCAATTAGGGCTAGAACACTATGGAAAACCGATAGGTTCAGGGTTCGAATATCACATAACGGGATCGTGGATGAGCACTGCTGAGGAGCTCCATACTAGCACGAAGCGGCCGTCGAGTGCTTCCAGGTTTTCCATGGTAGTCTAGCTTTAATTGACTCATGAACCCAACTATTAAAATACTATGATATCTACAAAAATCCCTTTCTGATAATAAACATTATATGTTTCGTGAATTCATAGTGATAACTGATTGGACTTCATTATTGATTCTACTCATTCTTTTAAGTAGAAAAGTTCTGAATATTTCACTAGTTCGTTAGTCTGATCTCCCAATAGAAGTTAAAAATTCATTATACTAACATTAAGATTCCTGTTCACTTGATTGGTTTTGAACACATTCCATTTATCTTGATTGTACGGTAAGATATAAATACAAGTTCAAATATTTCAAATTTTATATAATGTGACCGTAAGCTTCTATAAACAAACCAATTATTACATTTTTTACAAGTATATAGGCAGTTAAGGAGATTAAAACAAAGTTTTTCTACCACTTACCTGCCAATTTTATGATACCAAGGAAATTCATTTCGAAATGGATCCTTTTTAATGTCATTAAATGACATTTCACTATCATTGGAATTATACGGTTTCTCATTTAATGTATTATATTCAATACTTTTCAATGTCGGAGAAAATGCTGTCTCTACTTCATAATAATCATGCATTGCTTGAAGACGACGTCTAAAATGTGTTGAATACATTCAAGAAACTCTTTTAGTTAAAAAAAACCTTTCAATCGATTAGTTTGAATACATTCATGAACTGACGACGAAAACCTTACCAGTAATTTGATATTATGGCAAATCATATTCGTTAAGTGTATTTTTCTGATGGGCATCACTTTCAATATACAAAGTAAATCAATGTATGTAAACCAAAAATCAAACTAAATTTAGTAGAAGATGAATAGTTTATTTATTGATTTATTTTCTAAATACTACTCGAAACACTTCAGTGGTTAGTTGCCTTATTCAAATATGGTGAAAAGGAGGTGTAACTTAGTGTTGACTTCACAGTTTAAAGTTACACATAGGTTGTATCAATGTGAGAAATAAGTAGACTTAAGTAACTTGTAGAAAACTGAGGCGTTCTATGAATACTGAACATGATTTACATTTCTATGATACTTGGAAAGAAAATGTTTATATGTATGAAATAGTACAGTGTTTCTGTTGATCCTGTGAACGGTTAATTAATCAATTGTAATTTGACTTAGTTTAAGTCATTTTGGCTAATTGAAACCAGTTGATCTTTCAAAATCTGTAACTGATTATTCGAATGAAGACAAGGGCATCTAAATCCAATAATTAAAATACTTAACATGACGAAAATTATGTTGATTGATATGCAAGTTTATAAGTGGAGATAATACTTTTGGATAAACTAATCTATAAATGAGTTATCATACAGATTAGGAAGCTGTCAATGTGAGGTTACGAAGATTGTTGAATTTCATTGAAATCACGAACAGATCTAAGTTAAACCAACATTGTAAACCTGAAGGGACTCTACGGTTAGTTCATCGTATTATGAGATTACACGACCCGACGACCGAGAATCGAACCAAGGACATTCGGTCTCGCATGCGAACGCTCAACCTCTAGACTACTGTTCTAGGATCCAGTGGTGTGCATGTAATATTTGGGGAGAAACTGGTTTGTTAAGGGTTCGAGATCTTATAGCAACTCACGTTCAATTGAGTTTGCTCTCACCTAATTCGGTTAAGCCCTTTTATTAACTTATTAAACGGACAAAGTCACCTGCACTATAATAACTTATTGTATCCTTATTACTGTTGCGAATGTATGTACCTTTATTATTGTTATCCTTGTATGAATATGTATGCTCGGCAAGCCTTACTGCCTACGCATTTATTCACGCTACTAGCTTTACTATTAACCGCTTAATTGACTCGATGATTCATTAATTTCACTATGTATATATATGTCCATGTTATTCATATTCATGACTCGCTCGCTCGTTCATTCACTCGCTCGATCGCCCGCTCTTGCCCTTGCTCTCTCTCTCTCGCTCGCTCACTCGCTTGCCTGTTTGCCTTTCGGCACAACTATTTCATGCTTGCTTAACGCATCTGTAATTTTGGATATCTGTGTGTGGTCCCTTAATAAACGTAATTAACGCTTCGTATTCGCCTTCTGATTAATATACCGTTGGAGCATTATTTTGTGACGGTTACCGAGACGAACTGTATACGGAGTTTAAGGAATATATCGAACACCGACCACCACAGAATTGGTGATCCCAACGTGCGAGCAAGAATCAATCTTCGACGACGTAATCCAACTCCGAGAATCCAACGCACTTTATTTCAATTCGAGCTAGCATTTGGATTATAATCATTACTGTGGATTTATTATGTCACCATTTTAATTATACGTACATTATCACACAAACATTATTGAACATAACGTTAATATTCATAATAAACAACGATATTTTCCAAACAATTGATATTTTGGTGCAATTTAGTAAGTCCGTTCCTTGTAATTAATTGTACCGTTTTGTATTATCATTGTTTTTAACGATTTACTTCTCTCCGTGACATTTACATTATATACGTATAATTTTTGATCTTTATAATCATGTCTTTAAATAACGACACAATAGACCTTCCATAAATTTCGTCCGTGAGGTCCATGAATGTAACTATTCCTCCTTTTAAGATCACAGATCCTGAACTATGGTTTATTAAACTCGAACATTACTTTGTTGCTAATCGTGTTCATTTACAGCGAGATAAATTCGGCCATGCGAGCTCACTACTTCCGGATGAAGTAGCCGACAATGTACGAGAGGTTTTAACTAAGCCAGACATCGAAAAGCCATACGACGCACTTAAACAGGCTGTGATTAAAGCCGTCTCATTAAGTGACCGACAAGCCGTCGAGCAGCTTCTCAGTCAAGTGCAGATTGGAGATAGGACTCCGTCGCAGCTAAAAAATTATATGAGAAGCATAATTGGAGACAGAAAAATAGATAAAAACATATTTTATCAGTTATGGCTACGACGACTCCCACCGAACGTTCAGCAGATCCTCGCAGTTGAGGACAGCGATGTCGACATAGACAACATTGCTAATATAGCCGATAGGATTTACGAGAGAATGAAACAAACGAGTCCGCAAAGACATAATACCACAGTAGATGAACGAATCGACGCATTACAAAAGGAAATTGACGTTTTATGTTACAAGCTGACGAAACTAAATCAGAGCGATATACAAAGAAAATGGTCGCGAAGTAGGTCGAGAGATAGAAGTCGATCACGTTCTAGGAGACGCTCAGCTCCTACAATATGTTGGTACCATCAAACTTTTGGCGACAAAGCTCGAAACTGCCGACCACCGTGTAAATTCAAACGATCACACCGATTGTCGGTAAACGCCGCGACAACTAGAACAGTTCCTAGAAACAGTCGTTTATTTTACGTTCAGGACAGAGTAACAGGTGCTCAGTTCTTAGTGGACACTGGAGCAGAAGTAAGCGTTGTGCCTCCAGTGAGTAACGAAACGCGAAATATTAATACAGCGCTAACGCTTAAGGCAGCAAATAAATCCGATATAAAAACATATGGCAAGCGTAAAGTAACCTTGAATTTTGGTCGTAGCACTTCATTCCGCTGGGAATTCGTCATCGCAGATGTATCCGTACCTATAATTGGTATTGATTTCTTAAAGAATTTCGACTTACTAGTGGATACTCGACGAAACCGGCTGGTGAACGGAGACCATTCAGTAGTGATAAAAGGAGTGACAACCGATTACGTATCCATGAATTTAGTAGTCTCAAAAGACAAAAGCGAGCCATATAGAGCGCTTCTAAATGAGTTCACTAATTTGACGAGGGCATCATACGATAACAGAGATCTTAAACACACTGTACAGCACCATATTATAACGAAAGGTTCACCGACCAACGCAAGACCACGGAGGCTAGACCCAAATAGGTTGAAGATTGCGAAACGAGAGTTCGAAAAATTGATGAAGCTTGGTATCGTAAGACCGTCTAATAGTCCCTGGGCATCCCCGTTGCATATAGCCAACTATGTACAACGTCTAAAGCAACATATGGGTGATCTGAGGATAACGCTTCCGAGGCAACAGCAACATCGTGTCTACATGCCAAAACGACTGACCGATAGTACCCATGTGTTTATCAGAAGAGATAATGTGCAGCGTCCCTTACAACCGGCCTACGATGGTCCATTCAAGGTGATTAAAAGAAACGATAAAACTATTACGATAGAAAAAGCTGGAAAAACGGATGTAATTAGCATCGACAGAGTCAAACCAGCTTTCATCGAAACCGACGATCAGCCAATATATACAGGTACTGCGAAAACTGTCGAACCACCGAAACGCGAGTCCCAATCATCAACGACATCGACCAACACAAACGAAGAAAATCCAGTAACGACGAGATATGGCCGAAGAGTGAGATGGCCGCAACGATACATAGCTACGATTTTGAATTGATAATTTCTTTCACCTCTTCGAATGTAAATTTAATCTTCATTTTCTATGTACAAATCGAAAATTTTAGCTCATCTATTATTATATTCAACATATTTTATGTATTCTTCCTATCTTCCGTTATGATCTTATTTGGCCTCACGGACATGTACCAACTCAAACTTACACATATTTTTAATAATATATACGATAGTTCTATCATATATCTTAATTTCGTAAATTTCGATATTTCCCATATTGCTAAATTTGACATTTTTTTTCGCAAACACAGACAATTTTGTATCTTTGTTTGCTGGGAGGAGCTATTATAGCAACTCACGTTCAATTGAGTTTGCTCTCACCTAATTCGGTTAAGCCCTTTTATTAACTTATTAAACGGACAAAGTCACCTGCACTATAATAACTTATTGTATCCTTATTACTGTTGCGAATGTATGTACCTTTATTATTGTTATCCTTGTATGAATATGTATGCTCGGCAAGCCTTACTGCCTACGCATTTATTCACGCTACTAGCTTTACTATTAACCGCTTAATTGACTCGATGATTCATTAATTTCACTATGTATATATATGTCCATGTTATTCATATTCATGACTCGCTCGCTCGTTCATTCACTCGCTCGATCGCCCGCTCTTGCCCTTGCTCTCTCTCTCTCGCTCGCTCACTCGCTTGCCTGTTTGCCTTTCGGCACAACTATTTCATGCTTGCTTAACGCATCTGTAATTTTGGATATCTGTGTGTGGTCCCTTAATAAACGTAATTAACGCTTCGTATTCGCCTTCTGATTAATATACCGTTGGAGCATTATTTTGTGACGGTTACCGAGACGAACTGTATACGGAGTTTAAGGAATATATCGAACACCGACCACCACAATCTCTAATCAGTTTCACCTACTATATTGCCAGTCTGAACGTTGACTTATTTCGCAAATTTTCTTATTGACAACCATCAAGGCTTTAACGATTATCAGTCCTCCAGCCTCTTCTAATCTAGTAATCAATCAAAAGACGATGACAGGAGACAGATTAATTCTTTATTGTGTGCAATTTAATTATGACTCAAAACACTCAACAATATACTGAAAATGCCAGACCAAGCACATCACTAATTAATGAATCACACTTTAAACAAAATCAAGCCATAAGTAGTAGATAGTGAAGCAAACAGATTCACTGAACGCTTACAAGAAGAGTAATGTAGAAATGCAGTCACATAGTTACTTACTAGCCACACGAAATAGATTCAAATAATAGCAGTTTGAAAAGTAGCGCTGAAAGTTACAACTTTCCCAATATTCGTTGCATTTTAACAGCAAAAGTATAACTTCAATCAACCCACGATATTGTATGACAATCTTTCAGTGTCTTCGGTGGATACTTTCCTCACACTCAACACGGTTTCTTACTTAGACTCAGAAAATTTCATTTCAAAGCTAGTCACTAGTGAACAATTCAGTAATCTCCCCCAACCCCACAATGACAATTATCATTTGCTTTTAGCTTAAGATAATGTGCTGTAACTAATTATGGAGGATAAGATTTCATCATACATTTGTGTTCTTGAAATTTCCCCCATAAATTACATAAAATACATGATATTTTTATGCTTCCAAGTCGGTCGAATGATTCTCTTACTTCAAATATTTCCCTATTTACAGCAGTCCAGAACTTTATGTTCACCTCACCACAAATAGGAGCAATTTCGATTCATAGGTATGTACAAAGAACCTAGACGTATAATTAAAAAATACATCGCTGGAATAATCATGGCCAAACAGTATACGAAACGATATTTAAAAATGGATCGCAGGACACAATGTGTGATACCAGCTAACCTCTAATAGATATAGCGGTCTATAACGTTATAAGTCAACTGCACTATCAGGTATCACAAACTAACTCTCATGAGAAACCAGATACCAAGTTAATTAAACACAACCACTACATAACAATCAACCCATAAAATCTCACACAATAGTTTCCTTTTATTGAATTTTTAGTTGTTATATTGTGTATAAAGGGATGATAAACTTTTTCACTTTTTTTGCCATTAGAGTTATAGTTTTTTTTTAAAATCTAACTGTAAACTTACTGAAATGTACTCAAACTCCAATATTGTATTGCATTACTTAAAAGATCACGAATTTCTATAACTAAAATAGTTGAATTTTTTGGTTTATTTTTATAGATTCTTTCTAATGAATACCAATATGAATTACATAATTGGTTCATTTCATTGTCTATTTCTGGTAAACTTTGTATAGATGAACATTCACTACATTGATTTTCACATGAATCATAATTTAATTTATCCAAAGGATTTAATTCATTTGGAATAGGTGTATATGGTGTAGCAGTTAATAAAACAAATTGAAATTGAACCTAAAAATTAGTGTAAACATGTAAACAAAATAAAATAAAACAATCTGGTACTAAAGTGGTTATTATGATATTATGTAATTAGTATTGACTATTAAAAGGATAATCAATGGAGTCATTACTGAAGGCTTTCACTCGTGCTATATATATAATTAACTTGGCTAATAAAATGTATGAGACGTCTTCTATGTCATCAAGAGATTGACGTAGTTAAATGAAAAGTAAGAACTCAGTAACTTCCTTAACATCAGGCTCACTTAATTTATAATATTTTGATTGAAAACTGGAAATAATATTACCAGTCTCCATATCAAACTATGATTATTTGGTTACAGAATCATAAGTAGACGCTAGGTAGGGTAATTTAAATGTTGCATTTTCTGTATGATGGATATCATAGCCCTTGAATCTAGTGCAATACTATATATTATGATTTAGACTCATAGAAACTATGACATTTTGTTATCTGTTATCTGACTTAGATGGAATGATAAGAGATTAATTTATGCCATTTTTTAAGCTAAAACTGATAGAATAATCCAATTCCCAAGTTAACCTGAGGATAAATAATCTAGCTATAGTCATGTATAGTTCCAAAATTATCATTATCTAACTAAACAAGTAATCATTTTAGATCACTAAAGATCTGGTTAGCTTCAGGGTGTATGAAGTTGTTTAATAATGAACAGTTTATACTTCGTCATTCTTGTTGTTGATATGAACTTTCGATTTTCATTTGAGTATTTTGTTTTCCCCATAAGTTTCAATATACTTTAAGTATACTATAGAAGTTATGCATTTAGTAACTTAGTGAACATATCGTTAAAAATTTTATGCTTACCTTTTTATTTAGTTCTACGCTTAGTGCATTTGCTTCTTTAAGATAGACAGCGTTTTCCCATAATTGATCCTACAATTACCATAATAAAATTGATCAGTTGGAAGAATGAATTTATTAAAATATTTTGGAAAAACATTATATCATTATACCCTGGGACAGATCAATATTATAAATCAATATTTTGGTTTTTAACTCCGCCTGAAGCCTCTCTAGGGCTACTACCGGTCCCAAGCCTGGATAAGAGAGGAGGGTCGGGCATGGAGTTAGAGACCTCATCCCACAGAAAACTAACTCGCTAAAAAAGTGCTAACTCATGTTTTTAATAATGAAAGAAACAAATACAAATTATATTTTTACTTACAGAAGGCTACAAAAATATGATAGATATTTAGCTTATAAATGTTTGCTGTGATTTCTTTGGAATTAATCATTTTCTTGGTTAAGATCATTAACCGATTGATGTTGGACCATCACTGGAAACCTGGAGTCGCTGGACGGCTGTTTCGTCCTATCGTGGGACTCCTCAGCAGTGGGCATCCATGATCCTGCTCGCGGGATTCGAACCCAGGTCCTCCAGCCTTGCGCGCGAACGCCTAATCTAGTTGACCACTGAGCTGGTATCCAACGGTGTTAATGTCTAACCTCAACCAATCCAGTCCAATGCTTCCAGGTTTTCAATGGTGGTCTAACCTCAATCGGTTCAAGAACTCAATCAATAACGTAATAATCTCCACAACCCTATACTGTTAATAATCATTTTTATCAAAAATATTCATGTAGTCTATAGTTCTATGGATCGTATTATTACATAATCATTAAATACTATCAATAATTTGAATAAAATACTTAGGTGATGATTAGTACTAGTCTTTGATTAGAATTTGTACTAGAAAGTCTTGATTTATGAAACTAATCAATTTATTTATTGAATAGATGTAGATATTTCAATAGTTCTTCAGGTCAGACTTTAATTTATAGACGACCTTTGAGCGACGCTAGATTGACCTTGAGAGTTTCCACCTTTTAATCAGAAGTAAATGAGGGTTTATAAACCTGTATGAGGAATTATAATTATGATTTATAGTTGGTAATTAATGTTAGAAATTAGGTTTAGGGTTTTCATCACGAACTAACATCAGATATAATTCCAAAATTCTATTTATCCAAATGTATAAGTGAATTTCGCATCAAAATCCTAAACATGTTATCTCATACGTAGTTTCTTTATAGTAACTCTTTCTTTGGTAAAATAGGTTTTTTCATTAATTTATTAGGTAAAATTGCATGTTTGTTTTTAAATAAGAAACTTATTACCGGAATTCTAGATGAATAGTTACGATGAGATTGTGTACATTGAAGACATGATTAAAATAAAGATTTGAAAAAGATGACAGACGATAATGATAGGACATAATTTCTCTCTAAATATATACTCCTTTACATTTATGTTGCACAGTTGATTTATAAAGGAGAAGCCACAAACTTTTTGCATAAGTTTTAAATAATCATATTTACAGAACTTCGATTAGTCTTAAGTCTTGAAAAGGTTGGATAAAATTAACGAAATTCTTGTATTGACAAACTATTTTTAGTCTAATGTTACACATTTATAAAGATATAATATAAATTATTTTTGTTAGGTAGTTTATTATTTAATGTATGGAATAGTATGTATCTAATTGTATAATATAAGTTTAAAAGGAGTAAATAAGGAGATCATGTATAAGGTTATTGAAGGTCATTGATAGTAATCCTTGGACATAGATCTATACATTATGATAAAGGAAATGAACTCGTCAATAGTTTCAGTAAACACATTTTCTTTAGATGGTGGTTGGAGGTAGTCGACAGGAAATCCAGTGGTAACGTCTCTGACTGTGAAGCTGGGTAACATGGGATCGTGATATGATGAGAGGAAAAATCAATATTCGATTGATTTACTTAATATGAGTTTTATTCATCATTACATTCTTTTGATTCAATGTAATGATTACGTAATGTAATATTTCTTTTCTTTTCTCGTATGATATTTATTCTGTATAATATACAATATTCTTGTATTCGATTGACTATGAACTATACTCAGCATTTGTTATAACTGTGAGTATTTTTCATGTATGTGATTTTATTCTAATTATTAATCAAAACGGGTGTACAATCAATATATAAACGAGTATATTTTCTACTAAGGGGACTTCGCTCTTTTCTCTGGTTGCTGCAGAATGCACTTCTTATTTCAAGCTTGGACTTCTCCCTCTTGATAGCGGGGCTGGGGCGCAGCAATAGCTAGCTCACTGGTCATTGGTCATCGAATCTCGTTCTCGTACGCAGACTACGTGAACCCGTGATAGCTCTCTTTTTCAAACCCTAACAATTGGCGACGGGGATGGGATCTTGAGTGACAGCTGTTTCGTTTGAAGTACGGGTTATCGAGGATTCATCGAGGCTGCAATCATTATTCAGTTCAGTGTGCAGTTGAGAAATCAATTTATCCACTTCTGTCGCATCACTAAAGCATGAGTCATTGGTCATCGAATTTCGTTCTCGTTCGCAAACTACGTGAACCTCTCCCTCTCTCTCTTTTCAAACCCTAACAATTGGCGACGGGGTAAAAAAAACATACAATCTAAAGTCAGCCGGTTCTGATTAAGAAAAAAAAAGACTCTCACTTCCGATCGATTAAAGCTGCTGTTTGAGCGACAATTGGAGTTCTTAGTCAATTTACGCACACAGCTGCGGAATCGCTCATGCTTTGAAAATGCGACGGAAGTGGATGGATTAATTTTCTCAATTGCGCACCGAGCTAGAAAATAATTGCAGCCCTCATGAATCATTAGCAAACCGTATTTCAAACGATACAGCTGTCACTCAAGATCCGATCGGTGGTCCAGTACTCCCCATTCCAGAAACATGCCCGGTAATGGATCCAATCTCCATTATCCCCGAAACAGCATGTTCAGACATTGACGTGTCCAGCTCACACAGAGATCGTGTCTTATTAAATGCTCATGAACTTATTACAGTAGCCGCCCACGAGCAAACAGAAAATCAATCAATCAGCATAGTAAAGACAGATGCATCAAATGCAGCTCATCATTCTACGACAAAAGCATCTGATCAATCTACTTATCGCGGTTCCTTAGTTGTTTTACCAGGTATGAGTTATCTTAATGACTCACATGCCTTCGATCAAATTTCTTACAAAAATGAGGAAACTTTGTCGAATGCATCAAACGATGATCAAGAACCTAACAAAATTTTGATGAATGTTGATTATCTTAATGATTCATCATCTACAAATGAGGCTCCCAATAAAATTGATAACAAGATTTCAGGAGATTCAAACTCTGATGACCTCAAATTAAATGGCGTCTATCCTCACTACCCGCTCCATTTTACTGGATTCTCTGCTCAATATGTTTTAAATACAGTCAAGCTAATTGTAATTTTGGTATATGAGGACCCAACACTGTTTCGTGTGGGAGGACGAACTAGGAAAATTTAAATCCGGATATCAACTCCGGATCTTCCAAAAAAGGGAGGTGATATGATGAGAGGAAAAATCAATATTCGATTGATTTACTTAATATGAGTTTTATTCATCATTACATTCTTTTGATTCAATGTAATGATTACGTAATGTAATATTTCTTTTCTTTTCTCGTATGATATTTATTCTGTATAATATACAATATTCTTGTATTCGATTGACTATGAACTATACTCAGCATTTGTTATAACTGTGAGTATTTTTCATGTATGTGATTTTATTCTAATTATTAATCAAAACGGGTGTACAATCAATATATAAACGAGTATATTTTCTACTAAGGGGACTTCGCTCTTTTCTCTGGTTGCTGCAGAATGCACTTCTTATTTCAAGCTTGGACTTCTCCCTCTTGATAGCGGGGCTGGGGCGCAGCAATAGCTAGCTCACTGGTCATTGGTCATCGAATCTCGTTCTCGTACGCAGACTACGTGAACCCGTGATAGCTCTCTTTTTCAAACCCTAACAGATCGAATCCGTCAGGGAACACCAGTTCCCTCAAGATTACAGATACACCTTACTGACTAGTGCCAAATAACACGAAACCCGGGTCTAGGGTTTCCTGTCGACTACCTCCAACCATCATCTAATCTCAACATAGTGTACACAATGTCGAGTCACCTAGACTAGTGGCCACATTGCAATATGATCGATAGAATTCGATCTACACTAAGAAGGATCTGACATATATGACATTGATCACCACCCAGTGATCAATCAATTGTGAAACGTTTTCTTTTTCAAACTGTGATAATAATATTGATTAGATCGCGTATCATATGAAGACGTATATAATTGGTGAGTATATGACTCTTATCGATTTAATAAGTTGATTTTCATAAAAATAGTGTTTTGCATCCATCTATATCAATGATACCTAAGACAGAATAAAAATTACCATAAATCTTCTACCTACAAGCTGACATTTTTACAACTTAATTGTATTACTAAGTATAAATTGGGAAAAAAAATGAAATGTGGTAACTTTAACTAAACATCAAACTATTCTTTAGCTTTCATACGTCTTATAGATTCCTAACACTAGAAGAAAATTATGTAGATAATGAGATTTGTTATTAAAGCATCTTAGTTTAAAAATTTTAAGAAAGATTTTATACCAAGCAAATTGTAACATTACGTCATAATATTAAAGAGTAAATTTACCCGTAGTGATGTAAATTGATGATTGATCCATTTATTAAAAACCCATCGAGCTAATTCATATTCACGATCTCCCCATTTACAATCATCTAATTACAAAAAAGGAATGTTTAATTCTGAAATAATAAGTTCTTTGATACGAATGATCTTTGTGATCAAATAGTGTTTAGTTCAAAAATTAAAATTAATAATAAACTTGTATTGAGATTTGACGAAGTTCAACGTAGAAAAATATTTGATTAGACCAATAAAGCAACAGATGTAAATGAAATTTTCGCATAGTTAAATAATGTATTACATAACTGGTAGATGTTTTTAAATGATCGATAAATCAGTTAAAAGGTTATTATTCCAATAGCTGAGATTATGAATCAAAGCTAGACAACCTTAGAAAACCTGGAAGTATTGGATGACCGTTTCATTCTAGTATGGGAATTCTCAGCAATACGTATCGGCGATCTCATTTCGAGATATTAGAACCCAGAATATATCGGTCCCGGGAGCGAACGCTTAACTACTAGACCACTGAGTCGGCCGGCATCCAACGGTGTTAATGTCTAACTTCAACTAATCCACGAAATTGAGCGATACATCCACCGTTGTCTTCAGTGAATTACTATCTCACAACAGATCCAATTGAACTTCACTAGTCATTGCTTCTCACTAGAACTCCAGGAAATACCTGTTGAAGCCAGTCATTAGTGAGCATATGTTGATTAGTATCAGAAGGGGTTTTTGTGGATATTATAGTAATTTTAATAATTCTTCCTAGACAGTACATCCAATTGTAAATTATCTTTGAAAATAGAAACTACTAAATGCAATTAAGTAATACGACAGTCATTTCATAATTTTCATGAAGAGTTCTATTTTCGGCGAACTCATGTTCGAAGCCGTACAATCGCAAATATATATACTTATCATCCTTTAAAATAAGTATACATATCTGCGATTGTACAATTTTTGTAGTTTACAGATTCTTTAATAGCATACGGTTAGGAGGAGCAAAATAAATATCTCGGAAATTAGCTATAGTTCTTAGTTAAACAGTTTGCTGTTTTAATTTTGTAGATAATATACATCTATTAAATTTTCAGTTTGTAGATGTGGAGATTGATGAATTTTACTGAAATCATGAACCGTTCATTGTCAAAAAAGCAGTAAAAACCTAGAAGCACTCAATGATTCATGCTTTCAATGAAATTCAATAATCTCCACAACCTCAAATTGAAAATTATTATATGGCTGTAGTTAACAAGAACACTAGTGAGGACAATCGAACGTATTAGTCACAAAATTACAGGACTTGTTAGTAAAATCTAACAATCATATAGTACATGCTTAATTTGCAAAATTTCCATAAATTGTCTCAGAATGACTGAGACTTAATTGTTCTTGCATTTTCTTACAAATTGCATTCTGTTTCCGTTCATCACTGTTCGATCCTCTTGTCTCTCTGCTGCCTGACATCCTGTTCACGAGTAACTTCATATACTACTTATGTCGATATAAGTAGCACACACCACAGGGCCACTAGTGATTAGCTCCGAGAGGTAATTATGAGGGTTCTAGTGAGAAGGCGTGAACAGTAGAACTCAACCGTGTCGTGTGTGTGTCAGTTACCCATCACGCAACATCATTAATTTATTGAATATAGTTACCGGTTAAGTTGTCTGGGATTAATGCGTGCCGAATGTCCTGAATTTCAATCCCACTTAGGTGACCGTGGATGCACTTGCTGACGAATTCTATACTATGACGAAAAGGCTGTCCAGTGATTTCAGATTTTCAATGGTAGTCTAAGTTGATCGGCTTTTGATTTAAATTAAAGCCTAGTAAATTAATCATTAATTAATATTAAGTGTTGACAGTTAGGTGGATTCATGTCGAATTATTGACCTGATATTTACAATGGGATATTTTTCATTGTAAACGGTGATGTCATTTAGATAAGCTGTAAACCAGTACACCGAGATATTTCGATACTGTTCCGTTGATCAAGTACTGAATAGCAGTTTATATTTCAATCATAACAAATAGTCAAACAAGTAACGGTATCATCATTTTATTTAAGTCATGGCATCTAATGTTAAAGCCGTTCCATCAAAATGAAAAAAAATTATCAATATGAAATCATAATGAAACATACTAATTTAAAAAGAACATATTCTGACGTTCGTCTTTGAAAAAAATGTAAATAATGAAAGCCAATTACGTAAAAAGAAAGGAATTACGATGAACTAAGAACATCTAGTTAGTACTTCGTTGTTATTTCTAACTTTTTAAGGATTCTTGACAATCAGGAAATACCAAACAGATCTAATCTAATTCCATGTATCAAGAAATGTAACAATGCCTTTAATTGTGGCTGAACCATCACTATTTAATTTGTTCACATCACTAGTAAGAGGATAAGAAGCTTTATATACGACCAACTTATTAAAACTTGAATTTATTTCATTAATCTAATTTATTAAGTATTAATTTGCCTTCAAATCTGTCAATCATAAGCATTACATATAAAGTTTTATTATTACTAACTTTAAGGTATACAAATTGTACAAGAAATCATTTATAATAAAGTCTTAAGTTGCTACTTAGCCGCAGAATACGCATTTCAGCATCGAAGATGATTACTTGTTCCTTTTAACAAAATATCAGTCCAATCAGTTTTTTGGGGGAGAGAAAGCTAAACAGTCTCAGAAACATCTAAATACTGAGACTTTTAAAGCAATTAGTTCCTTTTACAAATTTCGACAGAACAATGAGAAGACGGATTTGATCTGAAAAATGTGATGTATTTGCTCTATATATTTCAAACAATCTGGTCATACATATATTAGTCAGGTTATTTTATATGAAAATTAATAAAGGTCAATGAAATGAAAGTTCAAATAAAAAAAAATAACAAAGGGGAGAGAAAGAATACGAAATCGTCTCGTTATCCTAGGCCATAGAATGACTCAAGGATTACTAAGGTAAATTCAAGGTTACGACAAATTGTTTTTGTACACCTAAGGGGGATTTAAATTTACGAGACTTTTGTCGAACAAATTCAAATATCTATCACTAATGATGGTTTTCTTCTCGATTTGTCAGGATGTAACTAATAATATCTGATGAATGAATAATATTAGGATTAGATCAAATACCAATACAATTATTGATTGAGATCATGGATCGATTAATGTTGAAACATCATTGAAAACCTGGAAGCACTAGACGGCCATCTCGTCCTAGTATAAGACTCCTCGGAAGTGCACATTCATGACAATAACACAATTGGTCTAGAGGTTAGATGTCCGCGTGCGAAACCAAAGGTCCTGGGTTGGAATCTCGCGTGCGGGATCGTGAATAAGCACTGCTGAAGAGCCCCGTACTATGACGAAACGGCCGTTCAGTGATTCCAGGTTTCCAGTGGTGGTCTAAGATTGATCGATTCATAATCTCAGTGAATAACTCAACAATCTTCACAACCTTATACTGATAACCAAGACAATTGATTGTTAGTAATTTCATAGAAAATAATTTCAGTTATATGGCTTACATATAGTTTCATTATGTTCCACTTCACCAACTATTTCTTCCTGAATTGTAGATTCTAACATTGAATGACGTTCAACTTGTTCTTGCAAACTTTGTATTCGACCTTCATACTCCTTATAAAGATAAAAAATATTAAACCAGAATTATTCACCAAATAAATTGCTCACAGTTAATGAATTATATAAGTGTAACTGTTAGTGAATAGTATCTTAAAGACCGCTAATAAAAACTGAATTTTATGATAACTAATAAAAGTGAACGAGAACTCAAGTGGGGAAGACCAATTAATTGTTTAACGCAAAATTACACATTGCCTTTGTAAAATATGAAAATCATACATTAAATACATCATTTTGATATCTTTTCTGTATTGTCCTTTACATACTCCATTATTCTTTTAATTCTGTTGTTACTTCTATTGCTCCCTTATTTGCTTCCTGTTCACTTCATTTCTATCCTCTGTAGACAGGCATTCCACTTCCGTCCGTTGTTACATACTACTTTTATCTGTCAACATAAGCAGTAAACATCACAATACGGTTGTTTCTTTCCCAAAAGATACCAAAGACAACATCATGTGATATCAGTGTACACGTTTGAAAAATCGTTGAAATTGTGTAGGAAAAATACGAGTACTGTACTTTAACAGGAATTCAACATTACCGGTTCGGACAACGAATGATTACTTGTGAAATATTCATGTCAAATATAATTATTTTTGTGAAGAGAAACTTATGTAATGATTTAACATGATAAAAGTCAACTATTTAGAACATCTATGAACATTTAGAAAGATCAGTTCACCAAAACATCTATTCATGTACTTCATGATAAGTTTTTGGTAATGCCTAACGTCTAGTCTCATAAAATATTAGTTCACATTGCACCGCTATAAAACTTTCTCTATATTAAATTCTTCTATAAGACCAGGACATACATACTAATTGATCACCATGTAGCATACAACACGACACCTTATCTCTAGTTCTGATAGTATATGGGATTAAATCGAGGGTACGAATCTCCAAAGTAATTATCACATCGATTAAGTTTTCACATACATTTAACTGGTAAGTTCTAACCAGAACAAATCCTAGTTTCATCTTTCCCTGATGATCAACTGCAGCTATCAAACATTTAATTAGAAGGATCACAGTGTTCAGCCAGCAAAACGTTTGATCACGTTATTGATAATGAGAGTATAAACAGTATCAAGAGCTATAGGATATGACAACATACGAGAACTGGAGATGGAATGTTATGTATTCTACTGTTTTAAGTGCCATTTTTAAAGGTATCCATTTTATTACAGTTGTTCACGCGTTTATTTTTACATCTTTTAGTCAGTAAGACATACTTTTCTCTGTTCAGCAAATAAACGATCAGATTGTTCTTTCTCACGACGATATTGTTCTTCTAGTTGTATTAGACGATTTTCAACTTCTTTTCTTAAATCAACACCTTGTTTTTCTAATAATTCACTGATGGCATAATTCCAGTCAATTGGTTCTGTAACACTTGCTGAAATGTTTTTCATAGAGATAGAACTAATGGGTTATTATCGTTATAATTAGGTTATATTAAGGACAGTATTAAGAAAATAAACTTTTTGAATGAAAAGTGATGATTAACAGCCATAAAAACATTAGTACCTTAATTATCCACCAAATCTGTGAATAACACTAGAAGATTTAAAAATTCAAGTTACGATGATAAAACTTATGTAACGCGTCATATTGAGCTGTGATTGGCCAGTGAAAAAGAATAAATAGGCTTCTCCATGTCAACTACTATATAGTATATCTTTATAAATAAAAGACTAATTTCCACTCTAGATTCACTGGGTGTAGACTGACTGTGTCAAGTGAATTACTACCCGGCTTATAATTTGGTCCTGTATTCTGGTAATGAAACGTGTATTTGAGTATAAGGTGGTTCATTCAGCATCAGTGTATCGACCGAGTATCTAGTCTACTGCAATATAATCTCGAATTTCGTGCCACGATCAAACTTATTATTCAGTATTTTCCATGATAACAAAAGTCAAATTAGTGATATAATAAGACTGAGATGATAAGTTGATGAACGTATAATAATATGAGACATTGAACTTATAATTATTGAGTACAGTTACATGTGCTGAAACCGAAAGTTTTTTGGTCTCAGCCATCTTTAAACTTCAGCTAACAAGCTACAAATACGTTGTTATTAAAGAAATCTAAGTCTTACAGACAAGTCCCAATGTCATTGGTGTATGATTGATCTACGAAACTTGGATTTTCCAATTTATTTTCAAATAATATATCTTCATACTTGCTTTTGTGCTCGATATTTTGTATGTGATCAGGTCTAATTAATAGAAAAAACCAGTTCCTTTGATCTGTATGTTGCTTTTTAATGGTAGTTTATTTTGAGGAGAAACTGAATCAAACATTTACTCTCTATAGCGTTCATCAGCAACATAAATCAAATTACTTCACATTACCTACCTAACGGATATGTTGGATACAGTATCAATCATAGAATGGTGTAAACTGAAGACCCATTAAATACAGGACGTAAAGGATAGTCTTGTCGTTTATGTTTGAAACTTTTGGACTGTATAGACTGACAAACAATATACGATCAAATTCATTAAAGATAACATGATATACTCGTTGGTATACATTTAAGCTTTAATCAACTTATAAATATTTCAAAAGGGGTATTTTGCATATTATAGTAATTCCAATGGTTGAGATCATGAGTCACTTGAAGCTAGATCACCATGGAAAACCTGGAAGTGCTGGACGGCCTTTTCGTCCTATTGTGGGACTAACAGGTCTAGGGTTCGAATCTCACGAGGGGCGGGATCTTGGATGCGCACGGCCATCCAGTGCTACCAGGTTTTCCATGGTGGTCTAGCTTCAACTGACTCATGATCTCAACCATTGAAATTATAAATATTTCTTTGAAAAATTCTCCAGTAACCCTAATATGATCGATCTCATTGGTACTTGGTACCTATTTGAACTTAGTAAATTTATCAGAAAACACTACGTTAACGAAGGAATATTTATAACTATTTATTCCTTAACCGTCGTTCAGTAAAAATGCATCAAATCACTAAGAGCTATACGACGAGATTCATTGTTCAGACATACAATTTTAGTCTTACTACTTCGGTACATAATTTAAAAATAAATAATGCAAATCATTTCATTCATTTTTAATTAACTTAGACTCACTTGACATATCGACGGGAAGATTCTTTTTTTCGCGACCTGTGAACATATTATTACAAAACAAATTTCATCAATGTTTATCTTAAATCTTGGTGTCCGTTAAATTATGAAAAGGGAAGTATAGACAACGACATATATTGGGTCGAAAACTGACTGAAGTTAGAAATGTAAACCAATGAACGTCAATCCTGAGGTCTATAGTTATTGAGCGCGGGACGATAGTTAAGATTCTGGGTCTGAATCTTGATATGCCTTTGGATATCATATAGCTGAGTATTCTCAAACCAGAATGAAATGTATGCATAATGCTCTGTGGTTTTCAATGACTGTTTATTCAAATTTAGTCCAGGATAAAAACTATATCTTAGTAGAATAGCGTCTTTGCAAATATCTTGTTTTATTTACTTAACCATTTAAATGCCCCATTCTTTTGAACTTGAACAACAAAAATTGAGGAAGTATCCATCCATTCCATAATAATATAGCAAACATCCAGAGACAAAAAATCATATACAGACTAAACTAAAACTTTCATAAATTAGTCCCATGATAATTTATCTTTTGCTGAGATGAACAGAATACGTTGAAACCAGAAAAGCTCAGTAATTTTTCAAAAAAAAATAATATAGATAGTTAAAATGATCCATTAGAAATGAAATGTTTGGTAAATCCTTTCTGACTGTTCTTACAAAGTTAAATATAACCAAATTAATTGATTTTGGGGTATATCACAGTGTTGCGAAACTATGATTTAAAAACCTGATGGACAGTTTCAGTATGCTTTAAAAGGTTTTTGAGGGTTCCTCAAAGTATTTGTACGTTCAAAACGAGCTGTTAAATCTTAGACAGTTGAAAGGTAACTAGTTACTCGAATTTTTTCATTCGTTGATCATAAGCATTTTTTTCTCATATACTTATATGATGAAAATGAAAGAAATGAATCGAATGAGATCAATATAATTTCTGTCATGAATTCTCCCTGAGTTTTGGAGATCTTTAGTTTCATTTTATTTTGGACATCTGAATACATTGTTGTTGATAATTTGTTGCTTATTTCACCTTGGTTTTGCTATAATTCTTCAACTGACATGAGCTAATATCGAAAAATATTGTAAAACTATATATTGTTTTCTACTTTAAATTCTGTTCATGTACTGTTTAAGTACTAATGTAATTCTGTAACGTGAGAATGCACCAATAAATACTTGATTTTAACTATTGAAATTACTAAAATCTCCACAAAACCCCTTCTGAAAATACTTGATTATAATTTGTAATCGTTACAGTATGCAAGTGGACGAACATTCAAAGAATGTTGTGAATCAACCGTGTATGACTTAATCAACTTAAGGAAAATTTATTCCCTGTAATTATCCTTATGTATTTGCTAGAAAACTATCTAACTATAAACTTTTGAATGATAAATTGAATTTATCGTCAATTATTGACAATTGCATGTGATTAACTGGCTGTATTATTTCCCATTCTACAAAGATCTCTTAAATGCGAAAACGGATAGAAACATTGTAATGTCAGGTTGACAATTGCTTAGAAAATGGAGTCAATCATTTTACATAGGTGACAACATCACACTGAAGATTATGCTCATTTCCATTGAGTTTATCAAATAACTCTGTGTGCATACTCAATGTATTCGGAGGAGTAATCAAACTACACAAATGTTGAGAACATGTGTCAAATTGGGTACAGGTTCAATTCATATATCAAGTTCGGTTCAGCATGTAAGAAAAACGGACGTGTTCCTCCATAACAGGTCATATGATCGGCTTTAAGACAGGTCTTAGCCATTTAAATAATTTGTGAAATCTGTACTTTTTGTTTTATGGTTTCCTTCATTTACAGTTGATTGCCTTAAAAAGTTGATATTATATTTGATCGATTATCCTGTGACTCAATTAAAATCTAATTTCAGTTATCAAATGGTCCTGGTTTTATGGCTGTGCACTGCCAATGTTTATTAATAGATTTCATCATGAAAGGAAAGCCAATTCAATGTGCCTGCTGAGTCGTTCACTCATGTATTCCTTATTTTTAACCTCTTCTGAGGTTTTTCCCATCAAACAACGGCTAAACGTAATAAAGCCAGAAAAAGAACAGTCTAACAATATATGTACAATATATCGTAAGTTGCTACAGGATAATTTTCAACTCTTTAGATATCAATGTCATTCATATACACGTTTCATGTTGATGGAGATTTGTTCTCTGAGCTGGACGGTTTAGTCGTGGAGCTTTCATCGTTCTTGTGAACGACATCATCAGTACAAACTTCAGGTAGAAGTGAAGTGTTTGGATTTCTTTACATGTGGTTCACAGCTTGTCCAGTAAACCTCGATGTTGATTGGTTCTTGTTGATACTAAATCTGTCATTGTTTACCTCTTCGTTCTGGTTGCATCTCCCATTGGTTTGATTTTTGTGCCTATGTTTGTGCATAATTTTCCTGATTGATTGATAAGTTGGATCGATTTCAATATGCTTGTTTATTGCTGATTGACCTGAGTGCCAAGCTTCTAAAAATTCTCTGGTGTTTTTGAATTGCCTCTATCCGAAATCTCCACATTTTTCCAGTTGAATGTGTGTCCTCAGTTGTCCACGTGCATTAACATAAGCGAGGACATGTCATGGCGTTGTTGTTCATGCAGGTGAAGATGAATAGGGCGTCCGCTTTGTCCGATGTAGTGTTTTTCTCAGTTGACACAATTTATTTTGTAGATGATATTTGGTTTGTCTTCTTTTGTCATTTCATCCTATAGTTTGCATGGGACTGATTGTAGGGATTTTTATACCGATAAACTAACGATCAGTCCATAGGTAGATCAAAATTTAATCCATTTTATACTCCATCAATAATACATGACTATCTCTTGTAGGTATGAACTTTATACTGCACGAAGTTCTGATAACTCCCATTACATTATTTCACCTACCATTATTCCAAAAGTATTGAATAGTCTCATACATTGTCTTTATTTCATTAGGATTTGCCATTGCCGTAATTTATCTTCATTATGAACATGAATTACTTTTAAAATTACTTTGGGATCAATCTAATATTTAAGTCTCTAGAACAGTGTCATTACATAATGAGTGATGAAGAATGCAGTCATATTTTAACTTTCATTATTCATTCGTATATACTATGATTGAATTTAATATATGAAAACAAGAAGAAAAAAACTATGAAAATCTAAAAATTAAAGAATGTTATAATCAAATCTATGAGCATGGTTATATACAGATATATATAGTAAGGAATATACTTTTAAAAAAGGGAAAAAAATTCCATAGTAGACATTTTAGACATTCTTTTAATGATTTTGAATAATTCAACTACACTAGCTCTTCAGTAAAATAATGAAAATCTAGGTAAACTACATTGTTCTTGGAAAGTTGAAGTTTAGTTTTATATCTCTCTTAAATTTTAATCATTTTACACAACTTACTTTGAAGTGGATGATTGAAACGAAACACGTGACTTTTGCCTAAAATCACACGAGCTCCTGTATGAAGTTGAATGCGTTTTGTAACTAGACTTCCATTTACATAACATTCAGCTTCATTAAGCTGTTCAAATTCAACCATGCCTATAAATCAAAGTAAAGTTTAAGATTACATTATTTTTATCTCATAGAATAAAACTAAAGTTCCCTCAAGATTACAGATACATTTTGCTGACGAGTACCAAGTAGCACGAAACCTGGGTCTAGGGTTTCTTGTTGACTACCTCCAACCACCATCTAATCTCAACATCGTGCACGCAGTGTCCAGTCACCTTGTCTGGTGGCCACATTGCAATTGTCAAATGATAATCATTACTTCTACTCTTTAAAAATATGTTCACAACTATCGTTAATTTAATACTTATTCTTCGTATGGTCACTATCATACATTATTCACAATACTGCATGGACACAATAATTTTAAACTTATAAAAGAATATCTTCGAAACGGCCGTCCAGTGCTTCCAGGTTTTCCATGGTGATCTAGCTTCAAGTGACTCATGATCTCAACCATTGAAAAAACTAATATGGGTTAATAATCAATGTTAGGCTTAATGACTGTTATTGTAATCCTATGAGTTAAAATATAAAAAAAGTAATAAATTCATCCTTATTCAATAAACTGTTGCTATTCTCTACTGAACTTTAATGATAGAAAATACGATTTGCTTAATGAATCAAATAAAGTAATACAACAATAGCAATTTCCTCGATTTCGATAATATGTCTTGTCAAGGAATGAGTTATAAAGGGATTTTATAAATTCTGGCCTATATTTAACAGATTTTTAATATAAACTTTCAGTAGAGAATACATTTTTACATTATTATGTATTGAATGACAACACTAAATGATGAACGAGAATCTAGAAGTTGCTGAGTATTTTTTTCTATATTTGAAATGTTATTCAAAAAGTTATCATTGTCATTAATTCATTACATTACGTCAGTTAAAAAATGAATTCTTTATTGAGAATAACTATTCCATAATAAAACTAGCTATTGTTTTCTATGAAAAGTGAGGTATAAGTAAACTATATAAAAAAAGAAAATGTTCAGTTTAACTTTTAATGATACATTTTTGTGTTCGTGAACACTTTCCAGCGTGGCTAGACACAGGTTTGATGAAGAAAGTGAACGGCTCGATATTTGCACATTTAGTACAAACTGTTCATAGTGCCAGTATAAAATAGTCTATTTATAAGGTCAGTAATTTTTTGCCAAAGCTTGTCAGACTTAAGGTCCTTCAAACGGCTGAAGCAGTAGCCATCTGGATGAAGAAACCGGAGCTATGCGTTCAAAAGAAATATCTTCAACTGCTTCTCCTTCCCTGGCCAACATCAACGCCAATTAATCTATAGTAATCTCAGCTATTGGATGCCCTAATTTGACCAAGACCTTTCTTAGTCACTTGTGAATGTCTCTATTATCTTTATTCACAAATCTTTGTATTATTATTATTATTATTATTATTATTATTATTATTATTATTGGTTAAACAGCATTATTAATCTCCCCTATTCATTCACTTCGTATTTACCCCTCCTTATTACGTCTTACTAATTTTTCACACAATATAGCCTTCCACTAAACATTTGACCGAATTGTAATTGACATCAGATGGGGTTTGTGGATATTATAGTAATTTCGATTGTAATTGCACTATTATTTCTCTCACCCTACCTGACCCATATTTATTCTGATCATGGATCTTAAATTTCACTTAACCTATACGCAGATTCAAGTTAACATTCTATCTGAGTTATATGAACATTAACAATTTTATTGTATTTTGTTTAAAAATCTTTTATTCACATGCTTTAAACGATGTACTTTGCCCTTAACCTAACCATTTTTCAGATTATTAATTTGTATAATAAAATTGTAGGACCTGAACAGAATTTATCGAAAAGAATATTCTTTGTTCAGATATTAGTCTTTCAATATGATGGGGATCTTTAAACAGCATTTACTACTATTGAAAACCTAACAAGTGGCTTATTTAAAACATTTGGCTATAAATTTGATGTACTGTGCATTATATAAAAGCTGGTGAGTGAGTTATTCATATGAATCATATTGATCACAACCTTAATATGTATATCATCCATAATTGTTTCCGTTAAAATGTATATTCTACCGTCAATATTATCAAGCATTAGCCTATTCGATATGATTTTTAATGAAGAATATGGTTAAAACTCTTAATTAACCATAAGAAAATCACCGACAAGTAGTTGGTAGTGAATACCTGTTTTATTTAAATTTAGAACTCACTTAGTAGTTTACATTCAGAACTCCATAATGAATCAACTCCAGAACATGTTTTGGCAAATACAATATCGCCGCGTTAAGTTTTCAACAGCAGATTACTGAGAAAATCGGCATAAGAATTATACGATATCATCAATGGTGAATATTTCACTTATGATACAGCTATACTATACTAATCATAAACTCGTAAACTTATCTGCACAGCAGTTACAAACATGTTGGTGATTATTGTTTAGTCAGATAATTTCTAAAGTGTAGTTAAATTTAGAGTTGAATATTGTCGTTGGATTACATCAACTGAAGAACCCTTAGGTTTTAAGTAACTTCAATACAAAAAATTTATTTAGATGAGACAATTTAAATCTTTGATAAACTATTTACTTGTAAATCTTTTAATTTTTATTCGTTTGAATTCATTTACAATCTACTTACTTCCTTCAGTGTAGAAAATACAATGTTCATTATGAATAAGTGGACCACTTAATCCAATATCAACTCCTGATTCAGATTCCAATCGGCCAACTCTGCAAAATAAAAGATAAACTATGAAGACACGAAATATTTTTATTTTAAAAAATGATCAGAAAGTACTGGTTTTGAATAATACACTGATTACTATGAGTTTGATATATAGGTAAGGATTTTGTGGATATTATTGTAATTTTTAATACATGAGATCATGAGTCAATTAAAGCTAGACCACCATGGAAAAACTAGAAGCACTGGATGGCCGTTTCGTCATAGTACAGAACTCTTCTGCAATACACATTCATGATCCTACCTCGTGAGATTCGAACACACGACATTTCGGTCTCATGCGTGAACGCTTAACCACTAGACCACTGAGCCGACCGATATCCAACCGTGTTAATGTCTAAATTCTACTAATACACGAAATTGAGTGACACATCCACCATTGTCATCAGTGAGTTACTATCTCACAACAGACCCGGTTGAACTCCACTAGTCACTGCTTTTCATTAGAACTCCAGGAAATACCTGTTGAAGCCAGTCATTAGTGAGCATAAGATGATTAGTATATGAAGGGGTTTCGTGGATATAATAGTTCTTTCAGTACTTCCATGTTTTCCATGGTGGTCTAGCTTCAATTAACTCATGATCTCAACTATCAAAAATTTAATATAAATTGTGAAACATAAGAACAACATTTTCTGAAGAAATGTCAAAATTTTCCTGAGTTAAAGAGTTTATTATTGTTCAACAAATTTTGAAAAACCAGAAGTTTAGATGGAATATGAATAATAAGGGAAAAAGTCAAAAAATTTCTTAGAATATACTGGAACGCAACGTCATTTATAGAAAATCAATAATTGGGGGACAAAACTCTTCGTATATGACTATTAATACACGTTTTAGAATCTAAGGAAGAAAAAAAGAAACGCATTAGTTCACCAAGACAAAACAAACGAAAACTATTCAGAGAAGAACATTTCCTTTTCAACAGTATCATTTTCTGAAGTTGGATACAAGAAGCACGAAACTGGAATCGTAAGCTGTTGCATAATTGACCAAAAAAAAACAACAAAATGTATCAATCATAACATCTACTTTCAACTTGGTTCAATAGATAAATGCACTAAGCAAATTGTTTATCTCCATTCATAAGATCTATTGAAATGATCAGAGTAATGGTTGCTATTTGTAAAACTTTTAAATATAACATTTTATTCAGTATTTATTGTATTTTCTATAAAATATAACTGGTTCATAAGAATATTTACTGAATAATTATTGAAAGTTTCCACTAAAGAACTTACACAGTTTTTCCTTCTTTAAGATAGTAAATAAGACATTCTGACATGGCTGGATCTTCATTAAGATTCACTAAATGTGGAGTCTTCAAGAAAAAAGAAATAGAAATAAATAACACAAAAAAACTGATGTTAGTAAATTTAGTGGTTTAATTTATTAGATGAGTAATTTATAATGAAATGGATCAATTTAGGATACTTATTTTTTGACTGTTTGAAATATACACCAACAAGTTTTGTTTTACTAATAAGGATTTATACTAATGAAGTGCAATTCATCTGTAGACTGATCATTTACGTTTAGTGTATAAAAATGTGGGACAGGTCATAATCCCTAAGATTACTTTATTATATTAACAATTGGGCAATTTAGAAGGGGTTTTGTGGAGATTTTAGAAATTTCAATTGTTAAAATCATGAATCAATTGAAGCTAGATCACCATGGAAAGCCTGGAAGCACTAGAAAGCCGTTTCTTCCTAGTATGGGACTCCTCAGCAATGAGCATCCACGATCCCGCCCTCGAGATTCGAACCCGGAACCTATCTGTCTCGCGCGCGAGTACACTGGAGACAATGGTGTACGGTTGCGCAATTTCGTGGATTGGTTGAAGCTAGGCATTAACACCGTTGGATGCCGGCTCAGTGGTCAAATTGTTAAGCTCTAGCGCGCGAGATTGATAGGTCTCGGGTTTGAATCTCGTGAGTTGGGATCATGGGTGAGCACTGCTGAGGAGTCCCATGCTAGGACGAAACGACCGTCCAGTGCTTCCAGGTTTTTCATGGTTGTCCAGCTTCAATTGGCTCGTGATTTCAACTATAGAAATTTCTAAAATCTCCTCAAAACCCCTTCTGATAATAATCATCTGTTCACTAGTTACTGACTTCAAGATGCATTTCCTGCAGTTCTAGTGAGAAGCCGTGACCAGTGGAGTTCAACCAGGTCTGTTGTGAGATATCAGCTCACTGAAGACAATGGTGGACGGTGGCGCAATTAAACATTTCCTCTAGTCTGAATAGTGAGTTTCTAGGTATTTAGCTTATTTTCTTTGGAACTACAAATGCAAACCATCATAAATGACATGTTTTTAGGTTTAAAAAAATGTAAATTTTGCCTACATATTCCTATTCTTTTTTCAAATTACTATTATTATTCATTTATATTAAGTAAGAGTTGATAACACAACTGCCACATGAATGGAACTGGAAACATTCTATACCATAAATTAGGTAAGAAATGTGTTGTTCTAATTCCAAGACAAATTTGTAACAAGTTTGTGGGATACCAGATTTTCATTGAGGAAGCTATTTAATGTATTACATTCGAAATGGTCAGTTTTATCATGTCGGACGATGTTAGATTGTTTAACATACATCCCAGTAATAAACTTGTTTATCTCTGGTTACTGAAGTCTAGTTGCTAAATGCTGATAGAAATCAATACTTATTGTTGTTTTTGGTGCTAAAAAAATGCATTGAATAGTATTAGGATGATTAAATGACGATTTCCAAGACGGTTTCGATTGACCTCAAGTGAGAAACCATAAAAGTCAAGAAGCATTGTACATCTGTTTTGTTCTACTTTGAGACATTTTACTCATACACAATCGCAGCCATGACAGGGTATGGACGCATGGCTTAAGTCCCTGCAGGAAACACTATACCTATAAACTGCTGTATTAGGATCCAGTAGTCCAGATTTGTAAATTCAGTCAAATAAAAATCTTACGAATTCATGATAAAATTAATATTAATAAATATCGTTGGAATAAATGTTTAATTCACCAGAAAAGTTTAAATGTCCGTACATTTTTTGGAGAAAATACACCTCTGACACCACCATCATGAATAGCTATTCCCATTTCCATTAATTCATTTTCTCTAAAAACAAACATCAAGAAAGAGGAAAACTACCATGAAATGTATGCCAACTTGCTAGAATATGATAATTAAAGAATTAGGATAAGTATGGTTTAAATGAGATAAATTTTTCATTGAAACTGAACCGTGGTAACTAGTCATGAACAGATTACATACATCTATATATCATTAATATAAACACGTAATTTATGCCATTCTAAACTCCAATCAACGTATTCCCGATTCATCACATTTGACAAATTCTGTCGGAAATGCTGAAATCTCTATTTGATTTAGCTAAACGTTTCTTCTACCAGTCAATGTTTATAATTATATGAGTAAAATCACTCACATACAGACTTGCAAACATTCAAACCATTTTGTTGGGGTATTCATATCTCCGAGGCTGAGACTTGTGTTCTGAACTCAATCGGCTGGGCTAGACAGGGAAGCAGGACCAATCAGGACTCTAGGCTGCTCGCTCGTGTTTTATGCGTCACTGTTTCGATCGATAATAGGCTGCTGTCTAATAGGCGGGTCACACATTATAACATATTTAAACCTTGAAATTAAACTATTTGATAAATGGATGGTATTATTTTAATCTTTAGTAATTTGAATATAAACCCATTAAATTGACATTCACAAAGCATTCGGATAAATGAGTTTGTGTGTCTTTATACGTATATCCGCCTTCAAATTTATAGATTGTTTAAACCACTTATATTTATGTCTGACTGACTGATTCAACCACTGATCGTTTTGTTTTCATAGTTAATATTAATTTATTCTTTTCTGTCTCTTCGCTTCTACTGATTAGTCGTATCACTTAAGTTGTATGATATAACTTATTCTAATTCAATCGTTGAATTTATGAGTCAATTGAAGCTAGACCATCATGGATACCTGGAACTACTGGATGGTCACTTCGTCCTAGCACGGGACACTTCAGCGATGCGCATCTGCGGTCATGGGATTCGAACCCAAGATTTTGGTCTCGTGAGAGGACGCTTAACATCTAGACCACTGAGCTGGCATCCAACGGTGTTAATATCTAACTCTAACCAATCCACGAAGTTACGCCACCGTCCACCATCGTCTTCAATTGACTCGTAAATGCAACTATTAAATTACCATAATATCCACAAAACCCCTCTTTGATTATTCTAATCACTTCCGTTTAGAACTCTAAAAGCTATACCATCTATAATTTTTAGTCAAAAGTATATATCAGGTTGTCGAAAATGATCAATAATGAAAAATTGATTTAAGATATCGTATTTTTGAAAGAAGGAACGTTCATCTCTAAACCGTGTTAAGTTATAAATGAAATTCACAAAAGTTTATGTTTTTCTGCATTTAATATTCAGGACTGTATTTGATCAGCGTGTTTTCACATAGATGCACTGTGAACGAATGTCTCTACTATTGGAGAGCAAATATCTATTTGATGAGTCGAAAATAACGAGAAATATGAGTCAAAGATTATATTAATAATCATAATCCAAAATATAACTAAATTTGCGATTTTACACTACGATAAACTTTCCTTTTTGATAGAAACTGATTAGATAAAACTTTCTGAATATGAACCATGGGAAAATAAAAATCTTTTTTAAATAATATAGTATCCGTTAGACAAGCTAGTGGTGGTCTGGATTCAATAGACTAATGATTGATGCATCAATGTTCATATCCATACTAAGTTTCAGTCTCAGTATGGACATTTGGATCGTAATAGAGGTACATTGAATTGAAGTTTCTCATAAAACCCTCATTATAGATTACCTACTATTCATAATCTAAAAAGTATAATTATTCTAAAATCTAATTTCTATTCATAAAAATAAGCATAGTATAATTTGAAATGTCCTAAAATAGACATAATCTTCTATACATGGTGTTCTAATATTTCATTTTTATATCTCTTTATGAACGATTATATACATGAACTTAAGCTCAAAATTGATTATTACATGAAATCATTCTCCTAAAATCAATAATAAACTGAAACTTGATGATAAACCGTAGAATAAAATGTTTATTGATTATTGATATATTTCTTTCTATTTTTCATAAAATATACCATTGATAGAACATTTAAGACAAATCTACCATAAAGTTGTTGGACTTCTCATTATTCTTATGAAAATATAGTTTAATGATTAATTTCCTACTATCTTTGATCAAAGATACAAAATCCGAATTGTGGAATTGGTTGTTTTCATCCTCATTTTGATGTTGAAGACTGTGATTGGTCAATTTCTTACTGGCATTTATGCATCCTATGTAGATTGCATTGATATTACTTTAATTCAAAAGGTTTATAGGCAGAAATGGATGTTAACTAGCTATAAAATCAAGGGTGCATATTTCATCCTATTTGGAACTCATTAGAAACTATTCATTTTTATTATGATTATTGTTTAGTTACAATGGATGTATGATAAGCCGTAATAGTTTTTGGATTCTAATTATTATGTAAATTATATTGTTGGCATCAGTAGCTAAGATTTATAATTATCATTCACTCTGTAAATTTACTTATGTACTATTTTCTTATGAACGTTTACATTGGTTTTGGTTTTTTTTATTTTTGATATCCCAGCAACAAAATATAATGGAAAAACCGATGTCCTTTTTTTAAATATTTTTTGTGCTTACTAATCAAGTGAATTTTTTAAAAATATTCTAAGTATATTTTGTTAAAATTTACTCATGACCACACCTTTGTTCTCTGAGTATTTCAGCTTTTCTAAGCTTCATCTCCATTGTTTCATTTAATTCAGCAATTAACTTTTCAGAAGCCTTTAATGCTTCTAAAGTTGTTTCATCTTCATATATAAATGTTTCTGTAGAATGTTGATTTGATATAGGTGAAGTTCCAATGGTAATAGCTGGAAAATAGTAAATACATTGAATGAATTATTTGAATAATTAAAACATCGTTTATGTTTATGTTATTATTCTACATAAAACTTGAGTGACTTGTAAAAATTGGTTAAAAAATAGTATCAGAAAGGGTTTTGTGGAGATTTTAGTAATATCAATAGTTGAAATCATGAGCCAATTGAATCTAGACCATCATGGAAAACCTGGAAACAATGGACGGCCGTTTCGTTCTAGTATGAAAATCCTCAGCATTGCGCATCCACGACCCCGTCTTGCGAGCTTCGAACTCAGGACGGGCGGGGTCGTGGATGCGCACTGCTGAGGAGTCTCACAATGGGACGAAACGGCCGTTCAGTGTTTCCAGGTTTTCTATGATGGTCTAGATTCAATTGGCTCATGATCTCAACTATTAAAAAATAGTAGTTGAATAATGATACCGAAGTAATTTGGACGTAAATGAATAAGAGTCAAATCATAGAAGATATAAGGTAATCTTACTACTGTTTAATAACCTTCATTGATGAAGTGGTTTCTTCAAAGATATGACAATCTGTATAAATGTGAGTGTACGAATTGTTCCAAGATATCTTTCATGAGTTAACAAATCTTGGCAGTATTTATAGTGTATGATATTCAACATCTGAAGTCATGGAGATAGAATAAGTCTTCAAAAACTTTAAGGCGTAACCGTATTTTCAAAATTTAGGCTTTTGTAATTCTATACCTTTTTCACTAATGTGTCAAATTAGTTCAAAGCTTAAGTTTAAAATTAGTATTAATGACTTCGAAGTCGAGTAACCAGTTTTAAAATCATTGAGAAGTAATCAGCTTGACAGTTATATATACTATCACGCTAGTGAGTAACTACCGGTATGGAGGTCTATGATAAGACATTTCAAATTCAATTATTTCATTTATAGATCATATAACCTAGATGATTGACCTTTTTACAGAATCAAGAATTCGACAATATAATGTTAATTTATCCCTAATAGGACAATGAGTGTATCTTCTAGTGTTTCGATGATGTTAGAGTTAGATACTCAAGCCCTAAACTTTGTGTTAGTCTGGAGTACGATTTCACCGTCACAAAAGTTTCGATCGAAATTATAAATTTTATAAGTCAACAATAGCTTATGGTTTACTGTTGATAACACCGAATAAAACTTAATTCTCATTTAACTTATTCGCTTATACCATAACCATCAGTAGTGTTAAAAATATCTTACAGGTTTTCATTTGATCTTCCATCTTCAGAATTTGTTTTAAACGTGCTACTTCAGCTTTTAATTCTCTAATTAAAACTGCTGTTGGATCTTCATTGATAATTGCCTTGCATACAATACTTTTAGCACGATCTGCATAACGTAGTGTCGATAAAGTTTCATCGAAATTTACATCCGCTGGTGATAAGGCTGCAATCATTGTTGTATGTGAATTCCCACCTATTGTTAAATGTAAAGTGAAAAGTACAAAGTAATAATAATCGTTTCATCAAATAAATAAAAACCATCTTTTATTTGATGAGCAGCTTATTTTTATGGTTGGATGCGCACCGCTGAGGAGTCTCACAATAGGACGAAATGACCGTCCAGTGCTTTCAGGTTTTCTATGGTTGTCCAACTTCAGTTGACTCTTGATCTCAACCATTGAAATTAATATTTATGTGTTCAAATAATTTAGTGAATGACAATATTTTTTGTGATAATATTAATTGACTTAATGTAATAATTAATAGTAAATAGATTATGATATGTGAACTGATAAAATTCTAATATTGTTTATTATGTCCTAATACCAATCATAATATCTACCAGTTTCATTTCAGTCTCATTTGAGTACATTTCATGAATGGATAGAAACATGATATTACAATCAAGCAAAATGTAATTCACTCATATTTCTTGGAATAATTCAAAATGAAACAACCAACAAGATAATAAGATTATACAACCTGTCAGTGATTAACCAAAAACAAAACAGAACAAACAAATGAATGGAATTCCAAAAAAAAGAAACGAAGGAATTCCATCAATTCATTAAAATGAATATGAAAACGTTTCAGCGAAGAAAATTTTTGTCTCCAAAATATCATTCTCTAAAGCTGTACAATAGTATTTATAGGCATTTTTTTACATAAAGTAGTCTATAGTAAAGTAGAGGAGATTGACAAAATTATCCAAGATAGTCAAAATTACTCAAGTGGAATTCAATACAAACGAAATGATGTTACATAATACAGTCAAGATTGTAATAATAATAATTTATAAATGAAAGGTTATTGTTTCCATGTATTTAAAGTTTAGAAGTATTAAATAAAAACGGTTGCATCATTTAGCAAATAAACAAAAAATCAAAAGTTTTTGTGGATATTGTAGTAATTTAATAGTTGAGCCTACAAGTCGATTAAAGCTAGACCACCATGGAAATCCCGGAAGCACTGAACGGCCGTTTCGTCCTAGTACAGAACTCTTCTGCAATACACATTCACGATATCACCTCGCGAGATTCAAACACACGACATTTCGGTCTCATGCGTGAACGCTTAACCACTAGACCACTGAGCCGACCGATATCCAACCGTGTTAATGTCTAAATTCTACTAATACACGAAATTGAGTGACACATCCACCATTGTCATCAGTGAGTTACTGTCTCACAACAGACCCGGTTGAACTCCACTAGTCACTGCTTTTCATTAGAACTCCATGAAATACCTGTTGAAGCCAGTCATTAGTGAGCATATGTTGATTAGTATCAGAAGGGGTTTTTGTGGATATTATAATAATCTTAATAGTTGAGATCATGTATGAACAAATGTTTCATCCAGAAAAATGGCCTGAGCTTTTTCAGGAACCATTTAAGTTTCAACCGCTGAAATTACTTTAAATTCAATTTTTTATTTAAATAGTCAGAATGGATCACATTCATGATATCAACTATCGGTTGTTGCGATAAATCTGAGTTGATGTTCACCATGGGACTCGAGCCCAATACCATTCGCTTCAAACTCTGATATGCAGGCACATCTAGATGACGTGTCCCAAATAGAACGAACGCGCGCCCTAGCCACTATTCATCTATGCTTATAAAATATATGATTGTAGCTTTACAATTTTGTCAAAATCATAAGTCTAAGAACAGTACATGTAATCATATCAATGCAGAGAAATATCATCTATATAAACGATGACTTTTATAAATTATTGGAATGGCGGTTTGTGAAGATTGTAATAATTTTAATAGTTAAATTCAAGCAGTGCGCTTCAAGATAAATTTCCTAGAGTTTTAATGAGAAGCCGTATCTACCTCAGACAATGGATAAATGATTGCACAAGATGATGACTTGATTGAAGTTAAATATTAACACTGTTGGATGCTATCTCAATGGTCTAGAGATTAAGCATTCACACGCGACATCGGAGGTCCTGGGTTCGAGTGTTGGATTGTGGGATGAGCACCGCTGAGGAGTTTCATACTAGGACGGAACAGTCGTCCAGTACTTTCAAGTTTTCAATAGTATTCTACTTTAGATTGACTCATGGATTCAACTTTTATAAATAACTTAATAAAAAGTAAGTAAATAAAATTTGTACGCGATATCTATTTCTTTTATACTTACCAAGATTTTCTTTTAATAACCAGGTAAGTACCGAATCACGATATGGTATAAAATCATTCTTCTTTCTTCGTTTTGAGCTCTAAACCAGAAATTACAAAAAAAGAAAATAACTATGTCTTGATTTTTGTCTCGTACACGTTATCAGACTACAAAAACAAATCAACTTTATCTTCACTGAAACAACTAGACCATAAAATCATTTCATAATGAAGATATTTCTGGTTAATTAATACTAACAGAATCCCTATTGATCGGTTTCTTGATAACATTTTTTTACCTTTTCCATTGTACATTCTATTTGACTAGTTAATTCAAAATCTAATTATTATTACACAAATATGTTGGGATTTATTTTTCGAGTATGCAAAAGAATTTAAATATTAAACACGCGAATTCGGTTTTTTTTAAGAAATCACCCCTACAATAAACTATCTGATAAAAGAACAGTAAGTGAAATTTTATAGAAACCAATTTAGTCAAACAATCAATTGATGATTAGTTCAATGGTTAGATTCATGAAAACCTGAAAGTACTGAACGGCCATTTCATCCTAGTATGAGACTCCTCAGCAGTGTATATTCACGATCCAACACACGGGATTTGAACCCAAAACCTTCGGCCTCGCCCGCAAACGCTTAACCTCTAGACCACTGAACCGGCATCCAACGATGTTAATGTCTAATTTCAACCATTGAAGCTCGAAAATGTTAAACATCACATTAAACTCTCACTTAAAGTGTCAATGAAAGTTCAGATGGTTTAAGTTTATTTCGTTTCCATCTTCAGATTTTGTTACAAAGATACTTTAACGTGCTTTCATATCTGTTCAAAAATCATTGGTGAAATGAGATGACTTATCTTGTTTACTGTTAAACTGACAAACTACATAATAGTAAAACAAACTACTTGATCTTGAAGTTAACATTAGCTCGCCATGTTACTGAGACATGAAAGTTAAGTATAAAAACATCTGCAACATTTTGATCCCGAATGGAAATGTTTCATATGTTAGAGTATCATTAATATGTTCCTTTCTTCTTGATAAATATCAGATAATAATTTAAAGAACTCAAAGGTCTTTCAACATCTTTGAAAATATTGTTTATGATTTCATAATAGAATTATAGACTGAAGTATTTAATATAGATAAATCTGTAAATTTTATCATTTATCACTACTCTATAAATCAAACTAGTTAAGATGTTGACCTTTATATTAGTAATATAATTTGACTTGGAATCCATCATTTCAATTAATCAATGTGCTAATTGATTTCAACAGTTAGTGAACGTTTTTTGGTTAGGGGTAACAGCTTGTATTTGATTCATCGGTTGAAATATAATTTACCTGTGTGTTTATAGTTGATAACCAGAAAAAATAGATAAGAAAATGGAAGTTCAAGTGAAATACGGTTATGTAAAAGTTTTTTATCTGATTAATACACTAAACAATATATAAAATCTGAACAATACAGAGAGGGAACACAGTCTAAAAACTGACCATATCAGCTAATCCAGCAATTACTTTTCCCAGTGTTGTAAGTGATTTATTTATATTTGCTCCTTCTTTTAAACGAATATCAGTTGCTCCTGTAGCATCTGATCTTTCACTTCCAGCCAAATCAACTAGACTTATTTTACTGACCTTAAATCAATAAAAGGATACGGAAAACAGTTTTTATTTTAAAAAAATAAAACAAGATTACTATCATTAAGTAAAGAATTATTCTGAACGGACATGTTGTCGTTTTACATAAAAAAAGCAGAATTCGTCATAAATAATAACAGATGTCTTGTAAAAAAGTACCATTCTTTTATCTAACGTAGTATATAAATATAATCTTTTAGTAGTTCATTGTATTCATCAACATGAGTTGGCCATATACTATCAGCAACAGCCTTCTGTGGGAGAGGACAAATCAGCTTCCGGCTAAAGAGGAAATTATAAATAGACTTTGGAATTAAATAGGACATATATTACGGAAATCACCAAACTGCATCACAAGACATGCCCTAACTTGGAACACTGAAGGGAATTGGAAACGTTGAAGGCCGAAGAACACATTATGTCGGGAAATAGAAGTAGATATGAAAAGGACGAATAATAACTGGAGACAACTAGAAAGGATTGCCCAGGACAGGATTGGATGGAGAGTACTGGTGGGAGGCCCATGCTCCTCCACGAGGAGTAACAGGCGTAAGTAAGTAAATAAGTAAGTAAGTAACATAAGAGCCATGAACAACGATGTTATAAACCGGAACTTCGTCAACATTATATACGGTTTGTGATTTCGGTAACAATTTTAACAAACATTTGAAAATTACACGTCTTTTCATTTGACAAACATGATGTCATTTCAGTAAGATGTATTTAAACCAAAAAACTAGAATTTCCCAAATTATATGTAATCAAATGTGTACTAATCATATCTTTTGAAATAATATACATACCTATTTACTTTTCCCTAATGAATTCATATACTTTAAATCAGGCAGACACTATCATCAACAAACTACTGTGGGAGAGAACAAACCAGATTCTAGTGGAAGAAGAAATCAGGAAGAAGCGCTGGACACACACTGAAAAAAGCACCCAACTGCATCACAACGCAAACCCCTACTTGGAATCCTGAGGACCGAAGGAGGAAAGGAAGATCAAAGAACACATTACGCCGAGAAATCGAAACAGACATGAGAATAATGAACAAAAATTGGATAGAACTAGAAAAGAAGGCCCAGGATAGAATGAGTTGGAGAATGCTGGTCAGCGTCTATGCTCCACTGGGAGTAACAGGCGTAAGTAAATCAGGCAGATAATGAAAATATCATAGATAAAATTCTGAAGATTACATAATGTTTTGTTTTTGTAATCAAAGATTTTAACAGAAACTATAGAAAATTTTTGATTTCGTATTATTACAGTGTAATTATAAAAACTAATCATACGTTGTTAACTAAGTATCTATCTATCTATCTATCTATCTATCTATTAGTGGCTTTATTAAATATTATACTTTTGGCACAATATAGAATTCGCAGAACAAATTATTTTAACGAGTTTCCATTTCTTATTTCTTGATCAATCGTTACGATAAATACTGAGTGGTTGCCAGTCAGGAATCGACATCTGAATAATGTATAGTATTTTTGATGCATATTGTCAGCAACCATAATGTCTGTGATTGGTCTCTTTTGTAACTTGTACAGTGAAATGTAAACCTTTCACAAACGCACCTGAATAGGTTACATCTCACTTCCTACTTTTCAAAGTTGTATACTTATTAAAATCTTAACTCATTTTAATTCAGAAGCATATAAATATTCAAACTTACTTTCTCACTTGTTGTACCATACGATAAATCTTCAATTTTTTGTGTTACAACTATTGTGAAGACAGCATGCGATCTACTACTTGTTTCATTCATGTTGGTGGCAGCAACGGTCCTGTGCAGGAAAATAGAAATTAAAATAGTTTGAATTAACGGTAAATTTGTTCCTAGTCTCCAACATAACATAAAGGTTTAAATTTATTGATATCTAGCCTAATTTTCTTGAATCTGTGGCAATGACACTTTGAATGTAGCTAACCATTTACAAGGGGAGAGGTTAACTAAAAAATAATAAGAAATATTGTTAACTATTTTGACTGAACACTTGAATCGGTTTCGTAAACTCTTCTAGTAATCCTTGACTAAATTTACACGACAACTTGGACATGAGAAAACAGGCGCAAAATGTGGAAAGAACACTTTACTCAAAGGTCAGATCATGTACAGAAAATTGAGGGTATTTATAGCGTTTCAGATGGCCTTAGTTTTCTGAAGGTTTTTGGAACCCTATTAACATAGTCAGAAATGTGATACGTAACTCTCCACTATCTAGAAAATTCTGAGAAACTTCTAACCTTTGTTGATTATATAAAATGTTTCTCATAGTTTTTTTTTCGAGAAATACTGTAGATCTCCCCCAACAAATATATTAAAGAAGTATTATTAAAATTCTACTAAAGTACAACATTTTCTCACTTGGTTACTCTCTTAACCATTGAATTTGAGCATAGTTATCTTTAATTCTTACTCGAATTACTTAGCAATATAACCTGATCACTTAAGGCTACTCGTAATAATTACCTTAATACTGAAACGGATTAAACAGTAAAAACTCAAAAATTCTTATAGAAAATAGTCACTGATTACTAGATGGTCAATAATAAAATATTTTAATTTAAAACTAGATTTAACTGGAACCAGATTACATTTAACTGCTTGCGATGTCATGAATGAACACTGCTGAGGAGTCCCATATTAAGAAAACAACGGCCGTTTAGTGCTTTAAAGTTTTCACTGGCAGTCTAACTTAGATCGGGTCATTATTTCAAAGAAACATTGGCCCACATTTTAGTCACAGACACTAATTTGGTTGTTACCAAGTTTTTCTGTACTCTTGTCTTCTTTCCGTGTTCCTTTTTATTAGTTGATTATTACCGAAGTGTTGTGTGACACTGTTCTATCAAACCTGTATAGGATCCATTAGCATTAGGATATGCTCAACGTTCCCGTAATTACTGCTTACCGTAAGCCCATACAGAATCTTAATCGGCAGGTACAATAACGATCTAGATATCAGATTCGGCGTTAGATCTAAATACCCAGAATTTGATATCTTACCAAATCCGAAACTAAGACAGAACGTCTATAAATCGACCTCCGATTTTCATTGTTTTTCAATGCATATAGTAATCTTTAAGGAAACAATTCAAATTGGATCAAATTCTCACACTCTTATCTTAATTCTAACTGATTACTCTGATTAAACTGTGAAGAAAACTAACATTTTAAGACCAGATGACTGTAACCAATGTTATTTATCTAAATTTATAGAGAAGAATTTGGTGAGACTACAATCTATGGATGACCTTTGAGCGACGCTAGATTGACCTTGAGGGTATCCACCTAATAACCAGGACCAAATAAGGGTTATAAACCTGTGTGAGGAATTATAATTATAATTTACAGTTGATAATTAATGTTAGAAATTAAATTTAGGGTTTTCATCACAAACTAACATCAACTATAATGACTAAACTCTATTTATCCCAATGAATAAGTGAATTTCGCGTCAAAATCCTAAACCTGTTATTTTATACTTGATTGGTTCGTCCATAAATCACATACTAAATAACTAGTTTAATCAATTATTTATTTCAAGTTTCATAAATGTTATCAAACTAAATTTATTACAGTACCAGATAAAAACAAAAAATGTTTTTTTCCTTGTAAATCAATATTTCATTTCAATTTTTAATGATATCATAGATTGTATCTATTTATTCTCATTCATAGTTCATGTTTCCAATGTGTTTTGTTCATAATGAACTTTAAAACATACAATTTTCACTTCATTAAATATGATTGGTGTTTCTAATGATAGAAAATATGTGTATTGTTATGGTTACTTTGTTTTATATTCCATTTAATTATTTTCATTTAAAAGTAAATAGGTATTTCATGGGTTAATTTATAAACTATAGTCTTTTTAACATTACTCATTAAACCTAGTGAGTGTTTACTTTTATTTCCAATGAATTGAGATACGAAAAAATTGTGTATGCTTCCTTTAATTATTTACGGCAGTAAAACGCTAGAATTTGATTTCTGACATAATAGTGTACTGAATAAGAATACGAATGTGGACATGAAATCACAGAGCATCTGAATAAAATCAGAGAACCATATAGTAAATAGTTGATTTACAAAATATCAATCCATTGTCTCAAACTTCACTGTTCCTTTTGCAAATATCAGTTCATTGTCTCAGATTTAATTGTTAATGCAGTTTCATACCAATTGCGTTCCAGTCCCCTTCGTTCCTTCTCGATCTTCTACTAAAATACATCCTATGCCACACCATCGTTATATACTACTTGTGTAGATATAAGTAACCCACACCACAATAGCGCATATCGATTTTTCACTTCTTACATTTATATTTAGGATTTCAAACTATACTTAACATGTATGTAATGGTACTGTGAAATATATTTTTTCCTTCATTTAAAAGACAATGTCATTAGTTAAGAATGAAATCGACTCATCGAGGAGAATATTTCAAATCTTCTGTGGTACTGCACTACTAAATTATATAAAGGTTTTTATAATAGAAACTATATATATATATATATATATATATATATATATATATATTCCATTTTTTTAAAGATTTTTTCGTTATTATTATTAATGGCTATCAAAATTACTGATCGATTTGACCTGAAATTATTCCCTTTATTACTGATGATTTTTAAATATTGATATTTTATGTTGAACAAATGCATAAAGACATTTAATATTGAAATGATGTTATACGTTAAAATTGTGAGAGTTGTGTTTTCAGTACTCCAATGTTTGATATCACAAAACAACTTTTCAAACACTTAGTTTCCTTGATACACTTCTATTCTGACCAAATAAACATAACAATGGGAAGATACAAGTAAAACAACAACAAGTGAATCCAAATAAACATTATTCGTATATCAACGTAAAGTCATCCATTTGTTAGCTCTTTTACATGTTGTATTAATCACACTGTATTATAACTTTAAAGATGACATATTTCAACAATGGCAAATTCACTTCATTTTCACGATGTTTGTTTGTTCTTAATTAACGAAACTGTAGATTTTATTGTCGACATTATGAACTACTTAAATAACCAGTGTTTTCATGACTACCAGATAATGTGGAAAACGAGCGATCATTGTTAAATTAACTGTCTGGTGTGAGATTCTACTTAATTGTACAGTTATCTAGCCACACATATAAACGTCTTATTCTGAAACAGAACAGTTTTGTGACTCATTATTCTTACTTTATTCTAATTTAGGTCACAGATAAGAAGTATTTGGTATTTGTCTTGATTCAGAAATGTAAGAAAACTTCTGTAATATATGACTGTAAGAAATAATAATTAGTTACAAACCTTGCTTTATTACCCACATCAATCAATTCATTAATTTCATCAAATGAGATAACAGCACATTTTGATAAATCTTCAACATATGGTCCAAGAATAGGATGCTCTCTTACACGTAAATTTCCTTTACTTTTTGGATCCAGTAAATCTCTTACACGTTCACAATAAATTTCCATATATGATACCTGAAATTTTAAATGTAATAAGAATTAATGATAATACCGGGTGACAATCAATTTAAATCATTAAACAACTTTAATTAATCAGTCAATATAACGTAAGCACTTTGCTCAATCATACATACATACATACATATGTACTTGATACATTTTAATCCCTATGAATATGCTGTTTTTTGACAAGATTTCAACAATTAACAAAATTTGGCAAAGTTACTTTTTTGTGGTTTCTATTGGAACTAATCAAATAATGAGACTGGATTGTTTCGTTTGTTTGTTTCTTTTTCTTCTCGAAATTAGAATTTCTATTTGATGAAATTGGATTTTACATTCATTAAGATAATTCATATATATAACAACAAACATACAATTGTATTTGTGACAGGAAATCTGATTGTTCCGTCCCAAAGAAAAACCTTTATATAAGTCTGGAATTTGAAGGTGATCGAACATCAAATGTAATCAAAAATTGTCTAACAGCGGCGAGGCACTGGACGGCTGTTTCGTCCTATTGCAGGACTCCTCAGCAGTGCGCATCCACGATCCCGCCCCCCACGAGATTCAAACCCGGGACCTATCAGTTTCGCGCATGAGCGCTTAACCATTAGACCACTGAGCTGGCTGGCATCCAATGGTATTAATGTCTAACGTCAACCAATCCACGAAATTGAGCGATACATCCACCACTGTCTTCAGTGAGCTGATATCTCACAACAGACCTGATTGAACTCCACCGGTCACGGCTTCTCACGAGAACTCCAGGAAATGCTTAGACGAAAGGGCCATCCAGTGCTTCCAGGTTTTTCATAGTGGTCTAGCTTCAATTGACTCATGATTTCGATTATTGAAATTTCTAAAATCTCCACAAAACTCCTTCTGATAATTGTATTTTACATTTTTTAAAATAAATAATTCAGTTTGCTAATGATATTGATTTACTGTAAATACCGCTAGATTGTTCTTTATGGTAACTTGTACAACAGCAACAACTAATATGTTTTTTTGGCTTCGATTACAATCAAAGTGAATATTGGGAAAATTATATTTTGATAATTCAGTCTATATTTTTCAAATAGTGATAAACCATTTTGTTTCAATTAGTTGACTGTATTCACTGACTTATCAGTTCTATCTGGTATGAATTCTAAATCAAGGACTATTTTTATCATTTATACAATTTATGGAAAGGAAAATGAACAATAAATAGGTATTGATTTATCAATGTACTTGATATTCTATTTTAAGTTAAAAGTGTTTACTATGTATTTAACCATATAACTTTTAGTGGGACCCTTCATCACACTTGACGGAGAAGATTTGGAGGATTTAAAAATATTTATCTGGGCAACATCTGATGCAGATGTGAAGGCGCGAACCAACAATGCAACAGCAGCATATCTACAACTGAAGAACATCTGGATATCAAAACAACTGTCAACCAACACCAAAGTCAGAATTTTCAATACAAATGTCAAGACAGTTCTACTGTATGGGGCGGAAACTTGGAGAACTACGATAGCAATCATCCAGATACAAACGTTTATTAACAGTTGTTTACGCAAAATATTTCTGATCCGTTGGCCAGACACTATCATCAACAAACTACTGTGGGAGAGAACAAACCAGATTCTAGTGGAAGAAGAAATCAGGAAGAAGCGCTGGACACACACTGAAAAAAGCACCCAACTGCATCACAACGCAAACCCCTACTTGGAATCCTGAGGACCGAAGGAGGAAAGGAAGATCAAAGAACACATTACGCCGGGAAATCGAAACAGACATGAGAATAATGAACAAAAATTGGATAGAACTAGAAAAGAAGGCCCAGGATAGAATGAGTTAGAGAATGCTGGTCAGCGTCTATGCTCCACTGGGAGTAACAGGCGTAAGTAAGTAAGTAAGTTTATTTTGATGGCAAATAGATCGGTTGATGTTATCGACGGGCTAACCACTTTAGTGTCCTGAACTTTGACTCCAATTGAATTGTATGTCACATGTTATTGAAATAAATCTGTCGCCCATCCTCGTATATAACTATAGACTTAATCCGCGTTAGTGAATAACGGAATTAAATAAGCCAAATACGTGAATGGATTTTTGAACGCGTATATTTTGTACACCCGTTGATTTGAATAGACAATCAGAGGGACGAAGAGAAGAGAAGAGAGCGAAGTGGAATAATGTGCAGTGGAGAAAGCATATGAATGAACTCCATTCAGCCGAGCGTTATTTAATATTTATAGTCATACAAAAATAAGTTACAGACATGTGATGAATAGGATACGAAGTGCTCACTCATACGCTCACATACAAACAGTTAGGATTGATAAGTGAATAATTAACAAGGTCAATAAGTGACTCAATAAGAATGAACAAAGTAATGAATAAAGGAAATATATATATTTCCTTGAAGAAGCTTGGACCGGATTGCCAGGCGAAACGTTGAATTTACTTCAAAATTCATTCACTGAGATTTGACAAATACATTTTTCCTCTTTAATGTCTCGCATTAACTCGGCGCCCAAATACTATGAAACTATTCGATCAAATTTAGACGAAAGTTCTTATTTAAAAGTATTCTATTTCAGGTATGTAATGAATAAGCTTCATGTTCATATGGATATGTCACCAATATAAGAATTAAGGATGTTTAATACAAATGATGACAAAAATCATTCTCAGCTATTACTAATTAACTACTAATGAAACTAAACCGGAAGTGAAATTTAACATCATTGAAAAAAAAACAAAGGACAATTACAGATTACAATTCTTTTGCAGTAACTATTTGTAATTTACTTGGCTTAGATTATTATAATTACAATTATATTGGTGAGCTATCAATCTTAAGGTTTATTGGATGTTATAGTATAGTATTATAAATTGATTAATTTAAAAGCCTAACACTATTCTTTTTTCCAAATTTTGCAATTAACCGAATTTTACTAAACCAATATTCAAGATTTTCGCTTATGCTAACCTTACTTACTTACGCCTGTTACTCCTCGTGAAGGCGCATAGGCCACTCACCAGCATTGTCCATCCAACCCTGTCCTGGGCAATCCTTTCAAGCTCTTTCCAGTTGTTATACATCCTTTTCATATCTGATTTTATTTCCCGACGTAATGTGTTCTTTAGCCTTCCTCTTTTCCGCCTCCATTCAGGATTCAAAATTAGGGCTTGCCTCGTGATGCAGTTTGATGATTTCCTCAATGTATGTCCTATCCATTTCCATCGTCGTTTCCTAATTTCCTCTTCAGATGGAAGTTGATTTGTTCCCTCCCTCAGTAGGCTGTTGCTGAAGATATCCGACCAACGGACACTGAGTATCATGCGTAGACAGCTATTTATAAATACTTGTATCTTCTTGATGGTGGTTGTAGCAGTTCTCCAAGTTTCAGCTTCGTACAGTAGATTTGTCGTGACGTTCGTATTGAAGATTCTGACGTTGATATTGGTTGATAACTGTTTCGAGTTCCGTATGTTCTTCAATTGTAGGAATGCGGCCCTTACTCTCCCAATGCTCGCCGTTACGTCTGCATCTGAACCTCCTTGTTCATAGATGATGCTTCCCAGATATGTGAAGGATTCTACATCTTCCAGCGTTTCGCCATCAAGAGTGATTGGATTGGTGTTCTCCGTGTTGTATTTGAGGACTTTGGTTTTCCTATTGGGTATGTTGAGGCCTACTGATGCAGAGACTGCTGCTATGCTGGCTGTTTTCATCTGCATTTATTCGTGTGTATGGAATAGGAGGGCTAGGTCATCTGCGAAGTCCAAATCGTCTAATTGGTTCTGAGCTGTCCATTGTATTACGTGTTTCCCCTCGGATGTCGAGGTCTTCATAATACAGTCGACCACCGGAAGAAAGAGGAAGGGGGAAAGTAGACAGTTTTGTCTGACTCCGGTCCTTATTTGGAATGCATCTATCAGCCGGCCTTCACACACGACTTTGCACTGTAGTCCGTCGTATGAGTCCGGATAATGTTAACAATCTTCTCAGGAACTCCATAGTGTCGAAGAAGTTTCCATAATGCTTTCCTATGTACACTATCAAACACCTTTTCCTTATGTTAACCAGTTAGGAAATATTGTTATTTGTAGAGTTAAACGAATAAATCTTAAGGAATTTTAGGAAAACGTTGTTAGTTTATATATTAGTAATTATGAAAAATATACCAAATGTTTACTTCAACCATATGTTGTATAATTTGACCAGAAGTTGTTCTACTTAATCTTTTGAAAAGATCACGGCATAATTGTGGTATAATACCCTCTTGACCTTCAACACCTGGTTTACCCATCATTGTATAAGATTTTCCTGATCCTGTTTGACCGTAAGCGAATATGCATACATTATATCCTTCAAGGGCATGGTTAAGAGCATCATTACCAATATCATTGTAAACTTGTTTTTGATCTGCGTATAATGGATCCGATTTCTAAAAAAGAATAATATATTTTTGAATATATGCCTGTAAAAAGTTAAGGGACACCTTCCCAAATAACTAGTCAAATGAAATACGAGATACATTTATTTGCTAAAAGATTGAATTTCATTACAGTCCAATTACCAAACGTTTTGCTTGATTTTTGTTTTTTTTCACCCTGTACATCTAAATAAATCAAACCCTCAAAGTCTACCTTCAGTGTCAATCAGAATTTATTAAATGACTAAAACTGTTGAATTACCTATGTGGTATTCAGACTGGTGAGATAGTGATCAGCACTGATTAGAACATTTAATAAGGTTTCATGAGCTGTTTTACATGTGTGCGGTTTAAAAAATGTATTCTGAGCAAGATTAAATGTTGTCATGATTTGTATGATTTGGTTTATTGCCATTTTGGTTTCACCATGTTAATTAAATACGGCCCATGTGACTAATTTTTAAAAAAAGTGTATTATCGGTCTTTTACATGATTTTAATGTTAAATTTTGTGTAGATCTATTATACGAAAGGAAATCACTGAATCAAAATAATGTCAACTATTTTTGTTTTGTTTTAATAGCTAGTTCTGCTTAGTAGTTAAGATCATGAGTCAGTTGAAGCTAGATCACCATGAAAAACATGGGAGCACTGGAAGGCCGTTTCGTCGTATTGTGGGATTCCTCAGCAGTGCCTATAGACCTTTCTCAATACAGAAGAATGTAAATGATATGTAGAAAGCCAAATTATTTGATCTGTCTGAAAGTTCTGTAGGATGATAAACACTCATTGTGATTTATTCACTACCTAAGTTTCACATTAAAATGATAGGCATTTAATCAAAAGTTTATTGTGAAGTTTCACAACAAACACTTACTAACTACTGTGTTTTGTTTTATTAAAATAATGATGAATATATTTCCCTGTTACTATGCTACATATCCTAATTTCTCAAATGCAACATTTAATGGGTTTCGTTTGAATTTTTATAGTTCAACTGCATCAAAAGTTGTTTTTTCCGGTATGTTTGCTGATCTTCTTTTAAGAGTAATAGGAATATCATTAAACAGAAAGCATCGACAATTTGAACAATCCAAAAAAGAACATCTTGCTACAGTATCAGTTTAGGAATATTGGTTTTTTTCAAATTATCCATAACAGTACCTTTTAATCTCCTTGTATGATGTAGAAGTTCTTATTAGGTTTTATAATATTATTGAAAAGTCTTGTTAATTTGAACGCTATACTCGGTTCCTTAGCTATTCTTGTAACCCCCAAGCTAGAACTATACAGCAACCTGAACACGAGAGAGAAGGCGCAAAGTATGCGAAAGGTACTTACTTCAAGTTTCATTTTAATACAGAAAACAGAGGGTTTTTATAATATTCTAAATGTCCTTGGGTTGCTCGAAGGTTCTGGAATGCTATGAAACATAGTAGCAGTTCAACAATCAGCCAATCAGAACATCTACATGTGACGTTTCATATCTTTGATGTTTCTGGCTAAACTCCAAGTGAACGCTGATTGGGTGAAATGCTTGTTAGTGTTTCCTGATCCTTGCGTGCCTTTTGCGAGAAATTTTCTGGATCATCCCAACAATTATTGAATATTTTTTCAAGGAATATTACCATTGTTTTGTTAAGCCTATTAACTGTACATATGAACATGTAATTTAAAAATAAACCATACCCGTTCAGTTTGTGGAAAACATAATACCCTAAATCGAAGCTAACCGTAAAAAATAATTCTGTAGTGGGCGCTAGTTAAAAGATTGTTTGTAAGTTGTGGGAGCGAAACGTGGATTCAAAGTAGCAACAATCGTCAAACGGAGTGGATAGTTTCAGTAAATCGAAAGCATAACACGTAAAGACTAAACGAGATGGTTCAGACTGAAGAACACACCAAAATATACAAATGGAAGATTGAGGGCTTTGTATATCTATTATGTGAATACTTAGTAACTCACAAAAAACACAGAATGCTCCTGAGTATTGTCTAGTTATACAATGCCGGTTCTTGGTTTGCGCGATCTCGAAAACCAAACACTTATAAATCCGATTTGTCCCGAGACCTAAAGGTTCTACGAGTGATTCATAGTGTGATGGTTGATGTGTACTACTGAAAAGTCCCATACTAGGACGAAGAAGTCATCTGGTAATTCTCAGTTTTTAATTGTTGTTTTTATCTAAGGTCATCCCTTGGTATAAACTATAAGGTCCAATTATTTCCCTTGAACTAATGAAAAAGAAGAAAACTCTCCCATAACATAATACAGACACATTCATAACCCTTATTTTAGATTAAATCAATATTTATATATTTGAGACAGTTTTTACTTCTCATTAGTTTTTTTCAGTAATTGCATATTAGATATATCACAGACACATAATGAAAGAGTTTACACCTTTCTATGTGTACTAGTCTAGTTTGAGGAGGGGATAATGAGGAAAATATGACCGTAGGAAACTTAAAAGATATTTTATTGCATATAAATTGAACACTAAACTAACTACAATAGAACATATTTTTTTAAAAGACGCATTGCACAATACATATATCTACCACATCAAGTTTGTTCATTCTGAATATCAGAAAGGTAATACACTGTATACGGCAAAACCATAATTCTTAATAAAGGGTTTAATTATTCATAATACACTCACATCTGTATGTGACCAGTAACTGTAGTCGAATTCAAATACTTTAGAAGGTTCTTTAGAGTTTGGTTTTCTAATACCTGAAACAAGAAAAAGAAGTTGAATTGACTCTAGATATTGAAGTGATGAATGAATACCAAAAGATAACTTTTCATGAAATATAGTTTGGTATTAGGAAACCATTATACAAGATATATGAATTTAATATTGTAGAATAAAAACAAATATATGAAAAGGGGGACTAAGAATATAGTCTAATATGAATGATCCCTAATTTAAAGTTACTAAAAACCCACTCCTAAATAGTTTATACTTTTTGACTTTAACAGAAGATCATAACTATCACTATCGAATTCTAACAATATAAAAAGGTACAGTGATGACAGTTTTTAGTCTTAAATTCCTAATAAATTACTATACCTTTGTTTAATGTTGATAAACAAGTTTGATAGAATTCAATCAACTATAAAATTTTATCGGAGAATAATAATAAAGAGAAGAGAATATTAATTTCAACAAAATCATTTACTTAAGCAATACATTTGTATTTATAGACTTATATATTTATCAAACAACGATAAATATGAAGTTATAGCTTAATTAAATGATTTCATCGAATACAGTACTTTTGCTGAATTCTATCTATTTTTAATTCACGAAATAACTGAAGCTAGACCACCATGAAAAACCTGGGAGTACTGGACGGCCGTTTCGTCCTAGTACAGAACTCTTCATCAGTGTGCATCCACTATCCCATCTCGCAAGATTCCAACCCAGGACCTATCAGTCTCGCGCGTGAGCGCTTAACCACTAGACCACTGAAATGGCATCCAACTGTGTTAATGTTTAACTTCAACTAATTCACGAAATTGAGCGACACATCCATCATTATCATCAGTGAGTTACGATCTCACAACAGACCCGGTTGAACTCCACTGTTCACTGCTTTTCACTAGAACTCCAGGAAATACTTCTTGGAGACCCTCATTAGTGAGCATATTATGATTATAATCAGGGAGGGGTTTCGTGGATATTATAGTAATTTAATAGCTGAATTCATGAGTCAACTGAAGCTAGACCACCATAGATTAGTTGAAGTTAGATATTAACATTGTTGAATGCCGACTCAGTGGTCTAGAGGTCAAAAGTTCGCGTGCAACACTGATAGGTCCTGGGTTTTAGTCTCGCGAGACGAGATCGTGGAGGCGAACTGCTGAGGAGTCCCACACTAGGACGAAACGGCCGTCCAGTGCATCCAGGTTTTCCATGGTGATCTAGCTTCAATTGTTTCGTGAATTTATCTATTAAATTAATATAATATTCATAAAACCCTTCTCTGATTATTTTTAATTCACCGACATTGTGGGTTACTTTAATATTACAACGTCTGTGAAATGATAAACTAAGTTTTCTTTTTAAACAGTAGTATATGAAAAAACCACTTCATTTTAACTATTATAAAGATACCTTCAGTTTAACTTATAGAATAGATAAATTATTACTGACAGTGGATCTAAAATATACGTTATATCTCCATAAATTTCAGTTTTGATGTTTACGCTGGAACTTAAACCCAGTCCTTTCTTCTTCAATACTCAATTCGTTACATGCTTAAATACTGGGTTCAGATAGCTAGCTACTTATGTGACAAGCATAATATTTATATCACTATTAGAAATTGGTGAATTATCGCGATGCCATTATTTCTGGCTGGATTTTGACTGATCTTTGTTCCCATGTGTGCACCCTCATAGGCATCACCTCGACGTAGCCAAATATTTGACACAAGATTAATGACAAAATTACTATGTCGAAGTAATTCACACAAATACCGATCACATTTCAGTCGGAAAAATCAAAAATAGGATCATTAGAACAATTTATCATGATGTTATCAATACTCTGCAGTGTCGGTTATTATGTTAAGCCCATATACCTTATTCTAGCTTTCGGACAGGCCGGTCTATTCATTCTACTTGAGTCACATTTTGACCTTATCAATTACTCGCTTATTAACCTTGACTTTTTATGTAAGCATATGTGTGTACACTTCTTGTCCTACTCACCACATGTCTGTAACTTATTTTTGTGTGACTATAAATATTAATTAACTCTTGGTTAAATCGAGTTGATTCACATGCATTCTTCACTGCGCGTCGTTTCGCTTTCTCTTCTTCGCATCATTCGCTACGTCTGATCAACAATTGTACAAAATATATGTATTGGAAAATCCATTCTCGTATTTCACTTATTTAGTTCCGTTATTCACTAGGACGATCTAAGTCGAAACTATTACTTTCATGTACTTGGATCAGTAATACATACACCCAGAACTAACTATAAGAGGACTTTCATGTCAAGTGATTAAAAAGTTACGTTTAGATCACTGAGTTGGCATACAGTAATCTACATCTCAACCTCAATCAATAGGGGATATTTAACAGACGTCACCCATTGCCATCAGTAATGATTGGTTCATTCTTGATATTCATGTTTAGCTCAAATCAGTCGATAAATGAATCTATCTTTAAAACAGATAACTTGTAACACGATGGCTACAAAGAGGTAATCCGTATGATAATACACATATGGCGACAAAGATTGGTAAAAAATTGTATCCTCAATAACAATAATAGGACAACTCAAAAGTACATTATTAATAATATAAATCTATCTTCAGGTTTAGATCCGTTTGTTAAGAAGTCTTATATATTCTTTTTCACTAGTTCTAAAAGTAACTAAATGAAGATCCAAATCACTAAAACTAAGGAATGTCATAACCTTTAAACAGATGTAAAAATATGGAACGTTCGCTTTGCTAAAAACAATAATTCAGTCTGGATCCTATCGACCAACTATTAAGTATTGAAAACTGTAACCTAATTGTTTATGCAAATAGCTGATATATGGTAAACATAAAGAAACTGTGATATCACTCCTGATATAAATTCTTTTTAATAATTAAACTGATAAATCTTCTTAGATTCTGAATATAATATTTCTGTTATATAATGATCACACTTACTTGTAGATTGGCCCGACATCGATATGACACATTCACTGTTCATTAAAATCTCTCTTCTATTAAATGGTCTAACACGGACAGCAACTTTGACGGAAGACATTGTATTTTTTTCTGTTATAGAGATTCTTTGTCATGAAAAAAAAACAGTAAAATGAAAGTAGTGTGGTTCAAAGACAATAAGAAATATTAAAGTGAAAGGTATAAAGAAAAATATTTAGGAACATTCCATGGTATTTGTTTATGTTGCAAAATATCTGCATAGGGATATGGGATACTGCTTAATGCTTTAAGATAATATCGGTCAACAAGTGAAACCAGTAAAAAACTAAAAACAATTCATTGTAGTTTGAAACATGCCAGTGTAACATACTACCATATACAAGATCAAACTCACAAACCTCCAATCTTTCATTAGTTCAAGCACTACTGAAGCGGAATTTAATAGGTTATAACTGTAACCGTATTGTAGTTTTAATAACTAGTTAAGTGAAATTTACGTAAAACATTGAAACAGCAATGTCGTCAGATAGAGGATTCTTTAGATCTAATCATCTATCAACAGAATCGAATATATCTTACTTAGCAATATAATGCTGCTTAATTTAAGGATGAAACTATAAATCTAATGTTAAATATGATACAGTAGAGTAAATATATGTTCAAATTTTTTTTAATTATAAACTGACTGGAAAACGAAAATATCTCTCGGTGTAAAATGTAACTCAAAAAATGTTGATAATAATTTGACACCCATATATTATTCAACGTTCATGAACTTCAAGATGACCAGCTATTCAATATACTATCATTAAAATATAAATGTATATTGGCTTGAGTATTTTTAGTGAATCCCTAGCTTGTCTACGATAAAAAAAAATGTATTAGGTAATATTAATTTAATTAAATTAATTTAGATGAGTTGTTCACTATAAATTCAGTTTTTCATTATGAACCAGTGTTATACGGGAAATCATTCAGAACACAAAAACACTAAATGAACATTTCCTGGCATTTAGGAATTCCTCATGATGTTTAAATATGAGTTGAGTTTCACCCCAGAATGTTCATTTTTTAAAATGTAAAGTTCGATATCTCCATTCTCAACTTTAAGCGTAGAATCATTAGTAGGATCAAATGCTATATATAATTATTAAACAACAAATCATCTGAAATAGACTTTCAGTACACGTTAATGATACTCAATAAATCAAAGCTAACACCTTTTTTGGAAGGCCAGTAAACTTATACCGTATATGAAAGGTGTTCATTTGTACATTTTAATGCCTTCCAATATGAAACAAATAACTTACCATCGTATGATCAACGTTTTACTAGTTTTTCGAATAGTGTTAAGTTCTAATATGAACACGTTGTATTGACGGTCGTTAGAAAATTATATTTAAAATTTTATTACACTATAAATGTGCCTGTTTTCCTCGATGTATTGATAAATACCATCGTTATAAAATGTGGTATCAAGTAGAATATTACTCAGCTTTCATTTTATAATAAATATTGCAATAAAGCCAGTATTGAGGAATTCGGAACTTTTGAAACTATCTTACAGAGAATTATCATTTATATTTTTATTGTATAATTGTTAGATAATCTAATTATTGTATTTCTATATTCACTGCATTGTGAACTTCCACTAGATTTATCGACTATTGTTATATATTTTATTGTTCTTTAATTATTGCCATTTAAATACTCACCGTGTCCTCCATTCCCTGGCACTTGCGGTTGGACGTGTGTAAGCACGACTCTAATTTTCTTGTGTTATTGTCTGACAATTTAAGTATATAAACCTATATGTGTATGGAGTAACGACGCATATAGAAGTTTATATTCTGCTTCCTCACTCGTAAAGCTAAACAGTGACTAGCAGAAGGGTGTACATTCTGGAGAGTTAAGATTATCTCAGCAATGCTCAGGGTTCATCATGTCAGCCAGTGCATATCATTCGTCAGTCTGTGGACGACATAGTATGGTAGTACTTAAAAAGTATTAGTCCTGACTTTGATTTATGCATTTCACATGATGTCGATTAAGGAATTGTCAGTTAACTAGTATCATACTTATTAGTTTTATATATGCACAACATAACCTTGAGCTCTACCTTTTTGGTTTCTTTTTCCGTTTATTGAAACTATGATGTTCTTAGATGAAAAACTATTTACTATCCTGAAATTTCTTTTACATAAAATGTAGCATTCATTGAAATACTCCATCAATAATTGATATTTTAACAATCTCATTTTTAAAAGATTTTTTTATAGATGTACATCAGCTCTTCACTTGAGTATTGATTATAAATTAAAAGATGATTGATGTATGTATTAAAATCGCTAGTTTATCATCAAGCACTATAATCATATATATATATATATATATATATATATATATATATATATATATATATATATATATGTCGATTAATATTAATTAGATACGCGATTCGGAAATACAGACTTACAGACATTGTACACATTTCATACCTTATATGTACATTGATAGATGTTCTCATATAACTCATAGACTATACATAAGAAAACATCAATAAAAATATCAGTTCAAGAAACGTATATTCACGATCTTATTGCTTAAATTTGGAAACAGGAACCATTGTTTATTCCCACAACTTGCCTTCTTATTCCAACTTACCAAAAATAAAAAACAAAAGACTGAGTAGTAGAAAATAAAACTTTATGAAATCATTTTGGATACCAAATTTCTTTGATATTTAATTCCACAAAACGATTCAAAACACAAATACATGCATAAAATAATTCATAGGTGATTTTTATTACAAAATGATATTAGTTGAAGCACTATTGAAAATTAAGGACTACTGAACCTTGTAAAGACAATTGGGTAAAGGATGCAACAGTAATTTAGCGATGAATCAGGATCTAGTCATATCAAAGATTAAGTGCAGTAGAAAAAATGTCAGCAATTAGATTTCGACTTGATGACTTTATGTTATCATGTTGGTGGAACGATATAAACAGCCCAGTGTTGACCCTGTATGGAGTACTTAGTATAGATTTTTGGTGAATTTCGTACTGGAGACTTGGCTTTGACAATGTAATTGTGTGCGAATTGTAGAATGTACTCATGTATCATAGTAAACGTTCGCATCCTTCATGGTGATTACCATTATAATGAATAAATGCAGAAGCATCATCATGATTGATATATTTCGGTATATTTTTATTCGCTTAAGAAACCAGAAGTAAAGACATTGGGAATTACCTATCAAATATGCTATACGAAGATGGTCAGAAACATTTACAGTTGGAAATGAATGTCAGATAAACACTCTTGGAATATAGTTTTATATACTTTTTTAAATGGTTAGAAATGAGATATTTTTTAAAGGGGGAATTTATCAGAAGATTCCATAGTTTTTTTTAATGATTATTTTAAAGAAACAGTTAATTTAAAATAAAGTCATGGTTATTATCGATTCAATACTCTATTTATTTTTATTTTTTCTCCAAACGTTACTTATTAATCTTTCACATCAATAATCAGTGGTAATATGCAATATGATTATTCTTAATCTTGTTACTAAGAATAACCTTTAAATATATTCTGTATACATATTCATTAAAGTTTGCTTTAATGAGACTTTACAGTGATACATTTTTATGTTTGTGATCAAGCTATAATCAAAAATCAGAATAATTCATTTTATCCTATTTGATGAGATGCAATGAAATTGTCATGATTTACAGTATAAGCATTATTTTTATTATTTACTGAAAGGATTTAATGAGTGAAACTTTTACTAATGATCATTTCACTGTGCATTAAAGACTATTAAGTACTATCGAACATTAATTCGATTTTCATTCTTCTTGAACTTTCTTGACTATGAGAAAGTATTCGATAGTGTAGATAGGGGCACCTTATGGAACCATATTCGACACCATGTTGTACCTGAGAAAATCGTCAATATCATACAGAATTTATAAAAATGGACTACACTACAAAGTCGTGCATGGAAGACAGCTGACAGACGCGCTCAAAGTGAAGGTTGTAGTTATACAAAGCTGCTTACTCTCCTCCTTTCTCTTTCATCTGATGGCTGACTGGATTATGAACACCACATCTGAAGGGATGTATGGAATACAATGGACAGCTTGGATGCAACTAGACGATTTGGACTTCACAGATGGCCTAGCTTTTCTGTCCCATGCACGCCAACAAATGCAAGTCAAAACAACCAGTGTAGCAGCAGCCTCTGAATCAGTAGGCCCCATTATACGCAAGGGAAAAATAAAGATCCTTAAATACAACATGGAGAGCACCAAACCAATCATGCTTGATGGCGAATCTCTGGAAGAGGTGGAAAGTTTCAAGTACCTGAACAGCATCATCGATTAACGTGGAAGATCTGATGCAGACGTAAAGCCAAATTCATACAGTTGAGGAATATATGGAACTCAAAACAACTGTCAACCTACATCAAAGAGAACCCTCAATACGAATGTCAATATAGATATATTGGACGGAGCTGAAACGTGGAGAACTACTACAACCATCATCAAAAATGTACAAGTATTCATAAACAGTTGTTTACGCAAGGCACTGAATGTCCGTTAGTCGTATACCATCAGCAATAGCCTACTGTGGCAAAGAACAAACCAGCTTTTATCTGAAGAGAAAATTAAGAATAGACGCTGAGAGTAGATAGGGCATACACTACGGAACTCATCAAACTGAATCATGAGACATGCTCTAACATGCAATACTGAAAAGAAAGGGAAAAGAGGTGGACCGAAGAACTCATTGCGTCCGGAATTCGAAGCAGACATGAAAAGGATGAATAGCAACTATAAACAACTGGAAAGAATAATCCAGGATGAAGTTGGATGGAGAATGCTGATGGACGGCCTATACTCTTCCACGAGAGGTAGTAAACATAAGTAAGTAGGTAAGTGAATTCTAACTAGCCTCTGATTAAATAAATTTGCGTAAAATTTCTTTCTAATTACTGTTTAATTGATAGCAGTAAGAAGTAAAACATATTGTAACTGCTAATAAAGTCATTTAAAAGTAATTCTTTACAATTATGTTCAGGTGTTATGAGTTGTTAATTGTCTAGACATTTAATTCCACATTAGTGGTCAAGTGGTACCATGTTCAAAGTAAATAAACTCTTAGAACTTCATGTTTTAATTTTAAACTTTACAAAATACTTGGAAAAATTAAACACAAAATAAACGGCCATCCAGCACTTCCAGGTTTTCCATGGTGATCTAGCTTCAATTGACTTATCATTTCAACTAGTGAAAACTCTAAATAAACGTTTATTTCAAATCTCTTAGTTCAATTTTACTATGATGAAGAAAATGAATGTTGTATTAATTTTGTGTTGTATTCTATGAAGCAAATAATTTAATTACCTTTCTAAGAAATATCATTGGCTATCAGCTCAAGTAAACACAACATTCGTGTTATGACAGGATGAAAAGTTATAATTAAATTGATTTATTCATTATGATTTTTATTCAACATTAATTCTGTTTTAATTCAATTTGATGATCACTCAGTATAGTAATTGTTTCGTTTTCCCCTATGACATTTTATTCTATATAACATACGATATTCTTGTATGTCGTATTTTTCATATATGTGATTTATTCTGATTATTAATCAAAAAATGGATGTACAAACCAATATATAAATGAGTGTATTCCCGACTAGACTTGTCGTCGTGATTGCTCATGCTTCTGACTGCTAATGGAATATACTTTCCTGTTTCGAACTTGAACTTTTCTCTCTCTCTCTCTCTAGTTAGCGGGCCTTGACTCATCAAAATAGCTATTTGATTGGTTTTTAGTCACAGAGTTTTTGTTCCGTTCACAGACTAGGTGAACTCGTAATCTCTTCAAACATAACAAAGGCTTTTCACTTTATAGTCAGATATATAGATTCAAATTAGTGTTTTAAAACTATGAAGAAATGAATTGTCTTCATATACCATTGAATTCACTTTCAATCTAGACTAAAAATTATACATGTTTAAGAGATTTTGTTAGATACAACAATAAAAAGAAACTATTTAATTGTACACTTAAGAAAGTCTAATTTATGTAATGACGATTGATAACACTTAATAAATAATCCATCATTAGGAGTATGAATTGAAATTGTCGATACAGACAAAAAACACTGGTTTTAGATAAAAAAAAATAGAATAAAAGAATTAAAAAATACTTTACCGGTTAAAATTAGTTTCTAAGAGGTGAATATAAAAAAAGAATCACGTAAAACAATATCAGAATTAAGTGAAGGGGTATCAAAGTGTTGAAAAATACAAAAAAAAAGACAGACTCACTTATCCTTTTGTAAAGCAGTGACTATGTTCTATCTATTATGTTATACTGTTTAGCTGAAGTAGTCGGCGGTTTTTTTTCTTCTCGTAAGTGATATATTCACTTGGACATTCTTAACTAAGCTAATAAATCCAATAGTTATCAATATTATTATCCACTTTATTGTAGAGTATGACGTAACTAAAGGTGATATATCATTGAATAATATTTGTTTTGCCTCATTGGAAAAAAAGAAAAAAAAAAGAGGAAGAAGAAGAAAATCAATGTGCTTTTACTGATTGCCTTTATATGAGTCTATTTACCACCTACTCAAATAATTTCTTATCATATGATTGGTTATCTCATAGCATATTAATGGTTAATTTGAGGATAAATTGAAAAATATTGGGCAGTAAACTAAAAGTCTGACTAGCTTACAAACTAAATAATCAATGAAACGATTAATTATTTGGTTTTTATTTTGCTTATTTTATATGGTAACAAAAGTGGAAAAGTGAATCAATACATTAAAAGTATTCTATCATTTGTAAATGATAAAATGTATGTATGTAATAAGCATTAAGTTTAGACTATGGGGATAAATATAAGATAATACGGTTAATATGTTTAATGATTCCTAGGTTCATTATTGTTGACAAAACTGAATGAATGATTCTGACATAATTTATCTTAAGTGAAAATTGATAATCTACTATCAAATCAAAAATTCGATTTTATTTATTTTCATCAATGTTATAAAATAATATTTTTAATGATATTTCCTTCTGTTTACTTAGTTTAAAAAAGTACATAAATAATTGATACACAAAAAACTGAATGTACTCATAAAACTCCATTAGGATTACTTAATTACTGATGCCTGTGACTACCAATGGAGCATAGGCCGCCGACTAGAATTCTACAACTCAGTTTGTCCTGGGCCTTCCTTTCCAGTTCTATCCAACAGTTGTTCATTCTTCTCATGTCTGTCTCGATTTCTCGGCGTAATGTGTTCTTTAGTCTTCCTCTTCTCCTTTGGCCTTGAAGATTCCATATGATGGGTTTGCCTTGTGATGCAGTTGGGTGCCTTCCTCAATGTGTGTCTTATTCACTTCCATCACCTCTTCTTGATTTCTTCTTCCACTGGAATATGGTTTGTTCTCTCCTACAGTAGATGGTTGTTGATAGTGTCTGGTCAACGGATCGGAAGTATTTTGCATAGACAACTGTTAATAAACACTTGTATCTGGATGATTGCTTTCGTAGTTCTCCAAGTTTCTGCCCCATACAGTAGAACTGTCTTGACATTTGTATTGAAAATTCTGACTTTGGTGTTGGTTGACAGTTGTTTTGATATCCAGATGTTCTTCAGTTGTAGATATGCTGCTGTTGCATTGTTGGTTCGCGCCTTCACATCTGCATCAGATCCACCGTGTTCATCAATGATGCTGCCCAGACATGTAAATGTTTCTACATCCTCCAAAGCTTCTGTGTCGATTGTGATTTAATTGATGCATGTTGTGTTGTATCGGAGAATTAATGTATGTGAAATACTTCACTTAATTATCTAATAATTAACTAAATACGTATACGTACTTGTTTGTCAAGCCAAACTTGTAAATTTGCATTTATTTTGTAATTTAAAAGTTCGTTAAAATTTTGTTACATAAGTTACTGTGAATTTTATTGTATAGAAAGTGATGTGTATAGACTTTAACGAATCAAAATAATTTTTACCAACTAACAACATTGCAAAGTAATTCTCCAGTGTAGATAAAATACAATAAGTTGAAAATTGTAAGAAATCTAATTTTCGAATCATTAGGATAGTACAAATTTATCGTTAATCTAATTAATAACAATCAGAATGGACCTGTCGGTCCTGGATTCGAATCTCCAGGGCAGGATCGTGGATGCGCACTACTGAGGAGTCCCATATTCTGTAATATAGACATGTTATTTTATTGCATAAAAATCTCTTCGTCTAGTTAGTATTCTTATTGTCAATTTCTCCTTATTCAAGGACTAGTGTCAATAATATACTCTCGTGTCTAGCGATTAATACTCATCAATCATTGAAAACCTCTCTTACAGCATTCTAGAAGTTTCAGTTGCTATATTTTTCAAAAATAAGAGCCTATTAATCCTTTAAGCTAAAAAAGACATATAACATCTATAAAAAGAATAGAACTGAAGAGATGTACAGGGTGTCACTTTGAAAATGACTTTGTTAAATAGAGTCTACAACCTTTTATCAGACGCAATGTTTTCATCATCTGCTATCATCTCCTAATTGTTTGTAAACGATGTAGAACACTGATGAATAAGAAACACCATAACTATTCCAAAAATTTTATCCTAAGATAATAAGAACTATATATATACACACCATCCCACAAACCCTTCTCTCCGTGATTAGTCTGTTTTTCCTTCTGGTATGTCAGACAAATAAACTGATCATATCTTATTTTCTTTCATTTCTGGCTCAGTTTATAGATGAATTAAGTGTTTTGGCAAAATAGTATTAGCAAACATGTGACTTGGTCCATATGCTTTTTCCTTAAGTTAACTATTTGTTAAGAGTATCTCATATAAATTACAGTAATGTTTCAAATCAAATCATACACAACTTAATAAACATTGTTAATTTAAAGAAAAGAATCTACTTATTTCAAACTGTTCCTCTTTACTTGTTTTCAGTTTCACGTCATAAAATTACCAAAGGAATCAAGCCTATATTTATTTCATTCCATTTTGATTTAAAATCATGGTTAATTTGAAAAGATCTAAATTACGTGAACAGATGGCAGTCTTTTTCACGTCTTATCCCTTGTTCCAATAAATATGTTCCTTTGAGGAGGGGGGAGACGGTGTATTGGACGATGGATCACTTTTTTCTACTCTGCATTTTCCTATTTGTTGTCCCATTCAGTTTATTCGTAAAACATTGTGAAACACATAGATGGTTTATTATATGAATACAATACGTTGATTAATTAATATCTAAGATTATGTGTTAACAAATACCTGTCTTATGTTTTCACTAGTTATAACTATAAATTAACACGTTACACCCAAAATAATTATTTCAGTCGAATAGAAGAAGGAGTTCATTCTAGTATTTCTAAACATATTTAAAAACTATTCGATCAAGAGGAATAAACACTATAAGTAGCACAATCTATTAGTGTTTCTTGGAGATAAGAGATCAGGTTAATACCTTGAAAACTTTCAGGATAATTATTACAAACTAAGCTCTATTCATATGAAGTCTGCATAATAATAATAATAACGTTGGAACGGCTTCAGAGAACTACGACGGGGCCCCCAGAGGCCTCAGAAGAGCCGAAGAGTTCAACCCAATCAGAACTCGATAGAGCTTTCTAGAATATCAACGTGACATGCTTCTATCGGTCAGTAGCATAACATGTCTCTCTGCGAATTGGTTGAATTGTAATGATGTAACAAACGCTAACATCTATAAACACCCATGATATTCTGCTCATTTTGATTCTTGCCCACCAATCACTTTCTCCAGTCTTCTTCTATCTTCTCATTTGCGACTTGGGAGGATTCTAGCGTTCGAATGCTCAAGCCATAGGCCGTATATTGTGAATATGAGCCTTAGATATAACAAATAATAATAAGAAGGCCCTCATTCACTATTATTTGCATAGTGCAGTATGATATCCTCAACAATAAATTTTATTTGCTCTTCTTATCGGTCACAATAACCAATCGCTACCGAAAGTCGGAAGCTTGATTTGTGTGTTCATTAAGAAAAACAGTTTTCAATCTTGCTAGCTAGTTGACATAAATTCTACTTCAACAGATCGTGGATGAGCATTGCTAAGGAGCCCCATACCGGGACGAAACGGCCGTCCAGCGCTCCCAGGTTTTCCACGGCGGTTTAGCTTCAATTGACTCATGATTTTAACTATTGCAATTACTAATATCTCCACAAAACTCCTTATGATTTCGTATTCTAATCCAAATGTGATTACTTTATTACGTCACGTTTTTCAATTATTTCTTGTTGTGCAACAATATGTTTTCCTAATCAAATTTGTTCACTTATGTTCATTTTTTTTATTTATTTGATTTCAGAGGTTGTAATCAACTGATGAACATCTAATAAAATAAAATGGATTTAAATTATCCTGCTTAAATCTTTATTGTCTTTTCATATCAATGATCAGCTGACGAGTCCCAAATAAGACAAAACGCACATTCTAAATCCTACTACTAAGCACTATCTATCTTTGCTTATAAAACTTGTGAATTAAGGCAATATCGAGGAAATCTAGTTATTTAGTAATTATTCAATAAGAATACATACAATAATAGTCCATAAATAATACCTAGCAGTTACCATTCATTTACTCTTCTAATATAACGGTTAGGTTCACCATTATGACATTTGATGATGATTGTTACATGCTTTCAACTCGTTAAGTCAACTTGAGTTTAATTTTCTTATCTAGTACCCTAGTTAAAATGGTACTTGCTTTATCAAACTTCATTTACCATAATGACTATATTTTATTTATCATTTGTGCTCCTACTCAAAATCCTTATCTCTTGATCAAATTTTTAGGACAGCTTTCGAGAAGCATGATGAAGGTCTTAAAGGAATCGAAGTGGTTCCAGCCTGATGAAGGTTTCTAGAATATCAAAGTGGCATGCTACAATTGAACAAATAGCGTAACTTGCCGCCTTATGGATTGGCTGAATTATTATGATGTCATAGCAAACGCTAATATCTATAAATACCTACGATTTTTTGTACATTTCTGATTCTTACTCAACAATAGCTTCTTCTATTTTCTGATTTTGAGACTTCAGGGTATAATATGATATCTCAGAAAATTACAAAACTACAAAACTTAGTAAAAGTCTGTAAAGACTGTTCAAAACTTGATTTACATATACTCAATCTACGACTCTATCTTTAAAATTGTATATCTGCTGTACATAAGTATCAATGATTATAAAATATTTTACATGTGTCTACTAATAAATTATGATAGTGATACATTTATCGAATTAATTTTCATTAACTATGTCTATAATTAAGGTGAATGATTTCAATTTTATTAGTAAACGCCCACTATTGTGAATCGATCTTCATTTAATATAATCTATCTTTATGAATAATTGATTACAAGTGTACTGTTCCTACAAATACTGCAATGAATAAGAACACAGGTATGGAAAATCAGGTGTAACTTAGTTTAACATTACAG